CAACATGGGCTAGCCTATTAACTGGGCATCATATGTAACACCCTCACCCCCCCCCCCCCTCCCACTAAACCCAGTCATGTTTATGTCTTTCCAGTGATATTCCTTCCCTGTTGCATCAGTTAATAAACTTCAAATTGGACTGAGAAATCACCTTTTCCAATTCCAGATTGAACTAAAAAAAGATTAGTGAACAGTCAAAAGTATTAATTTGATAATTGATGTGTAATATCTTTATATTATTATTTTACATGTGTTGCTTAAAACTATACTGAATGATAAATGTTCTTGTAGATTAGGAATAGTATGATTTGTAGAATTGCTTCTCCTTCATAATGCTGTATAGAGCAACTGATGGCGTAGCCAGGGGAGATTGTTGAAAAATTTCTGTGGATCCCTTACCCCCTTTTCGGATCTCGCTTCGCTCACAGAAATGAACACCCCCCCCCCCTTTGACGCCTGCTGGCTATACCCCTGGCTACAATGATTTATTACATGCACCTATAATAACAATTGGAGACTAAACTCTAGTTACAAGGGTTGTTAAACCAACAAATTAGTATTAAATGATAACAAAGGGCTAATTTCTTAATCTGTCCATTTCCTTGTTTTATTACTGTCTGATCAGAACAACCTTGATTACTTTTTATGTCTAGCAATTATTTTAGATTTGATGAACTATAATCTTTACTTCATTGTTTTAGAATATGCTTTTATAATAAGCTTAGTTCATTTATGTACCTATGTACATTATGGGCCTTACTAGAAGATTAAGGACTACTGTTTTAAGAAAGAGATTATTAGGTTATTAGGTCACTATAGTGGTAATATATAATAGTTCCTTTGAATCTATACCTTGACCATTAATGTTAGCAGTTATATAAATGTAAGGAAGGATATGAGAATGAAAATTCTCTTGATCGGTGATTTATGAAATCAAACAACAAATAGGAAGTGGTAATATCAATACATATATTGATATTCCAGAGATGGACATGGGCATAGCCTGGGTAGTGCCCCCTCCCCTCACCCCCACAAAAAAGCAATTTTGAAAAATTTGTTGCAAAAACATTATAAAATTATATTTTGAAATGCTTAGATTGCACTATAGACAATATAGATTTTTAAAAATTTCCAGGGTTCTTAGTGATGCAGATCCAAAGAATCGCACCCCCCCCCCCCCCACACACACTTAATTACAAGTGCTGGCTACTCCCCTGGATTGATGCACTCTTTTAAATGAACTTTTTGATCACAACAGATTGTATAATTATAAAAACAAAAATGTTGATTGCTTTGGTAATAATTTTCCAGCCATTTGCTGTTTATTGTAATTCTTAAATCACTTTTAAGTTTGGAAATGGATGTTAAAACTATTTTTCGAATTTCTCTTTTATAAAAAAAACGTTAATATTAAATGTTCTAAATGAACAATTTCATTAAGAAAAGTTTTAGAAACATATTTCCAAAAGAACATTTCAACAACTTCAAGGGTCACATGATTCATTTACATAATATTCTATGCTCATTTGCATAATATTCAATGTCTTGAATTCAGCAAAATTAAAACTTCTCAACTAATATGTGACTTTGGGCTTTCTTGAAAGCCCATGTTGTGACTAATATGTCATCGTTCTGGAATAAAGAGTCAATAAAATATATATTGTATTATATACAGGTCCATCCCAAGAGATTGTGGTTTTTAACAACTTTTAAAATATTATCTTTGAAAATGTGGCTTCTAGGTCGGCAAGATTCCCCATAGACCCCATGTTACAAAATCACAAAAGTGAAATATCATTTCTTGTGTTGAGCAATGTGCAGATATTTATATGAAAATTTATCGACTTAAACTTAAATATATATACCTGCCATGTTAATTTACCCACCCGAATCAGCCACCTAGTGGTGAAACTAGTAACTACCTACTAACATCTGGGTAATAAGGATTTGATTGTATCCTGCCTTCAATGTGATATTTGGTCTGCATTAGCTTAATTTCAGAACTTGTTCAAGATAAACACTGTAGCTTCTTTAATACCAATACATCCTTTTCTTCAATTTCTATTTTTTCAATCTGATGACATATATGAACTCCCTCCAGAGTCATAAATTCTTTCAAAAACAGCATCCTTCTTCAAAGGACTTTTTTCAAAATACCAACCATCATGAAAATTCTTGAACAGAGCTTCTTTGTCTCCAGGTATCAGCATATATAAGATTAGAACCAAATCCATAATCTGATATTTGAGTTATCAAATATTATGCTTTTGCTTTTTTACTTCTTTTTTTCCACTTGTATACAACCTATCCACTGGTATTTGATTTATACATTTTTTTATGAAAAAATGGCGGCATTTTTGAAATTCAGCTTTCATCCTGGCAATTTTTTCTCCAGAAGATCTCCTTTGTCCCTAAGGTATCAATAAAATAAAACCGACAGATAGCTTTTCTAAATCCCCCTGGAACTTCGTTCGATGACATGATCATTCAGTATTCATCATCTTTAGCACTTTCAAAGTGAATTAGAGCCAAAATGGTCATATCTGAACACCCACCTTTTTTTAAAGAATGAACCACCTTTGGAAAAAAGACCTGTCTGAATGAAACAGTTTCAGCAAGAATTTAACATATTCTTTACTGTTTCATATATGCTGGTTTTACTGTACCTTGAAATCATCATTGTTTTTCATTTTCAATGGGTTGCAGGTGAAATTCAAGGTGTTGAATTATGTTTTCAAGGCATTGTTTTAAAAATTCAAGGGATTTTAACTAACCAATGAAAAATTCATGGCTTTTTTCATCTGTTGAAAAAAACTACCTTGGAAAATCCATTGAACAACCATTGTACAATCATTGATGTCCCAAATTCAAGGTTGAACATTTTTAACAGGGTATTACAATATGTCCCCCAATCACTAGTGGAGGTGACATAAAAATAATGTATAGAAAAATCTACTGAACCAAAATAAACTTTGTGATAGAAGAACTGATTGTTTACTCTAAGTTTTCAACTAAATATATTTCTAATCAGCAATGTTTTATCGAAAAGAAAAAATAATTTCATGTTATATAAAATCAAATAAATTAATTATATTTTTTTCGTTGTGTTAGTTACACCAGTAATAATAAACCTGTTTATAAAGTGGTGTTAACTAGACTATACAATTTAACAGTCATAAGACCTAAAAAAATATACCAGGAAGGGACTATTGTGAACATAAATGTATAAAGTGTGAAAATTTGAAGCAAATCTGTAAAGTGGTTTTTCTGGAATCGTGATGACAAGATTTATCTATCTACAAACTTCCAAGATGGCCGCCAGAATGCAAGATGGCTATCGGAAAGTTAATCAGCTCTATAACTTCTTACCATGTAACATGTGTGAAAATTTGAAGTAAAACTGTTACGTGGTTTTCATGGAATCGTGATGACAAGATTTATCTAAAAACTTCCAAGATGGCCGACGGAATGCAACATGGCCACCGAAAAGTTAGTCAGCTCTAGAACTTCATACCATGTAACATGTGTGAAAATTCGAAGTAAAACTGTGAAGTGGTTTTTCTGGAATCGTGATTACAAGATTTATCTATAAACGTTCCAAAATGGCTGCCAGAATGCAAGATGGCCACTGAAAAGTTAATCAGCTCTAGAACTTCATACCATGTAACATGTGTGAAAATTTGAAGTTAATCTGTCGGTTGTTTTCCTGGAATCACGATGACAAGATTTATCCCAAAATATCCAAGATGGCCGCCAGAATGCAAGATGGCTGCCGAAAAGTTATTCACCTCTATATTTTCTTACCATGTAACATGTGTGGAAATTTGAAGTAAATCCGTTTGGATTTCCTGAAATCGTGATGACAAGATTTATCTTAAAACTTCCAAGATGGCTGCCAGAATGCAAGATGGCCACCGAAAAAATAATGAGGTCTAGGACTTTTTACCATGTAACATGACTGTGTGAACATTTGAAGTACATCTGTTATGTGGTTTTTGTGGAATCGCGATGACAATATTTATCTGAAAAAAATTCCAAGATGGCCGCCAGAATGCAAGATGGCCGCCACAAAGTTAATCAGCTCTAGAACTTCTTACCATGTAACATGTGTGAAAATTTGAAGTAAATCCGTCTGATGGTTTACCTGGAATCGTGATGACAAGAAAGTGAGACTTCAGAATGCCACCTTGTCTAACCCCGTTTTGGTGCCTTTTGCCCCTGTTTACATCAATAGAAGAGGTGTTTTCTTTAAGAGGGAAGTCTGTTCTTTCAAACAGTACAATCATTTTATGTGGGAAAGTACCGGACAACAAAACTTTTTTTCTGAGGGTCCAGATCAGGGACTATCATAGCTATAGTAACTGAAACTGCCAAAAATTTGTTAAAAGTCGTAACATGTCTATATGTGTTGAAAATAAAAAGTTCATGTGAAAACTAATTATTACAAATAGTTACAAAATAGTTACAAGTCCACTTATTTTTTGCCACGTTAACAGATATTAGCAAAAATGTGTTGGAACTCATAACATTGTTTATATATGTTCACAGTAAAAATTTCACTCACGTCCGTGTTATTGAAACTTGTGAGAATCTGTTACAGACGCTGAACATGGCTACAAAATGTTACAAGTTCACAATATTCCTTTGTTTACAACATTCCATATAATATGTAATACCTTTTTTCGAACAAGACACAATGTCAACCTATATTGCACCCAGGCGTTGAATATCAAGTTTAAGAACCATAGGCATGCTTTTTGCAAAAATGACAACACTTTATATATAATCTTAACTGTCACTTTAAGAACAAGAGGAGTAAAGTAATACACTGTGATATACAAATGTCGTGGATAGTTAATGATATACAAATAGATTGTTGCTGTAATTTGAAGTCGGAGGTTTTAAAAAGGTTATATATTAATTTTTCTGGTATGTCTGTATGTGGAACATTCATAAGTGACTTATTCATTCATTCTGATTGGTTGCAGATAGCAAAATCAAATAATTAAGGAGTGGCAACAAGGCAAGCATCATATGACTAGTCGCACCATAAAAGAAAGTCTGAAAAATGGCGACAGCTAAACAAGACGAGAGTGATGCTTTAGTGGAATCTGTGACATGTTCAATATGTATGGAGGTTTTAGATGATCCTAGATCACTACAATGTATGCACAGTTACTGCAGAAAGTGTATACAGGACACAATGGATAAACATCAGGATAAGAAATCGTTCCCTTGCCCAATCTGCAGAGATGATTGCCCGATACCTAATCAAGGGGCTGCAGGTCTCAAGGTGAACTTTTTTGTGAACTCTGTTTTGGACATTGCAAAAGATCGATCAGCATCATCGAAAGATGTACGGAATTGTGACATCTGTTTAGAGGAGAATGAGCAGGTCCCAGCCATTTCCAAGTGCCTGGATTGCAATGAGAAGCTCTGCAAAGCATGCAATCGTGCACATAAACGGTCACGTAATTCAAAGCTGCACAAAATACTTGAGCTAAGTGGTGACACATCTAAAGATACCAAGGCTGCCATGGACTTGTTATCTAAACGGACCTTGTACTGTCAAGTGCATACTCAAGAACCTTTAAGGTACTTTTGCAAAAAAGATCAGCGTCTTATCTGCCAAGACTGTTTTGCATTCAATCACCAAGGCCATGTGTTAGAGGACATTGAGACGACAGCAAAGTCCACTTTAAAGAACTTAAACTCCATTATTGACCTTGGTAAGCAGAGGTCAGCCAAATATGAAGAGAACTTAAGTGATACTCTTGTTCAAAGGCAAGCTATCGAAAAAAGAACAGAGAACTCTAAAGCCCAACTTGCCTCTGACAGAGAGAATGTATCAGCCCATGTGAATGCCCACTTCAATGAATTGGAAGCTAAAGTGACTGCTGCTGGAAATGCTTCAATTAAAAATATGATTACACATATGGCTAACCTCGAATTCGATAAAGATGCCATTGATGGAACTGTAAAGCAATTAGAAGCCCTCCGAGATCATGGTCATCCTGCAGACATTGTGTACATGATACCAGAAATGAATGCCAAGCGTGAAATTTGGTCAATGATTCCTGATCTTCAGATTGATCCAGATCGAGAGTTTCAAGTTAAACCAAGCCAAATCAATGCTGCCAACATCATCCTTGCAACCATAGAACAAGATGTAGATAATGACAAAATTGTTCCTACCATAGAAAACAGTTCTTTGGACTCTCAACTCAATCAAAATTTGGAAGATAAGAAAGGTATGGGCCTTGAAGCACAACTGAAATCTGTATCTTTACAATCTCAGAGCTCTCCAAGAGTGACACATCTTACTGTTTTGAAAAAAGAAATCGACTGGATAACTGTATTGAAAAATGACAATGTACTAACTGCATCCTCAAATAAACTTGAGTTTTTTGACAAGGACTTGGTTCCCATTGGAAGAATGATTAATATCCCTGGAGACTGGGACGCAATGAATAGGACAAATGATAACTGTGTCGCATTTTGCTACCAGCAAGACAACTGCATAAAGATGAGACTCTATAATGATGATGGTCACAGTCTAACAAACCGTCACATACCAAATGTCAAAGGACTGGAGAATTTTGTGATAAATCAATCTGATGAAGTTTTAATGTTGGCAGATGATGACCAGATATTGCGTGTGAAGTACAAATCAGGGAAAATTCTGGGTTCATACAAAATGGAGGCTCTGCCGGATTTGGAAGTACATGAGATGGCTGTCAACAGTAAAGGTGACATTATCATGTCACATCCAAGTTGCATCTCTATTACACAGATTGAAAGAGAATGTGCTGTAACAAGGGAAGTATACACACTCACTGAAAATGACCAAGATCTTGAAGCATTTGTTGATATCAAGGACAATATCATTGTACTTAACCTATATGAATCAACCATCAAAATCTTAACACCGAATGGTAACTTTATAAAAGATTTGAATACCCCAGATTATTGTGAGCCATTTAGCATTCATCCAAACTCTGTTGGAGATTTGGTTGTTGGAGCCAATCATAAGAATTCTGATGAAACATGCATGTACATATTGCGATACAGATCAGAGGATGGTGAACTCTTGTAACTTCGTTGGCAGCACAATGCAAAAAGTGGACATTTTACTCTATTGAGACAACTAACAGCTCCTTATTATCTTAGTCTTAGATCACATTTTTGACTGATTTCTAGTCAAGGGGCTAATGACAATTTAAGATTGTTCTGATCTTTGATTAGGTTGGAAGAATTCTTCAACTTTGAAGGTTATTATGACAGCTCAAGTAATTAAAATTCAACGCATATGTTAGACTGGAAAAAGATATAACATTAACTTTGAATATTTTTATAAGTACATTAGTTGTCTTACTTGAATGATGAATGTGAAGCTTTGAGCCGTTTAATGTCATCATTGCGGAGATTCTCCAATAATGCGTCATCATATGGTATTGGCTCCTCCTCCTGCTCATGAGGAAATGTCATGGACACTTGACGATTCTTGTAGGCTTTTGGTAAATCTGAAATGTTGAATAATGCTGTATATACATATTGATCAGCTTATATTATGATGAACAACAATGCTTGCAAAATCAAGTTGTTAGAAAAATGGTACTTTACATGTATTTTGATAACCTGATTCATTAAAGACCATAGCATCAAAAATGTCGTACTTTTTATAAGCTTTGAAAAAGTTCTAAAAATAAAATTAACCTAAGATTATATTAAAAATTTACAAAATTTATTATGTCCGAGTTTGTTTTATCTTATTTCTTCAAGGACTTTCTGCTTCAGAAAACCCTGAAAGCAGAGTCTATTTATAAACTACCACTCCTGAAGAAGAAGCTCGAATGAATGCAAAGCTCGGGTATCTTCAGAATAACTTGAAACAGAAAAATCATAATTCCAGTTGCTCAGATAGAATGAAAGCCTGAAGCAATATTCTCTTATTCTCTCAGTAAGCTTTGTAACTCAGTGTTTCCACAAACAAAAAACAACTCCTTCAAGGAATATTCATTGCACTAAGTCTAGGGCTTAAATCCTTAAGTATTATATGCCTTGAAATCATTCTTCTATGAAAGCGACAAGAACACATGATATATGCTCCAATATTTTAGATGATGATTATTTTTCTTTCATTGATTCTATCATATTCTATCAGTTTCCGCCACATATACAAGTATCTACATGTACATGTACAAAAAAATTACTATACTTGTACAAGGATGGGATTGGACTTACATGTGTTGTGGTCTATATAATGTAGATGTTTGCCTATGCCTACAATGAGGTCCCCCTTCTGACTACAGAATCCTATGCTGTGAGGGGTTGCATTCAGCTTAATAAGCCTGGAAATAAAACAAGGCATTAACATGAAAAAATGTCACCAATTAGTAAGTTATTGTAAATTGTTACAAAAGTGTCACAAATTGTAACAAATGATGTTGGTTTTAAATATTTGTGATTGAAATATGTTGTCACCACTTTTCGTGCCATAAGAATATAGCTACTGACTGTGTTAGACTTTCTGAGATTGTTTTTTCTATTTTCATTGTGGTGCCTTTTTTGTTTTAGAATGATACAATACATTGACATTTTTCTCTGATTTTCCAACTAAAAATACATCTTAAAACTAAACAAAACCGTTTCCTTTTTGCTACTGTTTTTATCATTTTTCTCAGTTTCGAAATACATTAGTGAATTACATGTCCTAAACATTGTAACCTGTCTATAAAAATTTCAAGAGATATTTTAAAAGGGCATTGTCAAAAAAAGGTCAAATTAGATTTTGACCAATTCAGAATTAAAAATCAAGACCTACTTGACTAGATGGTTGCTCTCATCCCAGATACGAATACTTCCATCAGTACTAGCTGAAGAGAACAATTTCATACGTTGACAGCACGCAAGGCCAACTATAGAATCAACGTGGTCATCATCTGGCGAATGGTCCGAGCGATCTGTAAAAATATCATTGTTCAATGTAAAATGTCACTGATTTTTTTTATGATTTATGGTAGCAGTGTCAATGTGGGTTATATTTTTTTATGACTCAAGACTTATATTGAGTTGGAAAAGATGGACAGAATAAAAATCCATACGTCAATGCATTTGACGTGAATCAAAGAATGGATAAAAATCAAAATAAATGGAAAATATTTCAACATTAATACTCCCTTTTGAAAAATTTCTGACAACGAGAAACAGTATAAATGGTCAAAAGTCAAGAACTCACTTTTGTTGGTAAGGTTGTATAGTACAACACTATAAGTAGCTGTTGCATGTTCCTGGAATGCCACAAACAGTTTTGTCTTCATAATGGTCATATGTATAGGTGTGTGTGCACAGTAGAAAGACATCAAAGGAGCAAGTGCTTCTTCAGCATATGGGTACAGTCTCCAGACTTTTATTATGTTATCTGGAAATGCAAAGTTTTGTGTTAATGATGTCCAGTACTTTGTATATAAGGAGAACTGTATGCAACTTTTTGAAAAACACCTAAACCTGTAAAGTGGAACACCTCTAAAAGTGGAACACCTCTGTAAGTGGAACACTTTAGAGACCCAAGACCAATTGACTTAATTTGAAATGAACCTCTATTAGAGGAACATCTTCACTTTTTATAGGTACCAAAGTTGTTCCATTTAGACAGGTTTTACTGTACATGTATTTTTACTCCTGGGAGGTCCTCTTTATTTATCTTATCTGATGAGTAAAATACATATATAGAAATAATTTATTATATGTCAGATTTAAATGTCACTTAATAATTTGATTGAATCTCTCTAAAATCAAGCCCCAATAGACTATAAGGTATCTGCAAATGTTCCGAGACACCAATGTGGGACAAAAAAACTCATAATAATGTGCGTCAATATATCACATTTAAAATCTACAAAATGAGTGCATTTGAATGACATGTGAAAACAATTTCTACGATACCTTTTCCTGCAGATATAAGCTGGTCAATTTTTGAGTTTGCTACCATACTAAGAACTCCCTTGGACCCATGAGCCTGTAATGTATAGATATACACCAACAATGAAGATATGCATGCAAAAATAGTGCCAATTATGCAAAAATATAACAATGCCCCTGGCTAAAGGTGAGGCATAAGCACTTCTCATTTGGATGACATCCAAATTTTTTAGTCGTACAAGCCCTTTCAAGTTCTATACAATTTTTGGTGCACAATCTACAATCTATGTGCAAAATATGAAATTGAATAAATATTCTAAAAATATAAATACGTTTCATGCATTTTCTGTAAATAGTCATTGTGAACAGGTAAATAAAGTGCAAATTATACAAAAAGTGATACATACACAGATAAATGGATATTATAAAGAAAATAGTAAGACAAAATGTTTCGTGTCACTGTACCTCTATCTTGAAATCCACTTTTCCCGTATCCCAGTTGAATTTACAAATATAGCCATCTTTCCGACCACCCAATAGAAGTGTTCTGTCCATATTTTGAGGCGCTTTCTTTTCTTTAGGAGTGTCACGATCCATGGAATCGGCAACTCCCAGCGTATTTGTGTTGATCGCACGTTTCATGGCACCCCATAGATCCGCATCGTCAAATACATATTCATATACCAGCAAGAAATTACAACTCTCTGAAAGAAAGAAATATGATATTTCAATTAAAAACAAGTTTTGATGAATCATATAGAAGTACACACAGAGAACCTCTTGACTACCTGGAGTGACGAGATATCTCATCACCTCAGAAATGACCCAGAGTGACGAGAAAATCTGTCACAAAATTTTTCACTAAAATTTCTCTCATTTGAACAATTTTCATCCATTTTAACCAAAACTTGTTCTAAAATTTGTAGAAATGATCTCCTCCATCTGATTTTACTAAGTTGAGCGCCTAAAGTTGTATTTGTTTGTAGTAAAATCTCAAAAGGTGGCAAAAATGAAAATTTCTCTGGTTTCAACCTATTTTAGAGCCTGGGATTCAAGAGATTAAGGGAAATGCAAAATCTTTCAACACTAGCTCTTGCGTCAAGACTCTGGACCCCCCTCCCCCAACCCCACCCATCAACATAGTCCTTGTGGAGAGGCGTGAAGTGGGGGGGGGGGTTGCTCACAAAGGCTTGTAGATAAACTATAGAAGAATTCATAATTTTTTAAATATGCTGTAAACTTGGAGGACTGGAGATGTGATTATGAGTCTTACCCTTTGGATCAGTGCACTTCCACTCCTCTAAAACAGTGCATGGATTAGTAAGTGTTGATGCCTTCACAATGTCTCCATTTTTGAATACAGCAAATATTTCATCTGAAATAAAGTATGAAATTGTTGAACTTTGTGAGTCCTAAATCAGCAATAGCCATTAGAGGATAAGTCTAAGGACTATCGTAGTCTAAGGACTATAAACAAATAACAAATAAGGAGGTGTTAATCTACTTTCATTAAAGAATGTCCAGGTTTTACAACTACAATTTCAATAAATCAAAACTATAAATAAAAAGATCTGTCTTACCGTGTGCGATAGCATAGGCGCAATCAACCAAACCACGCCGTGGATCATTTAGCAGAGTTGTGATCACATTTCCACTAGAGGGCGCCAGCAGTCTCACGCTGGAATCTCGGCATTGGATCACTGATCTAATTGGATAGCAAGGGTGGTTGGTATGGTCAATGCACTCCACACGATATCTGTAAAATAATGAAAACTCTAATGATTGTCTCTAAATATAACCTATAAAATAAGGCAGGTCTTAATTGGATGCAACTACCAAAGTGTAATAATTTGTTTCAGATGCTGATATGCCAAACACTGACCACTAGTCAAAATAAATCAGAGGCTTTGTCACTGGTGACGTAATATAATCGAAAATAGCAAACTCACTATCTGAGATCCTGATGCAAAACACCGACCACAAGTCACAATATAATGGTGCCTATCACACTTTTTGTGACTGGTGACATAAATAACAGAACCACAGAAAAACAGTACTCACCCTACAGAGGTATGCAATGAGTGTACCAGCTGAATTACCCACAAATCTATGTGATGAGATGACAGGGAGAAAAATACTTCATGTTGAATATTTGTCCCGAGAAAAACAGGATGATCTTCTGTTTTGATTCTGCAAAATCAAATATACTATACCATTCATAATGCATTCATTAAGTAGGATTATTTCATCATCTAGATATTAAATGTATCCAATACCTCAGTCACATTTGGTCTACGCCAACCTTATGGCGGCCATAGCTTCCCGATATCGAGAGAAATATGTGGAATAAAATGTTGGGATAAGCAGTATGATGTAGATTTTCTACATTGATTTTGTAAAACTACAGCCGCTGTGTGGCTGCTGAAGAGCAAATGTGATCAAGGTATAAACATGGAGTATGTGTCAATTTTTTAACAAGTTTAATTATCTTAAATTCCAATCTATTTCCAATATTAGAATTTCATTGCAATAGATAAAAAAGTATATTTCTTTTCCTTTTTTCAATATTAACTTTCACATCAAAATTGTGAAAACATAGACCTTCCAAGGACAAAATTGATTCTAAACATTGCAACCTTCAACCTATAAAATCTTGAATCTGGTCAATATATCTTTAGCATATGGTGTAGCAAAGAATGACAAGATTTTTTGGAAAGGTATATTTTGAAAAATATGAAGCCTTAGAAAGCAGCTTAACACAACAAATGCAACGAAAGCTTAATGCCAACAAAATCTTACATGTCAACTTCATCACATGTCTCCAGACTCCAGACCCGTATTGTATTGTCTAAACTAGAAGACATGATACATGGCCCAAATGGGTAGATTGCTAGAGATGTCACCGTGTAGTCATGCCCAACAAACACTAACTGAAGGTGCCACTTGTCGTTCCAAACCTTGACTGAAAAAGTCAATGAAAAGTTTTGTTCATGATACAGTTTGGACAAATGTCAAAAACATTTTTTTGGCATACATCTTTCTTAAAATTCATTGATTTCACCCATATTTTCTTTAAGCTTTTAAACCATTGGTTTCCTTTCTGTTTAAAGGGGCATTGACAGAAATAATTTTACTACTTTTTTGGTTGAAATCCACCTTTTGATCTTATTAAGGGAATATTTAACATTAAAGTTTCACAGGAGCAAGCATAGCAATAAATTTTCAACAAATAATAAATTGATAAAAATGAAAATAAAAAAATCATACTTGATCCATCTTTTGAAGCAGTGATAAGATATTTGAGAGGGTTAAAGAACAACATGGCAGTTATATTTCTGACATGTAACTCTTTCTTGTAGTCCAGTACCTTCCCACTGAACACATTGACCACCTGGAAAATAAAATGTTTCTTAGAATACCGGTGAGAAATATTTGTTTATATTTCTCCATGCTTCTTTCCCTCAATTTCTCTTGAAAGAAAAATCAGATTTTCTTTTTTCTTTTTATATATAAATCTTTTTTTAGATTTTCTATTAAAAGTACTCATTTATTGGAATAAATAATGAGTGTAATAAATAAACCTTGAAAATCTGAAAAATATGTTTGACATAAATGACAATTTGATAAATTTGTTCAATACAAAAATCCAATATTTTCATTTATTACATTGAAAAGCATTGGGCTTTATTTCTGCAATGCTCGCACATAGCAAGGAATTATATCTCACCGCTACGTTGGTACCATTTGCTGCAAAACATTTTTGCGCTCTGCTAGCTGTTTCCTCCAGGACAAGAATGTTGAAACTCTCACCCTCGGGAAGACTATAGCGTGTGATTTTTCTTGGAAGAATGTGCCTGTTACCATAGCGAAACACCCATGACTAAAACAAACAACACTATCTTCATAGGCAAAATATCACATAATTTTTGTAAGGTATTCAGTTAAACATTTGAAGTCATTTTTGAAAACATGAATGATTTACTTTTTATTTCACATACAATTTTATAAATACAAAGAAAACTTTCTAATTGTTAAAGTCAATAAGATAAATTAACAAAAAGCTATTTTGTGAATGAATGACTCAATTGATTTCTATATGACATCATACTCACAGTTACGTATCCAGGACCAGATGTAACAACTTCATTAATACAGCTGTTATACACAGCTGCATCTATAGGGCCCTCTTGAGCTGTGGCCACAGAGTGCACATTGAATGTGTTGGACATCAGCTAAAAATAAATTGAAATAAATTGAAGTGTTATTATATGCATTTTGAAAAACAGAAACAGTTTCTTCAATTAGGAATAAGAATTTGTTCTTTTTAAGAAAACACACTTTCAAAATACTTTTTCATGATGTGCTCATTATTCTGAATCTGATTATAACATTATCATATACTTTGAATATTGCTGATTGACTCAAAAATGATGTCAATAGGTAATTGAATTAAACTAGAATATATTCCTATATCGTATACAGTAAAACCTGTATTTAAGAACACCTTTCTAACTGGACACCTCTTAATAACCTCTTAATTAGACCTGCTAATCTGAACACTTTTGGCTAGTCCAGGTGGTGTTTGGAATTTCGGTTAGACAGGTTTTGCTGTATTTTGTATTTTTGTATTTTGTATTTTTGTATTTTTGTATTTTTGTATTTTTGTATTTTTGTATTTTGTATTTTTGTATTTTGTATTTTTGTATTTCTATTTTTGTATTCAAAAATATTATTCAAGGATGAACGCTATTGAAACTAGCCAATTAATTGGGTCCTTTCAAAGGCCTTACCACAAGGTGGTTATCATTTGGAGTCCAGCCAACATAGAGGTCAGCACTGTGGGCAAACACCATTCTTTGAAATGGTTCCTCTGGTTCAATAATGTCTTTCTTTCTCCCATCCTTATGGAACATCCTCAGCAGCTTGCCATCTAGGGTGATAAACTCCTGTAAAAGATATGATGTAAAATCATGTAAATCATACTTTTAAAGTGTTGGTCATGATTGTCTTTCGTTGACATCCATGTTAAATACAGAACCTGCTGTTTAAAAACACATATTAAAAATTAAATGGCAGGGATATAATTGAACTTTTTTGAAGAATTTCTTTCAAAAATGGCTGTTACTTTGACAACATTTATCCAACATCACATCACATCCAACTTTAATGTGTGCATGCATTTCTGATGCATCTTCAAAATGTAAAAAAATCCAAGGAAAATTTTTAATGTGAAATTAAAGTAATTATCACTGCATTCTGAACAAAACAGGTGTTACATGTATGTACCAATATATATCTAACATTTTTTACCTTAGTCTTTGGGTTCTGAATAACTTGTTTGATCTCATTGACGTGATTCAATTTGCGTCCATGATGCACACCGTGACTAATCAAAATATCCTTGATATCTGCTTTAGTCACCAACTTTGTCGCATTATGAATTGAATTCTGGAGTAGTTTCCAGTATCCCCTGACTTTTGTCTGGACTTCTTCTTTGTGTCTTTGACGTAAGGCATTCAAATGTGGACTTTCGTAATCAAACTCTTCAAGCTTGTTAAATATTGTCTTATCAGACTCTGTTCCTCCTTGGAATTCCATTTTATGTTCTGGTTGCAATTGTTTTCAGAGAATTTAAAAGTTTTCGTAACTCATGGAGTCTACATGATTCTATGTTGTATTGTTCAATGGATAACTGCACATGTATATGGAGAAGGTATAATCTGAAATAAAATATTGATGCCATTGGATGTATTTTGAAACAGGGTTTCCATGCCACATTCTCATTGCACCATGCAACTGCAATGTTTTATAACATCATTTTATATACAACTACCTGACAGAAGCAAACAAGGCATTAACATGACAAAATGTCACCACCTAGTTGCTCACAATATTATGAGTTCAAACTTAAGTCAGATTTGAATTTCTGAGAACTTGTAAAGTCAAATTTGAACTTCTGAAAAGATGTAGATGATTTTGAAAAAAAATTTGGTCAATTTGAAGCAAGTTGAAAACAGACCTTTTTGACCTTTTTTGACCTTGAGAAGGTCATTAAAGGTCAAATGTCAAATCTAAAGTCATATTTGAATTTCTGAGAACATGTAGATGATTTTGAAAAAAAATTTAGTCAATTTGAAGCAAGATGAAAAAATACCTTTTTGACCTTTTTTGACATTGAGAAAGTCATTGAATGTCAAATGTCAAATCTAAAGTCAGATTTGAATTTCTGAGAACATGTAGATGATTTTGAAAAAAAAATTTAGTCAATTTGAAGCAAGTTGAAAAAAGACCTTTTTGACCTTTTTTGACTTTGAGAAGGTCATTGAAGGTCAAATGTCAAATCTTAAGTCAAATCTAAAGTCAGATTTGAATTTCTGAGAACACGTAGATGATTTTGAAATTTTTTTTAGTCAATTTGAAGCAAGTTGAAAACAGACCTTTTTGACCTTTTTTGACCTTGAGAAGGTCATTAAAGGTCAAATGTCAAATCTAAAGTCAGATCTGAATTTCTGAGAACATGTAGATGATTTTGAAAAAAAAATTAGTCAATTTGAAGCAAGTTGAAAAAAGACCTTTTTGACCTTTTTTGACCTTGAGAAGGTCATTGAAGGTCAAATGTCAAATCTAAAGTCATATTTGAATTTCTGAGAACATGTAGATGATTTTGAAAAAATTTTAGTCAATTTGAAACAAGATGAAAAAATACCTTTTTGACCTTTTTTGACATTGAGAAGGTCATTGAGGTCAAATGTCAAATCTAAAGTCAGATTTGAATTTCTGAGAACATGTAGATGATTTTGAAAAAAATTTTAGTCAATTTGAAGCAAGTTGAAAAAAGACCTTTTTGACCTTTTTTGACTTTGAGAAGGTCATTGAAGGTCAAATGTCAAATCTTAAGTCAAATCTAAAGTCAGATTTGAATTTCTGAGAACACGTAGATGATTTTAAAAAAAGAAATTTAGTCAATTTGAAGCAAGTTGAAAACATACCTTTTTGACCTTTTTTGACCTTGAGAAGGTCATTGAAGGTCAAATGTCAAATCTAAAGTCAGATTTGAATTTCTGAGAACATGTAGATGATTTTGAAAAAAAAATTTAGTCAATTTGAAGCAAGTTGAAAAAAGACCTTTTTGACCTTTTTTGACTTTGAGAAGGTCATTGAAGGTCAAATGTCAAATCTTAAGTCAAATCTAAAGTCAGATTTGAATTTCTGGGAACACGTAGATGATTTTGAAAAAAAAATTTAGTCAATTTGAAGCAAGTTGAAAACAGACCTTTTTTGACCTTGAGAAGGTCATTGAAGGTCAAATGTCAAATCTAAAGTCAGATTTGAAGGTCAAATGTCAAATCTAAAGTCAGATTTGAATTTCTGAGAACATGTAGATGATTTTGAAAAAAAATTTAGTCAATGTGAAGCAAGTTGAAAAAAGACCTTTTTGACCTTGAGAAGGTCATTGAAGGTCAAATGTCAAATCTAAAGTCAGATTTGAACTTCTGAGAACATGTAGATGATTTAGAAAAAAATTGAAGTCAGTCTAAACAGTATTTGTTAAGTTATAGGAAGTTGTAAGAAATTGTTACAGACGCTGGACGCCAACCGCCGGACGCCAACCACCAACCGCCGTCGCAAAAAAAACGGAGACCATAACAATATGTCACCACTTTTGGTGGTGACATAATAACTAAGATTTTCGCCAGCTAAAATGTCACTCGACTTTTTTTGTGATTTTGAATCACAGAAGGCATTCTGAAGTTTCAAATTGGCGCCGTGTTTAATTTTTGGCATCCGCCTAAAGTATATCACTTACCTTTTATTGATTCTTTCATAAGTTTCGTCAAAAACTCAGTTTGACCAGAGTAATCTGTCTCACCGCTCGAATTTTCTTGAAAAATGTCTATTTTCTAATCACCCGGATTTGGGTTTACTTGGACTCGCCCAAAACGAGGGGTGTCAAACACAAGATGGTAGAGATGCAGACATGTCGCCACTCTCAGAGAATCTATTCCATAATTTCAACATTACTACGCGGTTTTACAAGTGAAAAGGATAAGGGCAGGTTGTATATAGGACTGGACAAGATGAAAATAAATATTCTAAATAGATGACACCCCTTTCGAAATAAGGTGAACTGAACCTATCACATCACCGATTTCTTAGAAGAAATTACGTCAGAAAAACAAAAGCTCCGTAGAGAATTTTCGCCTGAAATCTTGAAAAGCAAGCCCAGTTTTCTATGGGAATATGCGGTAATTAATAGTTACGTGTACAATATTACCCAGTTCGATGGTGCATGAGTTAGGCGGTGGATCATTTTGTAAGTACGACAATGTGAATTAATGCGACTGTTACTTTTTGGAAGATTTTTTGCAAAAAAGTCGAGTGACATTTTAGCTGGCGGAAATCTTACCTGAAAATTGGCCAGGTAGTTATTTTGCCACCAGGCAAAAAATGTGAGTGTCGAGGCCTGGAATTCTTTCATGGATTTTGAAAACTGAAGTTTCGGGTAGGGTATAATGATTATATTGATAATTTCTAATGAATCATATGTCATTTCCAATGAATATTCAACTTCCACCCCAGATCAAAATTAGGCTAAGGGTCAATATAACCTACGTGAGATTTGTTTTGCTCATCGTATAGGAAAAGTAGTACTTAATACACTAGTTCGCTACTTTGTAGATGTATGGCACGTATATGTGTACATGTATTGGCAATTAATGTTTGGTGATAGCTAGTAGGAGTGTCAGGGACCGCTGACAGATTATTATTTTGAACCAAAAAATTGAATTAAATTTTTGGCGGTCTCAGTAAATCAATGGGGTAATCAGGTCCTACGTGCTTTTTACAGGCCCAGAAATCAATGCTCGCTTATAAATGTAGCAAAATCTTTTTTCGTTCGTGGGATATTTTTTTCACCATATAACCGAACGGGAAGTTTTTGAATAGGACTACATGATCTGAATGGATGTGAGGATTCGATGGGCTGGGATTTGAGAAATTATGATTTGAACTTTGCCAATTTTACATGTATTCCAATGGGTGAAAAAGTAAGTTGCTTTCTACCTAATATCAACCACATTTATTAGTGAATTTCGAGAAATATGTCGAATTTAGCCATATTTCGCATATGTTTCTATGGAACCATTTAAAGTTTTGCAAATTAACCCCTAAAATTCTGGAGACGACTATCTAAGTTTTGCTGAGTCAGCAATTTTCGTTTTTTCATTGAAAACAATACTTTTCAGCCTAAATTGCTACTCTCTTATCAAGTAATTTGATGCAGTTCTTGCCAAATTAAAGGAAACACACCCCAAACGTTCCACAGTGTGCAAAGTTCCAACATTTTGACCCTTTAAACCCACGAAAGACCCAATTTTAAAGGGACGTATTCAGTAAACCTGCACAAAAGACAATGCTACTTGAACTAGCCATCAGAAGTTCATGAAAAACGAAAAATCAATGATGTTCAGTTTAGTAAAGTAGCAAATAGTCCTACTTATGAGAGAATATAAATCACTTAAGCAATTTGTACAACTTTAAACAGCTGTTTTAAGTAGATTAGTATCGTTATGGGCAAAAATCCCCCAAAATAGCCCAAAATTTGTCCAAAAATTCAAAAATTTCATGCTCAAGGCTGAATTATTTTGACTATTTTGCTACATTTATCAGTGCAGTGACAAGAAGTCTTGTGGATAGCTCAACTTTTCCTGAACGTTTCTCTAATAAGATATTTTAATGACAAAATAACTACATTTAGTCTGGAATAAATTGTCACAAAATATAATGACCCCAGGGGTCAAGAGAACCCTATAGAATCAAAAGTGCTGAGGGGATTTGAGCAAAAATGTACATATCACTTCATAAAACCCCGAACTTTAAAATTCATATTGAATAAAATGCATATTCAGTCAACCATGACACTAATAGGGTCAATATAACCTACGTGAGATTTGTTTTGCTCATCGTATAGGAAAAGTAGTACTTAATACACTAGTTCGCTACTTTGTAGATGTATGGCACGTATATGTGTACATGTATTGGCAATTAATGTTTGGTGATAGGGTGATAGCTAGTAGGAGTGTCAGGGACCGCTGACAGATTATTATTTTGAACCAAAAAATTGAATTAAATTTTTGGCGGTCTCAGTAAATCAATGGGGTAATCAGGTCCTACGTGCTTTTTACAGGCCCAGAAATCAATGCTCGCTTATAAATGTAGCAAAATCTTTTTTCGTTCATGGGATATTTTTTTCACCATATAACCGAACGGGAAGTTTTTGAATAGGACTACATGATCTGAATGGATGTGAGGATTCGATGGGCTGGGATTTGAGAAATTATGATTTGAACTTTGCCAATTTTACATGTATTCCAATGGGTGAAAAAGTAAGTTGCTTTCTACCTAACCTAAAAATTGGCGTAAAAAAATTGTCAAAAATATGAGTTTGAAAAAGTAGTCTAATTGCCTCAAAATTTTAACTGATTTAATGGCGTTTCGTGTAATTGGGTACTACGGATAGAATCATATCTATAAGGAGGAATATTAATTTGAATAACAAAAGCTGCAAAACTGCTAAATATAAGAAATAAACAAACCTAGAAAATATTTTCCGTGTCCTCCATTTTAAAACGTCGCTATGGGATTTGCGAGATCTCGCGAGATTTAAAAAAAGTTGTATCCGGCTTTGTTTCAATTTCTGTATTTTAAGCGCTTATTGTGAAGGAAATCTACGGTCTGATTGCTTTATATTAGTAGCACGAATAACTAATAATATATAGAAATGGGGAAGAAACACAAAAAGCACCATAGGGCCGATCCTGCGGAGTTAGAAGGTATTGTAACTTAATTTCAAAAGTTTACTCAATTATCGCCCACCCATTTTTATTTTTTCATTTGTAGATATACAATAATAATTAATTTAGGGCTAGGCACAAAAACTTTCGAACCCCTCACTCGCTTCTGTCGTTCGGGGTACAGAAAACGTTTGTGCCAAGCCCTGCGGGGTGTATTCGAGAATAGAAGCCCTGCTCTTCGGTCTATATTTTTTCTTAAATAAGCAATTGTACAGGTGAGAAACCTAAGAGAATGTAGTATGTATCCAACAGACTTTATCGAATTCTACGACCACTTTAGATTGTGGTCGTACGTGTGTATAATTGGTCAGTCAATGTTTTTACAAAGTTGGAGAAAATACTACGCATTGCACACCTAAATGACCTACCTCGATACATTCCTTAGTATTTTAGAATTCTTTTTATGTAGTTGAATCGCCAATTGTATGGGTTTATCGGCAGAACGAAGAGGTTTTCGTTTTTGATAGCAATATTTGCGTGTAATTCAGTGTATTTCAACCGTCAAATTCCTCCATTCAGTTCCCGGCATGCACCAGTCATAAGGGAAATCCCTGGGGAATTCCCCTTCCGACATTTTGAAAATTGCTGATATATTTCCGATGTAAAAACTAAAATCTCTTCGTTCTGCCGATAAACCAATACAATTGGCGATCTAACAACGTAAAAAGAATTCTTAAATACTAAGGAATGTATCGAGGTAGGTCATTTAGGTGTGCAATGCGTATTTTCTCCAACTTTGAAAAAACATTGACTGACCAATTATACGCGCGTACGACCACAATCTAAAGGGGTCGTAGGATGCGATAACAACAGACTGACTAGAAGTCAGTATGTTATGATGAACTACTTTCCTGTGGAAATTGCAGTGAAAATTTTTGCACAAAATTATCAATTAGAGGAACCTTTCTTCAATAAAATAATCATTACAAAATTTCAATTAATTAGTAAGGTACAATTAAATGTAATAAAAAGTAACACAGCATATTGTCAAGTGGAAATAAATCTAGTTGAAGTAACAAATGTGCAAATTAATTTTACCCAATCGGCCATTTTGAATAGCACTTCCTATGTAAAAAAATACTCATAATTACCAAACTTTAACATAGGTGCCTTATAGTCTGAATATAATTCAGACTAAATAGGATATAGTCTAAGAGATAATGCATCTTTAACGTTTTAGATTTACCACCTGTGAAACTAACAATCAAAGTTGGAACTCCAGATCCCCATGCTGATGAAGCATATCTTACAGAGACGCATGTTGAGAAGAAACATAAACACAAGAAAAAGAAGAAAAAGCATAAGTGAGTTTCTAATGTGATGTGACTTGTTAAGTACAAAATGGTCTATTCTTAAGAGTAAATAAGCATTACTATTATATCACTGTCATATTCATCAATCTCTGATTGGTCCATGTTTTACACGTGATTAAAAAAACTAGAGGACAGCATTTTTGTGTCATCCTATAGTAGTTGTCACAAGATAAGAAAAAAGTAGCAACTCCCCAAATTTCATTGTGCTCCATTTTGCCTGTGTATTCTACTTAGCTTTGCTGTTTAACAACTTAGGCACCATAAAGACAAGGAGGCATCATACCAAGATGTTGAACCAACCACAGGCGAAAACACTGAACAATCCGAGCTTGAAGATGTGGAGGCAGAGGCATCAGTTGATCAAAAGGAGGATATCAAAGTTGCAAAAACAGTAAGACTCACTCAAAGATATCATTTTTCTTTCATGAATAAGACACCAAAAAAGGAATTTTAGTGATCACATTCATTTTTCATTATTAGTTTTTGAATGAATATGTTTAATTGTTGATCATATTTTAATTTTGTGTTCATGTTTTAATTGTATACATATTGTAATTGTTTACATATTGTAAAATTGTATAAATTGTAATTGTGTACATATCATAATTGTGTACATACAGTGTACATGTTAATTTATAAATACATTTCTTTGTTAATTTTATACTTTTATGGTCAAGTCATGTGTTGATATAATGTCAGTATATCTTTCTTTTAGGGAAACCTAAACCATTTGTTATTATACTGTCATATTTTTATCTAGGAGAAGCCCAAGGAGTCAAATAAAAGACCAATCGATGAGATTGAGGGAGAAGTAAACATAACGGAAGAGCCAAATGAGCCATACCTAAAGAAGATCTTCAGAGGGGAGGATTATTTTGACCGCAAGGCCCGGGAACCGAGGGGAGGCCTCATCACTGATAAGTCTCCCTTGAACCATTGCTTGGAGTACCTTCAAAGAGTTCTGTCAAGGTAATCATAAACAGAAGTTTTGTATTCTTTTGATTTCTAAAAAAATACTTTAACTTTTTGTCCACGATGTAGTTTGACAGTCAACATGACATACAAATAACATTTTTTCATTTAAACAAGCCATTTGTTAAAGTGATTATTTCAAATAACAATTGAGCACTCGTAAGCAAAGGAATTCTGTATGCACTCAAGCGGAGAGCATTACAGCATGTTTTACTCCTCAAAGAAGAATTTTCTCATTCCGTATATTTTTAATTCTCAAAACATTGTTCTTGCTGAGAATTAACAAATTTTCAACACCAGCTTCAGCGCTTGCATTAGGTTAGAAAATTTGTGAGTCCCAAGGATGCAATTTTTTTAAAAAGTGTGTCCTTTGAAAAAAAAGTGTGTCCCCTATTTCTAGCCTGTTTTGAGGTATAACTTTATTTTAAAAGCATTTTTTACCAAAACACCTTTCAGTTTTTGATTTCTTGCCGCGAATTTAAAATGGAAGTAAACGTAAGTACGGACTGAATAAATGCATGTTCGTTCATTCGACAATGAATACATTTTATTTCATGAATAACCTAATATTTGTTTCTGAATAGGAAAAACTGTGGCGTGTCATGGTTTCAAATCTAAAAATAAACAAAGACGAAAAAATTCGAGAGAATCATGATTATTTGTAAATATTCAACATGTTGAGCCTTATTTACGATTCAAATAAAGGTGAGAGATCATAAGTATTTATTTTTGTTAGGTATCGTTGTAAACACATTGTAGTATTGACCTAAAACAATTTTGCGTCCAAAAAACGGAAATATTTTCAATTTTTGCGTCCTCCAAATTATTTTTGAGTCCTTAACATGTACGGGACGCCGTTAATGCAAGCCCTGAGCTTAAAAGCTGTAAATAATTGTGAACTTATCACATATTTTTTCAGAAAAGACATCAACGGTTTTTTCTCATTCCCCGTCAATGATGTTATAGCCCCTGGCTATTCAGCGATTGTGTCTCAACCAATGGACTTCAGCACGATGAAATCTAAAGTGGAAAATGATGAATATCCTTCAGTAACAGAATATAAAGTAAGTGGATTATTAGGTAAAATAAATGCAATTAAAAATAATGCCTCAGTCACATTTGATCTATGGCAACTGTACAGCAGTTGTAGCTTCCCAAAATCAAGAGAAATATGCATAAATTATAGGTATAAGCAGGACAATGTAGATTTTCTATATCAATTTCAAGAAGCTACAGCCAACATACGCCCACCATAGAGCAAATGTGACTTAGGTAACCATCCTAACCTATACATCATGCCATAAATTGATTGCGATATTAAGGGGTTACAAGGGAGATGATGAGCAAATGATGGCACATACAAAGAAACATTATGACTGGTGGTACTGAGATACTAATCTAATCTCAGCTTTAACCATACACTGTGCAACTAACTAAAAGGAGGGGAAATTGAATGTCAATGAATTGGAAATTTGAACCATTGAAAATATGTACTATGTATCCCTTTGTCCTAGATGTTATGGTCCATATTGAAAAATATATTGATAGCCCTATATTAGTTTTTATCGCACGCTCAGGTGCCATATTGAGATCAGTTTATCTGGTGATGGCAGTTGTCAGGTAGGTGGACTATCATCCCTATCTATGATGTTCACTATTTCTACAAATCTTTTATTCATGTTATCATTCAATCATGCAATTTTATTAAACGTCTATGCTTTCAGAAAGACTTCAAACTAATGTGCGATAATGCTATGTTATACAACCATCCAGACACAGTTTATTACAAGGCAGCAAACAAATTACTCAACATTGGCCTAAAAACAATGAGCAAGGTATAGTTATTTTGATAATTTCGATAAGCTTTGTGTTTGGAGAAGCTTTGTGTTTTGAAACATAAGCTTTTTTGTTTTGTTTTTTTTGAAAATATAACTTAGTGCTAGAAAATAAGCTTAATGTTTTGAAGATAGTTAAATGTTTTGAAGATGAGCTCTATGATTTGAAGATAAACTTTGTGATGGAAGATAATCTTTTTAATTCAGGAGAAACTGCTCCAATTAAAGAAGAATCTCTCCCTGATGCAGAACATCACAGATGTGGAGTTGGGGGTGGATAAAGATGATATCCTAGTGGATATAACATCTGTTGATAACACACAGACTCCTCTCAAACCAAAAGAACCTCAGCCTCTTGCCATAAAAACAAAGTAAGTTCCCACACAAATTAGAAATCATTTCAGATTACATTAAAGAATGATGTAATTTCTGTGAACAACATCCATAGTTGCAGATTGTATTGGTTGAATTTACTGACAAAATGCTGTAGCCTTCAAGCTGTAGCTGTAGCCTTAAGGCTGTAACTGTAGCCTTCAAGCTGTAGCCTTAACCCCTTGACTACCTGGAGTGACAAGATTTCTCGTCACCTCAGAAATGACCTTAAAACCCAGAGTGACAATTTCAATCGATTTCAGAGCCTGGGATTCAAGAGGTTAAGGCTCTAGCTGTAGCCGGAAAGTTGTAGCTGTAGCCTTAAAGTTAAAGCTGTACCCTTAAGGATGTAGCCTTAATGCCGTAGCCTTAAAGCGGTAGCTTTAGCCTTAAAGCTAGTATCACTCTCATTGTGTGTGACACATTTTAAGCATTAGTGGCAAATTATTAGAATATTAGAAATACAATGTAACCTGTACATCCAAACACCCCACTGATCGAACAATTCTTCTTTATTTCCACATTTTTTTTCACTCACATATTTAAGAAACCTTGAAATGTGTCCCAACAGTGTTCTTATTAGACAGGTTTTACTATATAGTAATGTGTCACCTAATAATACATATCAATGTATGCTTTAGTATGTATAAAGCAGAGGCAATTAGAGACAACCTCTCATCAAAACAGATACTCGCCCAAGCCGAGCAGGCTGCACAGGATGCGGCAGATCGATTAGCTGCAAAGTCTCCCAAAAGCAAGGTATTCAATAACATACAGCTATACACCCCTTTGGACATTGTAGCTTGTATATTCTGAATACAGGGTGAGCCAAAAAAAGGTAGCCCAAATAAATCTCAATTACTCATTCATTTGGTATGGGTTTTATGTAATATTTGGTACAATTGAACCTTGTTCTTTTGTTCTAGTAAGTTTCATTGGTCTATCCAAAATGGTAGCGATTTTATGGCCATTTTACACCTTATAATTTTATTATTACGATTTGTTTGGGTTACCTTTTTTGGCTCACCATGTATTATTACTGTCTGAAAATTAAATGTATGAATATTAAAATCCAGATGCAGGAAAAAAAACTGAAATTGTCCACGTGGGATCAGTTCAAGAATGATTGCCATACAGAAACAATATATTGAGCATGCAGGGGCTTTAGTACACAAAAATGTATAATTGTACATATTCAGTGGCTACTTTCACTCCATTTTAATATTGGTCAAAATGTACATATTCAATCGTATAATCTAATTTATATTGCTTGGATCACTACCTGATAGAAATATGGAAGACACTTATCACTGTACTTCTTAATTTGGTGGCTGTTTTAACTTGGTGGATCTGCCAAATTGGTTAAGGTGGCCAAATTAAGTAGCTGCCAAATAGACTAGGTGCGAGTAGAAATAATCTTGATTTACGTCATTAGAAATTAAAAATTCAGTTAAACTGATATCATATTATATATATTTATGGAATCTACATGTAAAATTACATCTAGAAATGTGGTTTTGAAAAGAGTTTATCAACTTTGAAAATTTAATTTTCTTTGAAAATGTGACTTCTAGGTCGGGGAGATTCCCCATAGACCCCATGTTGTATAATCACAAAAAGTGAAATATCTTTTCTTTTGTTGGGCAGATAACAGTTTCCTTCACTGGACATATTTTAATTTGTATAACTATCAGATACATAAGGGTAATATGCAAAGTGAACCACTAAAACTGATGAATATTCAAGTTTAAGGGAACTTTGTAATACCATGCCATGTTATTTCCCCCGAATCACCCACCTGGTGGTGAAACTGGTAACTACCTACTCGCATCTGAGTAATTCCCCAGTGATTTAAGTACCATGTAAATTTCACTCCATTTTAATATTGGTCGAAATGTACATATTCAATCGTATAATCTAATTTATATTGCTTGCATCACTACCTGATAAAAATATGGAAGACACTTATCACTGTACTTCTTAATTTGGTGGCTGTTTTAACTTGGTGGATCTGCCAAATTGGTTAAGGTGGCCAAATTAAGTAGCAGTGATTTAAGTACCATGTAAATTAGTATCATTTGTGCATTGTAATATTGGAAGCCTGCCAAATTAAGTAGCCGCCAAATGTTCAAAACAGCAAATCCCCCAAAATAAGTAGCTCCAAATTAAGAACAAGTAACTGGAAAAACTAATTGAAAATTCAAATAGAGATTGACAAATATACTGAAGTTGCAAAATTAACGTTGAAAATTTCAATTTGGCTTTCACTTGAATTTTTCAAAAAATCAATATAGTATTCACAATAATGACATCATTATTTACCCTCCCCCTCATGAAACTAACTTTGCTCTGACATTTTGACACCATACCTTATCTGTACATAATGACCCCTGTGCGAATACAGTATTACATGTACATATATGTAAAAAGTAGAGGTCTTGGGTTGGGCTCCGCGTCACATTGTTATAATATGTTTGTATATAAACTGAATGGAACAATAAACTTAACTTAACTTAACTTAAACCCAGGCCACAGCACTTCTTGTGATTTGTCTTTGACCTATGACTGCTGACCTATACCGGCGATTACTAGAGTGCTGCTAACTCGATAAAAGGCTGGCGCTGGCTAGAATTGTCTATGGTTCTAGCCAGGATAAAGATACCAGTTCTTCAACTCGACAATGGGAAGAACTGCTCTACCTTAGTGACTAATATGTCATGATATGACATCTAAAGAGTCAATAAAAGATATATATATATATATATGCATTTTGTTCAACATTATAGATGGGGTTCTTGAAGAGGCGTAAAGATGGCACTACAACTCTCAACATCCTAAACCCAGACAATGATGGTGTTGGTAAGTGTGTTGCTTTTTAGTTTCATCTGGTTGAATATATGAGAAAGGCCATGGGTGTTAATGGGTCAATAATTCAGTAATCAATCGATACATTTTCCAACAGGACAATCCTTGTATTTCAGATGGTTTATGGAAACTAAATAATAAGTTTGATTTCAAGTCAATAATTAATTTTAATAGTATAAAATATTGGTGCAATCTTTAGTCAATATAAAATGTAACAAATTCACAAAGGAAACATTCTTGTTAATTTAGATCGTGAATTAAAGAAATATATTCATCAATTATGTTGTTAGTGCTAAGATTGTATAATTAATGTAAATGAAACTGAGACATTCATTAAATGAATAAACTTCATATTAATATTAATGTGGTATGTGAAGAAATTATCGATTTTGTTTATATTTACTTCTGGAGGGGCAGCCTCAGCTGCTCCAAATTGTTTACTATAGCAACTTTCTTAAAACGAAAGCACAAAGACAGGCTGATATTTTGTCATAGTTACCAACTTTTGTGATTGGCAGATCAAAAAAATTCCAGATCTTTCGTGGAAACTAAATAATACAAGTATATATAATTCTCTTTTTTTTTTTTTTTTTTTTTTTTATCTTTCAATCTATCTTTATTTCTTTTTTAAAATATGTTTTACAGTACAAATCTACATAATTGCATTAAAATGATGCATTTTAATTTCATGTGTATCTTTACAATAGTTGACAAATATGATATACCACATTTCATTAAGCCATTCATTAAAATGTTTGTAGTCAATGTTTCGTGTTTTATATCCAAAAATCAATGTTTTAATATCTGTTAAATCTATTGTGATTTTAAAATGATTAAAAATGTACTCTTCTAATTGTTTTAGCACTCTGTTTACTCTTTTGCAATCTAAGAATAAATGTTTATAATTTTCAACTACGTTACATAAATCACAGTTTTCAGTTTGACTTATTTGCCATCTTTTAAGTAAGAACTTACATGGTAAAATGTTATGAAGCAATTTATATTTACAATTTGCAGATTTTTTGTTCTGACACTTATACAAGAAAACCCATACACACTTGAAAAGTTCAGTATAATCTTGAAGCTTACATAGATCAACCCATACCTTTTCCATGAATGGTTTTGATTTGATCTTGTCAATTAGAATTATATAAATGTCTTTTGAAGTAGTTTTTTTAGTCAGACACTGATATGTGTTAGAAGGAACATTATAAATTTTTAATGACTGTTGTGTTGAAACTTTTGTTTTCTTGCTCTCTTGTGAGTTCATACTGTCCGCAAAGTACGTGGGTATTGCATGTCTGATTTGACTATATTCCGACATCCAGTTGATTTTATTATTGAGTTTGTTTAACACATGTCTTTGGGATCCCATTAAGTCATTTATGTAAATAATCTCAGAATTTATCCAGTTCTTGAAATATAGACTTTTGTTTTTGAAGATTACATTTGAATTGTTCCAAATAACTTGCTTTCTAATGTCAGCAAATGATTTGTTTCTGGAGGATGCTCCTCCAATAGTATATATAATTCTCGATAGTTGGAGTGAGCTGATAACCCAAAGACAATTAGTATAGATAATTAGTATCGATGAATGTATCAGTGCTTTAATAATGACCCTCCTACAAAAACCAGATTCCTTTGAAGGTGTGAACTAGATTGGAAAAATTGACCTCATATTTAAGAAGGGTTGCATTTCTAGAGCACTTCTAGAATTATGCATTGCTGAAATTCATGTCTCACCAACTAACACTCCTGGACTGGACAAAACAGTTCCTTATTACAGCTGTTCCATATAGAGAGGGTCCATACTCTTGGCCAATGCCAAAAAATGCTGAATAAGCATATATTTATTGTTATACGATTACTAAAATTAATTTAAGCTTTATAAGTTTACATTTTTTTATATAGGGTGTATAAAATCTGCGAGTTTGGATCATTAAAAAAATAATTTGTTGAAAAAATACAGTATTGGGAGTCAATCTTTAACAGTTGAATGATTCCTTGATTTAACAGGAGCGTGATGAGTGTATCGGCAGATGGGGATATACCAAAAAATGTTGACAGATGACAAAATAAAATATTTTCTAACAAGATGGCGTTTTTTGTAATGTATTTCCTGTGTGTACACAGGAACTGTTAGTCTATCTCCACATATCCAGCCTCTGATACCCATTTTCTAAGAATTCTAAAAATTTGTACCTGATTCTTAATAATGTTATTTTATCATTGATATTTTGAATAATAATTTGTTCAATTATTAATATAAAATATTAATGCATTCTTAAGTCAATATAAAACTTAACAAAATCACAAAGAAAACATTCTTGTAAATTAAAATTACTTATTAGAGAAAAATATAAATCATTTAATTTGTTATTGCTAAGATTATGTAATAAATGTAAATAAAGCTGAGGCATTTGTTGAAAAAATAAACACTATATTGAATCAGTGTGGTACAATGTACATTAAACGATTTGGTTCAAATTTTAACTTCTTGAGGGGCAGCTCTAGCAGCTCCAAATTGTAACTCTAGAAACCCTTGACACTTTATATCCCAATGAACTAATTACGGTAGGAATATAGTTAAACCCTCCATCTGTTAGACCATTAGTCAATTCCGTGTGTCTGTTACATGACTTGTATACTAACGGTCAGATTTTCTTCATATTTTGTGGAAAGATGAACATGTATATTGGTAATTATTTTTTCAAGATGGCAACAGCTTTGAGGATTGCGAAAAATTTTCATGAAAATCTAAGTTATTCATTACTACTCAATGTACCAGATAACACAAAAATGCCACCCACTAATTTTGGAATAACTTTCTTAGTAAATAAGGAATCTTTATAATTTTTTATGTGTAGATAGTATGTTCAGTGGAAAAAAGTTTTCTATACAGCATGCCCATGATTTGTGCCTTTGTACACCTAGATGGTCACCCAAAATACCTAAAGTGGAAATTCTGACATATCTGGAAGTTCTGTCTTTTATCATCTTCTGATCAACAGTAGCAGAGTAGAGATGCTTAATATTCCAATGCGACAGTTTCATGAATATTTTTAATTGTTTGTTGAGATTTTCTAGTTTTCACCAGAATCGCTTAAAATGCTCATCCTTTTATCTCTACACAAAATATTGAAGACTCCGAGATAGTGGGCAACATTTTGAGAATTATCATTACTTCATCTTTAGCATATCCATTTTCGAAGAATTCAAAAAGTTTGAACCTCATTCTTAATAATGTTATTTTATCATTGATAATTTTAATTTTTCAATAATGAATATAAAATATTAATGCTATCTTAAGTCAATATAAAACTTAACAAATTTACAAAAAAAACATTCTTGTTAATTAGAAGTACTAATTAGAGAAAAATATTAATCATTTAGTTTGTTAATGCTAAGATTATAAAATTAATGTAAATGAATATGAGCCATTTGTTAAATCGAAAAACACTGTATTAAATATTTGTGGTACAAATAAGAATTAAAAGTATTAGTTCACATTTTCAATTCTTGAGGGGCAACTTAAAGGCTCCAAAATGCTATTATAGAAACCCTCACCATGATAAACTGTGACATCTCATTTTGCCCTCTTAATGATAAACCATGACATTTCTTTTCGCCCTCATCATGATAAACTGTGACATCTCCTTTCGCCCTCATCATGATAAACCATGACATCTCATTTCGTCCTCATCAGGATAAACCATGACATCTTGTTTCGCCCTCATCATGATAAACCATGACATCTCATTTTGCCCTCATCATACTAAACCATGACATCTCATTTCACCCTCATCATGATAAACCATGACATCTCATTTTGCCCTCATCATGATAAACCATGACATCTCATTTTGCCTTCATCATGATAAACCATGACATCTCATTTTGCCCTCATCATGATAAACTATGACATCTCATTTCGCCCTCATCATGATAAACCATGACATCTCATTTTGCCTTCATCATGATAAACCATTTTCAAAGAATTCAAAAAGTTTGTACCTAATTCTTAATATACAAGATGTAATTTTATCATTGATACTTTCAATTTTGTCAGAAATGATATCATGTTCATTTTTTACTTCGAAATTGGACAAATCACTGAGCATTTTCAAGTTTGAATGAATAATTTCATTTCATTGATTTCATTTTTGCCTCATTTATTTTAGTGAACGAAAAGGAGCGTGTGATCACCCTTGGCAACCTTATTGGGAAAGTTACGCAAGGAACGGGGCAAATTGCAGGATTCAAAGAGGATAAAAGAAACAAGATTAACCCTGGTAGGTTGGCGTAGATTTGTTCATTTTATGCTCCTACTATTCTCCTGGTATACGGCATGAGCTATGAATATTCGAACAACTTCTCATTATATCTTTCATAACAATAATATCTCATTATATCTTTCACCTTTAAATGCAGCCTGATACACGAATATGTATAATCGAGATGTTCATTTTTTCAGTCCACTACCTGCAATATGGTCCCTTCAGCAGCTATGCTCCTGTGTACGATTCCTCCTTCAGTAACCTGTCCAAAGATGAGAGTGATTTCCTAATAACTGCATATGGAGATGAACCAGCAGCTCAATTTGCCCAAAGGTAAGCCAGATTTTCAAACAACTAATATTTTATTTTTATACTACCATCAAGAAATATTGACACATTGTTGTTTTAGTACGAGTTGTCTTGGGTACGAGTTGTCTTGGGTACGACTCGACCAATTACCTTTATAGTCACCATTTTGGTGAGTTTTGTTCAGAACTTCATAATAATTTTTACCTTTGTAATTATTTACAAGTATATATTTGCATATATTTAATGACATATTTGCATGTTAATGCCTTGTTTTGTAAATTGTGTTGAAGAGAGGATATAGTAGGGGTCAGACATTTAACGGAAACTTTGGAGCTGCTACATTAACTTACATTACATTAACTTACATTAACTGATTAAATCTCAGCTTTGTTTTCATCTAAGTCATACAGGCCTTATTCAAGGTGGGTGCTAAAATGGCTGCTAAAATTTATGGGCAGCTGTTTTTGTATGACAATAAAGAAAGTGATATCTGTGTCTATGACTATGTTTTAGAAGTCAACTATTTCATTTATGTCTTTATTCAAGTCAAAGAAGGCTTACTATGTTTGAAATTCCAAGATATATGTATATATCTGAGCACAGTTAAAATAGGACAGTGATTTTGGTTTCTTTGACTACCTATACAGGTTCTAAAGGATGGGTATCGATATGACGAACTGAATTCAACATTGTTGTTCTTTTAAACCAATTATTGAAAACATTCTGTAAAAAAACATGGTCATTTATGTGATGGTCACTGATTGACAACAATTTAATGCAGAACTTATTTAAATATATTTTTATAACTGTTTTAGGGCAATTGTTTTTTGTTCCTTTCAATTCTTGAGAATGAAATAAAATATCTTTCTGAACCTTGGTTGGAACAAAAAAGCATATACATCATTTTCTTACACCTCTCAATATTAAGTTATACAAAGGAAAAGTTGGTTGATTTAACAAAAAGTATTCAAAAAATGAAGAAAAAAATAGATAAAAATTAAAGTAAACCTTTTATTTCATTAACAAGAACGATGTGTAAAATTTTCAGAATGTTTTGATGACTGGTTTAAGAGAAACATGTGTTCAATTCAAATCGGCATATTGATATCAATGCTTTCATAACATTATGACCTAATCAATATGCTAACTAATCTTATACATGTGAAACACAATTTAAGTATCTTGTATGTGTCAAAAGATAACAATAAATGATGTTTTATAGAAAAAAGGAAGAACTTTGACACCATGAATGATCCACTCAGTACCATATTTATCATATCAAATAGAAAACCATGCTCTATCTTACATTACAAAGGGCCTTGGTATAACAAATGTATGAATGATAAAGTTTTCACAAATTTTTGTAATAAATTACATTAAGATATTGTTTATTTATTTATTGAGGAAGAAAAGTGTGCAAAGAGTATCTTAAATACATTTCGCAACCCACTCACTATTTCTCCAGGTATGGTTTTCAACCCTTTCAATTTATGGTGACGAGAGGTAAAAAAAGATTTTCCTTGCCATTTCACTGTTCCACAACTAGTTACTTTGACAGAACGTCAACGTAACAAAATGGATGAACTTCCTGGATACGCTTTTTTTGTTTTCTCGATTTAAACCTACTTATAAGACAAGTTGCCGATTATAATTTGGCTCAAAGCTAGAAAATATAGTTTAGTTTTAATAAGTTTCTTCGATTTGGAATTTGTTTTGTAATTAAAGTTGCAATTTATATATTTAGCCCCTCGCTTTTGTTACATTGACGAAAGTCCATTATAACTATGTAGGTTACTTTGATGATTTACGTCAATATAACAAAAGCGATGGTCTAAACGCATGAATTACAGCTTTATTTAAAAATCAAAATCCAAACCGAGAGCACTTCTAAAATCTAGACTATATTGTCTAACTTTGACGCAAATGATAATCTGCAACATGACTTATACGTCAGTTTAAATCGAGAAAACAAAAAAAAACATATCCAGGAAGTTCATCCATTTTGTTACATTGACGTTCCGTCAAAGTAACTAGTTGTGGAACAGAGCATTTATTGACATTTTTCAAAAACCACTTGCAATAAGAAAGGTCCTACTTTTTCATCATCCTAAGCAGGTGTCCATAACATCTGAATTTGGAGCCCTACATACGAATATGTACTTTTTAAATCAGATTTCCCATTGTCACCTTATTTATTCTGTTTAAAAGAGGTCTGAAATGACATACAGTAAACAGAACACCTTTGGCACCTCTAAAAAGTGTTTCACATGTGAGGTATTCCACTTATAGAGGTCCAAATGATATTAAGTCAATTGGATTGGTCTTGGGACTCTAAAAAGTGTTCCTTATACAGAGGTGTTCCATTTCTAAAGGTGTTCCACTTCACAGGTTTCACTGTTTACAATTGTTTGTTTCAAGATCAGCTTAAACTTCTCAGAAGTTCAAATCTGACTTAAGATTGAAATGATAGTATTGTGAACAACTAGGTGGTGACATTTTTTCATGTTAATGCTTGGTTAAATCAGGCTAGAAAAACAACTCCTCTGAGTCTCAGATCCCACCAAACAAAACATATCAAATAACTCATCTGTTTGAACATTTCACGATAGAAATAACAAGGCAGACAGTAGCATTGTCTTGTCTCCTTTTGGTGAAATCTATATGCATGACATGACATTACATGACACCATAATAGAAATTCTCAAGTTATTAGAGTCCTATACCAATAAAGCATCAACCTTTAAAATTTGGACAAAATCCAACAAATGGTTTTGAGATATCATTAATTATACAAATATATCCGAAATTGTTCATTCATTCATCTATTTAATTACTGTAGATTGGGTTAATTTGGCGCCCGCTTTAATTTGGCGAATTTGGCGAAATTGAAAAATTCGCCAAAATATAGAATGAATCCCCGGGAATTATCTAGGGTATTTCGTTCACTTTATTTAGGTCACTTCCGGTTTAGTTTTTTCCAAAAATATAAAAAAATTCTCTCATAAATTGGCTCAGAACTGGTCAGTCAATCATTAATACTCAGGGAAAACTAGAGAGGAAAAGCACGGTATAGTAGCAGCATCGATCGAGGTGCAAAATGTAAAGGATGATCTCACAAAAATGTACAAACGTGGTGAAAATCGCCAGTGGTCCTCAAAATAAATTTATTTTCTTTATTTTTTTATTTTTGTTTTTGCATATCCACCAAATTAAATAGCCGCCAATATGCCAAAAATGGCAAAATGGCCAAATTAAGTAGCGCCAAATTAACCCAATCTACAGTGGTCAGTATACAAATGTATTTCTCCTAAAAAAGCAACCATTTTGAATTTTACAACTTGTATTTGAGTTATCAACGATTACATTTTTGCAAAAATAGTGGCCATTTTGAATTGAGCAGCCATATTGTAACCTTGTTCAATATGTTGTTTGATGTTTCAGTCTTAAAAATGAGTTTAACAATTAAGAATAATCAGCATAATTTGTGCATCACACTTTAAATTATTTTGCCTTTTTTGTATGCTTTCTGTAAATATATCAAATCATGTATATTTTTATAAAGATGTAGTTTTAGTGAGTAGTTTATGACTAATGTAATCATGTAATGATACAAGATGTCAATAAAAGTTATTTAAGTTTTCTCCAAGGCACAAAAAGAAAGCAATTATTTTCATTTTAGTTCATCAAAAATATAAAAATCATTTTATATGAATGAAGTGGATTGAGATGATTTATATTTTATAAAAAATATGCAAAATTGGTATCTAAGCACAATTTGGCCATCATTTTTTAAAAATCTGTACATACGAGTACACTTGTATAATATAAAAATTGTTAATGAGTTAAACAAATTAGTTTGTATGTTAGGAATGTTTTTCAACTTTCACAAAAAATTACTAAAGATTGAAAAGGTTATCAGAAAAGAAGAGAGGCACTACTATAGTACTAGTTCTGTCCTGGCTACTATGAACATTTTATTAATAATTTATTATAATGACACACTTGAATTTTAACTGAGCCAACGGTACTTCGAAGCAAAGTGGGATTCAGTTTCTCCACAGTTGATTTAAGAAATGACATTATATGTAGGAAACAGTTTCAAATTATTTTATATCCTTATACCATTTTGTATGTTGCTGTTGATATCTTTATACACACATTGGAATGGAGGAGTGCAACTTTTGAAACCAGGAATAAAACAGAATAAACCAAAATTTTACATTTCGGGTGAATATATCGGTCGCCTTGGAAACCTCATGTTTGAACATGCAAGTACATTAGGAATCGCAAGATCCAACAATTTAACTGTGTTAGTCAGTGCGCAAAATGAACTACATAAGTATTTCAATCTATCAGCCGTGCGTACTGAGAATGGTATACCGGAAAAAGCAGATTATATTGGTGAGAATGGATGTTGTAGGTTTGCAAGAAATCTTATGAACATTAAACCAAAAAGGAATGTTACAGTTCACACCTTCCTACAGAGTTTTAAATACTTTCAAATGATCCAGGAGGTAATACGACAAGAGTTTAGATTCCACACAAATATCAGTGAAGCTGCAGATATGTTTATTACTAATTTTACAAAAATGGAGAAAAATGTAACCCTCGTAGGAATTCATATTCGGCGTGGAGATATTCTACGACAGAATAAAATTGATTTCGGATATACTGTTCCAAATACTTTATACTTCATCAATGCAACGGATTATTTCAGAAACCAATTTTCCAATGTGAAGTTCATCGTTTGCACCGATGATCCGACATGGTGGGAAGAAAACATGAATTTAACAAATACAGTGATATCAAAGGGCAAGGAACCTGTGGAAGATTTGGCGATATTGAGTAAATGTGACCATGCGATAATATCAACAGGGACCTTTGGTTGGTGGGCAGCCTTCTTAGCAAATGGAATAACTATATATTATAACAATTGGCCTAGGCCTAACTCACCACTTGCTAGTCAAGTTGATCATATGGATTATTTTATGCCACATTGGATTCCTATGGGTGACAACGGTTCCCTGCCCTTGCCAAAAATTTCTCTCTCAACTCTAGTAGCTAGTGTTTCACTAGTGATTTCTCTAGTTCAGTGTCTCTAGTTAATCACTCGAGAATCACTAGTGAGATTTTATTGTTCTCTAGTGATCTATTCAATTCCTAGTGAATTAAGCAGCCCCAGGTCTAACACTGGGAACATTCAGTAATGGCTAAAATAATCAGGATTCCTTTAATTAATGTATTTTTGTAGAAAGTGTTAAAACAAATAAAGTTTGCATTCTAATAAAGGTATTTCTGAGTATAGTAAAAACTTTTGAAATTGCTGGGGGGCGTGGGTAAACCCCCCCCCCCCTCCCCGAGACCCCCTATTCCTGTGGTCGTTCACTCCACTCAACATGAAATTTCGAAATTTTTGTTTTGTATTTTCAGTTTGATGCCAAATATTACCAAATTAACCATCACATAGTTTCATATTGACTGACGATATGTCATTGTCTGTCACATATATCCCAAAAATAATTCTTAAATTTGATAGGTTGAAGAACTTTGCATATGAAAGTTACTTTATTTCATGCCTAGAAATTCCTTGTATTTCCGAAGTTAAAACAGATGAAATTAAGTTGACGCGAAGCGACATAATTACGCTGTCCTATGGAGTCAACTATGACTTTGTCACATATCCTTGATATGAATTAGTTTAAATACCAGCAGCCTGATTAAACATGCAGAGGGTGTCTTGAAAGTCTTGGTTATTTCGTTCTACGATTTACAACAATGACTGGTCAAAGGATGAGTGTCTTTAAGACCCTGTATTAGGCCCCAAGATATTTAGAAGAAATTGTACAGGATATCAAAGAAGGGACTTTGTTTGATAACCAGGTTCAAAAATTAGGTCATTCTGACCTTCATATTTCAAAAGGGGTGTCTATAGCCATTCGTTCTGTATAATTCAAAAGGTCCGTGTGCAGTATGGCAAGTGATTTTAGACGGTCATATCTTTCACCATGAGTACTTTTAAAATGTTTAAGGCATAAGTACAGTGGTTTTTATTAAAACAAAATGTTTTCTTTCAAGTGAAGTCCCCATGATAGTAAAATATCAATCCAACTCTCTGGAAAATTATGGAGTTAGACCCCGCCTTGTCACTTTTCGAGTTGTTTGATTGATATTTTTATCATCATGGTGACTTCACTTAATGTTAGAAAACATATTGTTTTAATAAAAAAAAACACTGTATTTATGCCTAAAAAGTACTCATGCTGAAAGATATGACCATCTAAAATCAATTGCCATACTGCACATGGACCTTTAACTATTATAATTCAAAATTCGGCTCATATACACATTGAAGAATATATTGCAGTTAGACAACAAGTTTCCCTTATCACATGGGAAATTTCGTATATTTTGACACAGTTGTCAGGTAACATTTCACGTGAACAAAGGAGGATGCTTTATTGGGAAAATATGCATTGAATGTAATAATGTTGTGGTTAGGAGCAAAGCCTATGATGTCCATGACCCATAGAGGTCTCAAAACTGCAAGCCATAGGTTGTAAAGGTTGCAGGTCATAAATGCATTAATGGGTTTAACTCACATTTTTTAATTCATTTACTTCAGTCATAAATGTGTTAAAGGGTTTAATTCACAATTTTTTATGTACTTTCAGTCTTCAGAACTTTGTTGGGGATGCAGGTGATTATGCTATACGAATGGTTGACAGCCTGTTGGGAGTCTTAACTGGCGGAGACCACTTTAAATCGAAGAAAGTTATGCAAGAGGTAATTAGGATATAAACAAGTAAAGGATTGGTATCAATATGGTAAACTTCAGAATTGGTAGAAAGGAACAAAAAACAATTGTACTAAAAAACAAAATATGTTAATAAAAACAGTTATATAAAATATATATAAATAATTTTCACATTAAATTGTTGTCAATCAGTCAATATTACATAAAGGACCGTGTTTTTTACAGAATGTTTTCAATAATTGGTTTAAGAGAAAAAGATTGTTTAATTCAGTTCACCATATTGATACCTATCCTTTTGGTATTTTAATTGATTCATTTGAAATTTTCAAGGTTGCTTTGCCTTTTGGGTATGGAAATATGAAAATGAATAGTGATTAGTTTTAGGCACATTGGGTTAACTTTAAGGATGTTCCTTGTAGATTTAAGAAATTTTGAAGTGTGCCTTTTAAGCAAGAGTTCCTTAAAGTGTCAATATTTGACACTTTCTTCAATTGATCTGATTTTTATATGAGATCCAATGAGGAAGTTCATTGGAAGTTCCTCATTGGATTCCACATAAAAACAATTTTCAACCAAAAACACACTTTCTTTTTCTGAAAATCTCAGAAATATCTAAAGTTATAGTTTGTACTAAACATTTTGAAAAGAAAAATTAGGGGTTAGTGTTCATCATTTTCAACTTTGTTCAGGGGTTATCTTTGATGTGACCATTCTGAATTTTTCATCTAAAATCTTATCTTCGTAGCACTTTAAATCTAAGTCCAAAAATTAAAAACTTCTTGTTAATCTTGATTTTATTAAACTTTTAGCTCAGCTTATTCAACATACATAAAAACATCATCTACTAAATTGATTTACATATTAGCACAATCATGAATAGTATGAATGCAAATCATACCGATACTTCCCTATTTTCGATCAAAGTAGAAAGTACAAAGGGAAACTAAAATGACAAGGCCCTTTAAATCAAATTAATTAAATAATTAAATTAAAACAACTGTTGTGTCAAGTGTTAACTTTTTATTAAAACAATTGTTTTAATGTTGCATTTTCGTTAGCAAACCAAAGAAACTTTAAGATATCTCATCCTCAGATTGGAAAGAGTTAACCAATCACTGGGGCGGCATTGGTTCAAGTTTTATAGTATGATTTTTCATAATTAATGATCGTTTTTCAGAAACAAAGAGAAAAAGAAGAAAAGAAAAGGCAAGAGGAAGAAGAAAAAAAACAATTGGAAGAGAGGGAAAAAGCACAAAAGCAAATGGTTTGTAGATTAATAAACATAATTTATTCATGCCACGCCAGCCAATTACCATGTTAATGCATCCTTTGCTACTTAGAGTAATCACCTCTATATGTCAAAAAGATGTGAATCATCCTTCTCCTAATAGGGGGAATGGTCCCTGGGATTGTCCATGTGACATCATGAATAGAGTGATTGACAACCTATATGGGGTCCAGGAAACTGGGCATGTAAGACATGGCTGCAATTAGGGCTGGCACGGAACGGAATGGAATCGGAACGGAACTGAATTCGGAACTTGCCTTCGGAATTCGGAATTTCGGACCTTATTTAAAATAGTTCCTACTTCTCCCCTTAAGTTCTCATTTTTGTTACCATTGGAACAGCAGTGTACAACTATATATATTTAAGTTTATTAAATACAAACACTAACACTATCTAACTGCCAGAACAAGTGGCATAAATGTTCAAAACTAATGGCAAAATGTTAATGTCCTTGCTTTCTTGGCACCTTGGCATACAACTGTTACTGTATATTGTCTTTCTTACAATAATTCTCTTTTATTATAGGTACTGAATGTATATAAAACAATGATACTTTATTTATTTCTACCATTCATTGCATATAAAACAATTTTACCAAGTGAAAATGTTTAATAATTATATATTTTATTGATTTCGTTTCATAATACGAGTTCGCTATAGCGAGTTAGCGTGTCGCTATAACGATAAGTGAATGTTCTTATAGGAAAATAAAAATTTCGAAAATTATCAGAATATGAGAAGGTAGGTCCGAAAGTCCGTTTCCGAAGGCAAAATCAGACTGTTCGGACAATAATTCCGTTCCGTGCCAGCCCTAGCTGCAATGCTATATATGCAATGTTGATGTGGGAGAGCCAGTCGGTCCTGTAGCTCAGTGGTAGAGCAATCGCCTGGCAAGCGAGGGGTCATGTGTTTGATCCCCACTGGGATGGACTGACTTTTTCACATCAGCCCTTAGCACAGGATTTTATTCTGTGTTTTCATTAATTCTATTGAATATGTTGTTAAAATGCAGATGGAGCCTGCAGAAAATGCTTAGTGCGGATCACATGAAATAACGGTTATTTTTGGGGATTTTTGATATTTCATAATGTTGAGTCTAAAGTTATACGGTTATATCAATATCGGCGTTAGTTGACACTTATAAAATGAAATTGTGGATTAATTGTTCTCTTGAATAATAAATGGGGATATTTACAGACATTCATAATGAAAAAAATATGAAGACAAATTAATATGTACAAATCTTTCGTTTTGCCAGATCTGATTTCATCTTTAAATAGCATATTGGATGAAGAACACTGATTTAATTCCTGAAAAAAACAGGCCCCAAACAAATGAACAACTCATCTAGCAATGAGATAAATTTTAATAAGATTTTTCTTGTTTAAGGAGGAAGCTGCAAGTCAGAAAGATCGTATTGAAAATCTGAGGTCACTGTCTGAAATTGGCATAGATACATCATTCCTGGATTCTTTTGGTAAGTTGCATGTTAAAGGGACAACAAGGACTGTAGAGAAAAAATTCGAAAATTTTTATTTTTTCTGAGCTATCAGGGCAACATTTGGCTTAACATCTTCTTTGAAATACCTATTTTCTTAAAATGTATGGATAAACTAACATTCTTCTTAGCATTAAGAAGTGAAAATTCAGTTTAAAGCTTCTATAAAGGGAGTCCCACCTATAGATTTTTAAGATTCACCACGTTTCAAGAGGAATATCAGCTGAAATAATGTTAATCCAGGGGGTTTCTTTCAAGCTAACAAAAATATATGTTAATCTTGAATGAAATATCCAAACTTCAGTACATTTTGACACTGAGCCATGATCTGCACTAATTGTTGCACCTTTAAAATATCTATGGGCCAAAGAAAATCACAAATTATATGGCCTGGCGATCAAACAACAGAAAGTGATCAATACGTTTTTGGTTTTGTTCCAATAGTATGGGTTAACTCTAGTTCAAAGTTAAACTACTAACAAAATGTCAGGATGATTGAAATCAGAACACAGAAGTTGTTAAAATGCAAAACAAGCAATAGTAAAAATGTTTGAATGTACAGCTTTTCATAAAATATCACATAATTTTAGCTGGTCTCACTGACATTCAGATTGGACAGGTTTCACACAACATAGAGAACTCTCCAATAGAACTTTGCACAGCACCCAATTGAAAATCTGAAAATTGCACGTCCCACAGTTGAAAATCTATTTGCACATTGCCAAAAGTGTGAAATATTGAGATATTTTGACCAAAAACAGATTAAATCAGGATTTAGCACCAAGTTGGGAAAATATCCTGGGAAGATCACTGCTATATATATTCTGAATCTAATAATCTAAGCCCATTTAATCATTTGTTTGTACACAATGTACATCTATGTTATGTCTTAATTGAAATAGACAAAATATATATATATAAGCCCAGTTGATCGTTTGTCTTATTCCTATGCTTAATTGCAAGAGAAAAAATATAAAATTAATGTTTTCCAGTAAAAGGCAACAAACTTCAGTCCCAGTTGGACGAGACTTCTCAGTTAATATCGGATCTCCAGTCTAAGCAAAATGATCGCCTTACCCAGAAGCCGCCGAGTCATCTCCAACATGTCCAAGGACCGTCAACAGAAGAGAAGGCAATAGCAGGAAAAGTCACAAAAAATCTTGCGGAAATAACTAAACAGGTAGGATTTCTATTGTAGAGTTGTTATGTCACCACCAAGAAGTTTTGACTTATTTTAAGTTGTCATAGTTACCAATTGTTGTGATTGGCTTTCAATGTCTATATCAAATGATCAAAGTTTTGTAATTATCACCAGGTCAATGGTGTAAGTTTATCAACTGTGACATTTTTTCAATGGTGACATTTTGTTAATGGTGACAGTGTGACAATGTTGACATTTTGTCAATGGTGACATATTGTTAATGGTAACAATCTGTCAAAAGTGACATTATGTCAGTACCTTGTCTCACTTATCCCTCTGTCATGTCTAAAATTCACTCATTTATGACTTTTATCATCTAACTAAATTCACAAGAATTAAACATTTAATGTTATGTTTCAGGCAACACCAGCAGATGTAATTTCCGCTGGTGCAGTCAGGAGAGCTCTGGGAGTGACAGTGGAGCCCCTCACCCCTCCACCTGTCCCTGTAGAAGACCCAAGCTCCATGGAGGGGAATGCAATGCAGCAATCTCAGTCTGAAATAGAGCACACAGAACCAAACACCCAGATACAAACTTTAGAAGCCTCCAATCCATCAGAATTTCAAAATGAGGCTAATTTCCAGAATGAGGTTGATGGCCATTTTGAAAATGAAACATTGCCGTCTGCTCAAACTCAAAATGAGGCTGGATTTCAGAGTGAGACTGGTGAGATAGGAATCAGTGAAGAGGAAGCAGCAATCAGCTCTATTCTACCAATGGACGAAGACTCAATGCTTTAGTGCTTGTATTACTTAAATAAAAAGAGCATCACTCATGTGGGTTATTATATGTACCTGGAGTTATCTAAAAGGATCTTTACCTGTTATACTCGGAAACAGATTATGGAATTTTTCTGAGACTGGCCCTTTAAAAAATGTTTGTTCTTCAAAGTTAAATATGACTTCTTTCCACTTACTATGTTTTTCTTAGTATCACTGAAAGTTACTGAAATGGTGAGAAGGAATGAACAAAAAATGAATAGAAAAGTTGAGCAAGAATGTTATTTTTGAAAGAAATTATGTGACATTTTAAATATGACAAGCAAAAGTCATGCAGGAATGATCAGGATTTGAAATGTAAAGCAATATTTGAACTTTTTTCATATTTTTACAATGGTATTATTTTCATGTTGTACAAATAGAAAATAGAAAATAAATGGTTTGTGTTTCCATCATATTTGTGTTGTCCTGTTTGAGTTGTTATTGCCAAAATAAAAGATCTGCTCTGATCCTAAGACATAAGTAATACCAAGAATTAAAATTAAGAACAAAATTGTAAGATGTTTTTACATATTACCAATAAGGTAATTCAATTTGTGTTCTGAAACTGTAATAATCCTAGCATGGCATAACTTATTGGATTGATGATCAATTAATCATTTTTATGAAAATATAGTTAAGTACTACTTACACTGTAGTATAACTCATTTTGTAACTTGAATTATATTTTTACATAATTTGGCTGGTTTCACGTTTGTTGTAATATATCTGTATATGTATTTACTATCTAAAAATTAACAATCAAAATCGAAGTTTTATGTTTGTTTATTATTATAGATGGCAGGAAATTATGAAAGTATCTATTTATAAATGCTATTTCAACGAACAAATACATGGTGCGAACTTCAACTGTTAATTTGAATTTTTAACCTACCAGATGTTTGAAAATCAAGGATTGCGAGTCAAAAATTCAAACTAACAGTCGAAGTTGGCACCCTGTGATACTGTAACAGAAGTCGATATACATGATCCACATTTACTTCATCAAAATAGATCACAACTGATTATTCTTAACCTACATGTGTTTAGACAACTTTAATCATGATCCCAGAGAATCAATCTCAATTATATTTCAAAGGTAGCCTGTGGGATAGGGTAACTAAACTAGACATCTACAATATTGAATTGTGAGTTCTCTAAAATAAAATGACATTATGAAGTTAATTGTATGAGCAGCCAACCCATTCAACACTTTGCTATGACGCTAACCTCATTTTTTTACCACAAAGACAAGACAATCTTCAATATTGAATGCATGACTTTATTTTAAGAAATTATTTCTTTACTAAAATGATAAATGAATTCATCGAGGATTCATGTTTCGAATTATTTCCCCATAGAGATGACTGCTGTACTTCTACTTAATCTGACGCTACTTATTTTGGTGGATTTGCTGTTTTGAACATTTGATGGCTACTTGCAGTACATATCTACTAGTCATAGTATATACTCTCCCTAGAAATAATGCATAGACCTTAAAGACACAGCGTCGGGAAATACCAATAATCAAAGATATAACTGTCTCAAGTGCCTGGCACAATCCTACAGGCTCCTTTCATGATAATCAATGAATAAATACAGGGTGGTCAAAAAATGGAAACCCTGCATTTGCCTCATATTCTTGTCATTTTAGGGAATGACTCCCTGATAATTGACGCATTTGTACATCATTCAATTCCCTACCAGCCTACCACATTTCATGACTATCAGACTTTGCCCCAGGTGTGGCCATCATTGTACTGTAGGCAAACCAGCACACATCACTCAAAGTTGTCAATGACCTGACTGCATTCCTCAGTATAGCCTGAATAACACGGAAGATCTTTTTCTGTTTTTAAGGTCCTCACTTGTCCTGAGGTCATTCCCATGAACATTTTGTGCAGCCTATTGCGTAACAGTGGCTACTGGAGCATGTTGTTTTAAGTGATGTAACATTGTGACTATCAGTCTGGTGGTCATGAAATATGGTAGGCTAGTAGGAAATTGAATGATGTACAAATGTCTTAAATATCAGGGAGTAAGTATACCCTAAAATGACAAAGCTGTGAGGAAAATAATGTTAGGGTTTCTGTTTTTTGACCACACCCTCTATTCTCTCAATATCTACAATCTACATGTACTTGTAAATAAAAATCATATCTTTCAAAATCTATATAATATTTAATATATTTTACCTGATACTACATAAACTGGGTTTGTTATGTATTCACTTGAACTTGAAATGGATTTTTAAAAACAAGGTACAGAGTGAGTTTCGGAATAACTTTTCAATCCTAATGGAGATGTGTTCAAAGAGTGAATTAATGGCATGTGCATTATTGACTTCAAGATAAACAGATATTATTATTACCACCTTGCCGGGCCAGTTCTAGGGGTTTTGGTGGGTAACCGGACAACTCATCCCCTAGACAACTCATCCCTGGACAACTCATCCCCTAGACAACTCATCCCCTGGACAACTCATCCCCTAGACAACTCATCCCCTAGACAACTCATCCCCTGGACAACTCATCCCCTAGACAACTCATCCCGTAGACAACTCATCCCCTGGACAACTCATCCCCTGGACGACTCATTCTTTGGCATGTTTGAGTATTCTAATGTAATATTATTAATTCATATATTATTCAAATGACTAACACGATCCCCGATTTAATACCTCACTTTTGTTACGTAAACAGAACTTCAAAATGGTTAAGATCTGCACTAACTCTTTCCATTTACATAGCAATAGTAAGGTATTAAGCCGATTCTGTTGTCTTCTGACTGACAAGTGAACAAAGACTTTCTTGAGGGGAAATCTGGAAAATTGTTTAGAAAACTATGATATACCATGGTACTTCTATGGTATTGTCAAGGAGATTATCAACCAATTAATCTGTAATTTGTTTTGTAAATATTTACCTTTAATTTTACTTTTAATATACAATTTCAATATTATGTTAACATTGATTGAAGAAGCTCCTTTGATGTCATAAGCTCCTTTGATCTCATTATATGTGTGTTGTTCATAGTTCAAACATTCTTTAATCCAAAGATAATTTTTTCACAGCAGTCACAGATAAAGTTACTGAAGTTCAATTTCAAAATTATGCAGAGAGGAAACTTTATTTTTTTGTCATGAAATATTATGTCATGTAATATAAGGACAAAATATGAACGTTTTAATGGCACCATTTGACCATTTTATTTGTGTCAATAAAGTGAAAAATAATATTTAGAATGATTCAAGATGTATTTAATAAATATTTATTTTCCAAAAAAATTTGGCTTCATGTGATAAAGGATGAGTTGTCTAGGAGATGAGTTGTCTTGGGGATGAGTTGTCCAGGGGATGAGTTGTCTAGGGGATGAGATGTCCAGGGGATGAGTTGTCCAGGGGATGAGATGTCCAGGGGATGAGATGTCCAGGGGATGAGTTGTCCAGGGATGAGTTGTCTAGGGGATGAGTTGTCCGTAAGCCTTTTGGTGCTAGTTTAGAAGGCATTCATTTTACAATATCGACCTGAGCAATATGGGACGTCATAGTTGTGGTCAATATAGCATTCCAGACCGGTCGAGAATGCATTTAACGACCGGCAATTTACCCCGGGAAATTAGATATCATTCAGTGCCTAAGAATTTTTTTGTTGTTTCAGTCCTGGTCATTAACGGTGGTAATAATACTAATAATAACCTTTGGCCCTCGGTCCAATATTTCACTATATTGCCCTTCGAAATGACGTTATTGTACTATTACTTATATCCTTATATACATGCAATCCTGACCATAAACTGTATACTAGACCTGTATGCCATGATCAGTTTATAGAATACAAAGATAAGAGATTGCATTCTTTTGTATTCAAAAATTTGTTTTATGGAGTCCAATTTGTTCAAAAGGGTTGTGAATTGGAAACAATTCAGGTACTGAACTTCTACTTAATTTTGTGCAACTTATTAAGGCAGATTTGCTGCTTCGAACAATTGGCGGACATGCAATAGTGAAATGTATATACCATACAAATTTACCATTGAAATATGAAATATTGAATTTAGCCGCTACTTAATTTAGTGGACTTTAACAATTCAAAATGGCCACCAATTAAAGTAGAAGTACAGTATTTATTAGCAAGGAACTTAACAGCACTGGCAATGAAAACTGGTGTTGAGAATTTAGTAGACTCTCCAAAAGGTGTCAGTCGCAGGATCATATTCATATACAGCATCAGCTTTTTCCTTTGACCCACACAAACTGTTTACGAGGGCTGAGAATCAGAGCCATGTCAGGTACTTATTATCAACTGATTTAACAACACTGCTAATGCGAACTGCTGTTGACAATTGAGTCAAGAGTTCAAAAGTGTCAGTCTCAGGATCATATTCCCAAACATCATCAGTGTTTTTTGAAGATCTATGTGTACCACCAAGGATGATTATATTAGAGTTAATCGCAACTGACACAGAAAAGCGTGGTATACGTTTTGTTGAAGGCTGCAATCTTGTCCACTGCTTTATTGTAGGATTATACTTCGCGACCTTTCTCTGTGGAGAGAAGACAAAAATTTCCCCCTCGTAGCAAACAACAGAATGGCACATGAAAGTATCAGAGGCATAAGGTCCAAGTGTGATCTTACCATTGATGCTATCGTAAATCTGCAAGAATTTGCTTCCTGTTATAGAGTCAGGCTGATATCCCCCAATTAAGTAAATGTCACCCTTGAATGCAACAGCACGATGACCACTGACGGGATGAATTAATGCCTGCACTGCATCTGGAGGTGCTTTCCAAACATTCATTTTGTAGTCATAGAAATCAATGCTACTACACACACCAGATTGGGTCTTACCACCAATCAAGTATATGAAGTCACCACACAAAGTGAGTGTGTATTCTTTAAGAGCTTGATAACCATGACGATTAGGTGGACTTTCACATTTATTCCACAAAATGTCATCAGGTTTCTCCATGTTACATTTATTTAATGTTTTGCCATCGAATACATACATTTGACTGCCAATTAAACAAGCTTGCTTTTTTCCATTGTTTTCTTGTTGCGTGACAACAGTCCTAAAATGCAGTTCATCTTGTGTATCAAAAACATCAGTTTCAAACTGATTGTCATCACGTACAGGGTTCACGATGCACAAAGATATATCACTATAGCGAGGCTTACATTTGTAGTAATGATCTTCATGCTGGTAACAAGGAGTTGTTTGATGACGGAGTGCAGCGAAGATACGGTTCCTCAAGCAAGGAAACTCATCCATGAACTCATGGTCCCCAATTTCATCAATCAGGACTTTTGGCTCAATGAAACAATATCTCACACAATCAAATAGTTCTGGAGCATATGTTTTTCTTTTCTTTGGATCCTGATTAATCCATCTCACAATATTGTGAAATATATTTTCTTCTTTGTTCACAAAAAGATCGTCATCTTTAAGATAGCTGACAAGCATATCTTTTTCAAGTTCCAAAAATCCTGGTGACTTTGAAACGGTCTCAAAGTCGCTTATTGCATATCCATAGGCCTTGCACCTCAATATATCATCCCTGATAAATTGAGTAAGATGTAAAATGGTGAAACAATTGTCATCATCAGTATTGAAGAAGAGAAACTCTCGCAAAGCATCCTTCATGCCATTATCAATTTGAAGCATATCTACTGCTTTAAACAAAGCAATGGCATCATCCACTTCATACGTAGGTAGAGAGGGGAATTCACAGTACATATAGTTCAGTATATTCTCCATCACATTGCTTGAAATGTCTTTCATTTTGATAATATTCTGTGATGTCTCGCTCATTCCATTTGAGAACATAGACTCAAAGTAATGAGAGTTTGATGCGAGGATAATTTTATGACACTTAAACATTTTTCCCTCTACTTCCAGTGTGACATCACAAAAAAGGCAATCGTGCCATAGATGATTGAGCCTCTTCTTGAAGTTCGCACTGAAGTATTCTTGAGTTTTCTTGGCCTTGAACTGAGGGTGGTCTTCATCATCGTTATCTTTATTCAAGGCGTCATTGACATTTGAAGACATTTTCAGCAACTAGCTGGATAATTATTACTGGATCACCTGAAATGACAAAGTAAAAAGTTCCTGATTAGCTTTTCAGTAACAGAATGTTACTATAACATACATAAACTATTTGGATACAAATCTACCTCTTTTTGGTGAAAATGATGAAAATAGAATTTCCTCTGATGGAAGTTTATCCATTTTGTTATATAGACGTAACATCCCAGGTGGGGACAAGTGAAATTTAGGTGAAACGGTCTTATCGCACGGTCCTAATTATCGTACGGTTGCCCTAAATAGCTAAAATATGCACTGTACATCTTTTAAATGTTAATAACACCAGCTCAACACCATTACTTCCAATCTTCATGATTTATTAATATATTTAGAAATAACTCTTCATTTTTCTTTAATTATTTACTTCCGCAATTGTCATAAATTCGATTGCGCAAGAAGTGAGATTCATCTGACAAAGTTTGACTCCCTCCAAACGCCAAATAAAGACAGAAAAGTAAGTGAATTATGTAGATTTTGTCATGAACTGGGAGTCATCATTCTGCAAAGGATAGTATCAACAAGCAACAGAATTGGATACAAGATTCAAGTCTACTTCAAGACCGCCGACTCTCACGCCTATTTATCACTATTACCTCAGTTATTCATCTAGTTTTACGTACCTTAGATGCTTAGATGCATCTTATCTCTGTAGATGTAAAATATTGTTTCGAAAATTGTTGTGCGATAATATTAGGACTAAATGTACTTTGAACAGGTCATCGAGGTCAACTGAAAAGAATGCAATGGATCTGGCACAAGGTCATGTGACCTATTCTCGTTCTAAAACGGTAGCTTGAAACTTAATTTCAAATAAATTCAGCATGATCAGCGTCGAGATAAAATTGATCATGTGATTTGTATGTGATCACCATTGGTCAAAATGAGGTGAAGAGTCATCCATCGTGCCATTTGCATTTCAGGATCTTACCAGTCCACAAACAAGGCATTAACATGACAAAATGTCACCACCTAGTTGCTCACCATAGGCCCAGGTGAAGTACTGTAGTAATCCATACATATAATTCATGTATGGATTACTACAGTACTTAACCTGGGCCTATGTTGCTCACAATATCATTAGTTCAGATGATTTTGAAAAAAAATTGGTGACAATTTGAAGCAAGATGAAAAAAGACTTTTTTGACACTGAGAAGGTCATTGAAGGTCAAATTATTTTTGACCTTGAGAATGTCATTGAAGGTCAAATCTATATTAGCCAGATTTGAACTGTTGAATTTGTAGATGCTTTTGAAAAAAAATTGAAACAAGTTGAAAAAAGAACTTTTTTATCCTGTGCCAGGACTATAGTCCTGAGTATGTCTCAATCTTTTGCCTGTACGATTACAACATGGGAGAATTTTCTATGCCTCAATAGATTCCTTGGTATTTTAGCAATCTTTTCGTGTAGTTGAATCCACAATTATCTGGGTTTATCGGCAGAACGAAGAAATTTACGTTTTTGATCGCAATATTTGCGTGTAATATTCAACTTATTTCAACCCTCAAATTCCTCCATTTATTGGTACTTCTGGGCCACTTCCTGGCCAGTCAAACGGGGAATCCCCTATTAAATTCAACCGCCATCTAGAAAAGTGATGGAATCTCTCTTGATGAAAAAGAAAAATGTTCCCGTTCTGCCGATAAACCCCAGATAATTGTGGATTCAACTGCACAAAAAGAATGCTAAAATACCCAGGAATCTATTTAATTGAAGTAGGTATCTTAAGTGTAAGAGGCTTAGAAAATTCTCCCATGTTGTAATTGTACAGGCAAAAGATTGAGACGTTCTCAGGACTATAGTCATGGCACGGGATAAACCTTTTTGACCTTTTTTGACCTTGAGAAGGTCATTGAAGGTCAAATCTCAAATTTCAAGTCAGATTGTGTAATTGTAGATGATTTTAAAAAAAACATTGGTCAATTTGAAGCAATTTTTTGACCTTGAAAAGGTCATTGAAGGTCAAATCTCAAATATAAAGTCAGAATTGAACTTCTGAAAATGGTTGTACAAAACATTTTTACATGATTTAAAATTGACACTTTGGTACCACACACTGTTATATTATGGAAAATTGTATCTGTTTGTAACAGTGTTACCATTTTTTGACATTGTCACAGTTGTACCAATCGAATGCATTATTACATCGTTTAAAATTATCACAGTTGTACAATACATTGTTTCATTATTGAACATCATTTGTACCAGATATAATCCTGCATTTGATCGTGTCTCGCCCATGATTGTCCGACTTTGAAACCTCCAGAATACACAAATATCAGAATTTTATAAGGAAATACCTCCTAAAGAAGGCGCTTGGGTGACCGGAAAAAAAGGAGACCATTGAAGTAATCAATTTCTCCTAAACTAGACAAGTGCCATCAATGAAATTTTGCATACACTGGAACAGTTATATGGAAATTTGTTACTGAAGGTTTCAATACAAGCATTCAACTGGTTCAGGAGCTATGATCATTTACATAACATGCTCCAAATAGGCACAATTGAGACCAACGCAGAGTTGGATTCATATGGCAAACTACCCTTACATGTTCTGCCCTCTATGGCATTATTATGGCATTACATATAGCAGTGATTGCCTTCTTTAGGTCAACAATAGTCTGAGGATTGTTTTGGTATAGATTGTCTTTCAAATATCCATACAAAAAGAAATCAGCAGGATTCAAGTCTAGGCTGTAATGGCAATGAAGGGTTATCTGACATGTGGTTCATCATCCTGTTGCCAAAGTGCTGATTTACCAAATCTTAAGAGTCACTTTAGGTATTGGGCATAGTGCCATGTTACTAAAACCACTATATGGCACAATTAAATCCCATATGAAAACCAAGGGCTGCCCAAAACCTCCTTAGGATGATACTGTAACTGAGTGGGACCACTGAGTCAGAAGCCATAGGTCAGATAAGCTTCGTCTCCATACACCTCAAATTTGAATCCACCTGATTTCTTTTTGTGGGGCAATTTGAAAGACAATGTGTACCAAAACAATCCTGAGACAATTGCTGACCTAAAGGTGGCAATAAATGCTAAATGTAATGCCATAACAAGGTCGGAATATGTAAGGGTATTTGCCAAATGTATCCAGCTCTGCGTTGGTCTCAATTGCGCCTATTTGGAGCATGTTATGTAAATGATCATAGCTCCTGAACCAGTAGACTGCTTGTATTGACACTTTCAGGAACAAATTTCCATAGAACTGTCCTGATGTATGCAAAATTTCATTGATGTCACTAGTCTATTTTAGGAGATATTGCCTATTTCAATGGTCTCCTTTTTTTCCGGTCACCCTGTATTTCCCAAGAAAAATTCTACCATCTGTGCCAGAAAAGCACCAAAAAGTGTACTCCCATATATTGGCTATATGGGGACGTGCCGCTCAAGTGGGTCACTTTTTCGCTAAAAAATCCCTAGATGTGGGTCCCGTTTCAAGGATAAAAAAAGATATGGGTCCCATTTTGATGAAAAAATCAACTGGGTCTTCTTTTTGAAAAATCCTAAAACTGGGTACTGTTTTTGAAAAAAAATCGCTGAAAGTGGGTCTTGTTTGTTTTTTAAAAATTGGCTTGAAGTGGGTCTATCTTTGAAAGAAAAAACGTAGATGCAGGTCTATTTTGAAAGAAAAACCCTAGATATGGGTCTATTTTTGAAAGAAGAACCCTAGATGTGGGTCCATTTTAAAAGAAAAAAATCCCTAAATGTGGGTAGATATTTTGAGTCTCAGTGGCACCCCTGTACAAAAATTTGACCAGTACCCCCCCACCGGTTCTGCCTCATTCATTGATCTTAGAGGCCTTAGATTATTCTATTAGACCCTAGTCTAACTTCCCTTTGTAGATTTATTTCTCTTCTTCCTTTGTACAATGTTTACTGTAACTTTAGGCAAAGTCCATATGGGCAAACGCTACACAAGTGCAGCGAACTGGTGTTTATCTTTACTTATCTTTTCCCGCTAGATAAAGTTTTAAAGTTTAAACTGCGAATCACGTGCGTCAAAAGCAGTTCTAGACTAGACTATACTAGATATATAAATGTATCCATTGATTTATAAAAAAAGGTGTGCTAGGCGTCGTTCAATGTCAGATCACCACAACGTAACTAAAATTTGCTTCACTCTAGATAAATTAACGTTGTCGTTGAAGAGATTTCTTATCCGGAAAATACACCTTCACGTACACTTCCTGTGAAAATCAATTTTTTAATTTTTTCTTAATAATTTTGTAGTCTAGATCTATTTCTGTCTAGAAGGTAAGGATATACGTAGCCAGGCTTTACCAAGTTTACCAAAGGGGTACCAGGAGTCTGTTTTATCACAGCTAACCAAAGCAGTTTGGGCCAGGGGCCGCGCGTGAATTCGTACGATCCCAATCCAATAATCCAATCCAATCCGGATAAATTTTAATCTTGGATTAGATCTACAGTCAAAACAGTAATGTTTGTGAGTACTTTGAATTTAAAAAATAAGCAATCAAATGACCATATTGAAACAGTTTATGTAAAAATAAGAACATTTATATTTATCCTAATCTTTGTATATTTCAGATAGTAATGTATAGAATCTCAACACAAATTCTTTAGATAAGTTCATGTGGTGAAAATAACGAAATAATGAAATGTTACCGTGTGTCTACTTGTCACGTGTTAGTCACGTGAGTTTGCAAAATGGCCGATCTAAATTTCCAAAAATTCTGTTAAGATCAACATCGACATGTTGTTGCCTTCATTGTCGTGTTTGGCTGCGTTCCACAATGTAACCTAGTAGTGTTGTCGCGATTAATCGATACATCGCGATATACATCGCCAAAGCTGATTCTGGCGATGCATCGATGTCTGAAACAAAACATCGATGTTTTTAAAAAAAATTGAATTTGCTAAAAATCACCCTTTCTTATCTTACTTTGACGCAAATCGCTTACCTTTCTCATGACTTATTTCATTTTCCAATGTTTTCTGATATTCTTTCGCTTTAAAACTGCTTTAGCTAGTCGAAATGAACCATTAATCTAAAAAAATTACTTTTTACTTTCATTTCACCGTTACTAGAAGTTCCCGTATGTACCAGCGTACTCTTATTAATTTGTTCTGTTCGGTATTTTAGTGCATTAGCGTTCGGTATTTCAGTGCACTTTTCTCGGACTTTTTCTCGATGTACATCGCGATGTGCATCGATGTTTACTCCTGAAAATTGCCGATGCATCGATGTACGATTATGGCACATCGCGACAACACTATAACCTAGCAGGATGGATGACATAGAACAAACTGCTAAGTAGACACACGGTAACATTTCATTATTTCGTTATTTTCACCACATGAACTTATCTAGAGAATTTGTGTTTAGATTCTAATGTGCAGCAAAGCTGTATCCTTTTGTAACTGGGGAGTTTCAGCCATGTTAATTTTTTCCGAAATAACATGGCAGAGAAGTAAAACACGCATATGGGTGTAGTGCCTGGTACGCATAGGCGTTCCAGATGGTTGCAAATACACTCCAAATACAAGCAACCTTCAAAATTTTTCTCCGTCCCAGACCCCCCTGAACACTTGTTCTTCCCTTCACTGAATTCATGTTCTCGTGGTGATGTACTCCTCATAAAAATAGCGCTATCCCCATGATTCATAAAGGATGCTTGTATCTTTTTGGTATCATCTGAGACTAACATAAATATGTTAGTCTCAGGTATCATGAATGAATAGATACAAACTTTTGAGAATGAGTAGACTAGCAGTCAAGCATAAAACTGTATATCATAGACTCTGTGTCAATAATTATCCCATCGAACGAAGTTCGGAGGGATATAGGGAACGCCTCCGTCCGTCCGTCTGAATTTATCTTTGTGGAAAGATTGTATGCTTCAGTTGCTCTTTAACAAAACATGTGGGACAGTGTATCTATATATTACAAGATGTCCGTCCGTCAATCCGTCTGTACGTCCGTCTGTCCCGGCAATAACTCAAATACCGTTGGCCTGATTTTGTTCATATTTTGTACACATATACCCTATGGAGGTAGAAGTTCTGCTCGAAAGCCGATTTTCAAAATGGCAGCTCATTTCAAAATGGCGGCCATTTTAGTGCCGAATTTACAGTAATTTAGGTGCAATATGTAAAACTGTAATAGCAATATGTTTTAGATGTAAAAAAATTATATAGGACATTAATAAAGCTAGAAATGTAGATATTAAAGAAGCACATGGCAGCCATCTTGAAAAATGGTGGCCTTTACTCGTTATTTTACGATTTTTGCTGTAACTCGAAAAGTAGTGGAGCGATTTTGTTCATATTTGGTATGTGAATACTATAAACATTGCACACTGTCTAAAGACACTTTTGGTAGAAGGTGGCCATTTTAACCTATATTACTATAACTCGAAAAGTAGTGAAGCGATTTTGTTCATATTTGGTATGTGAATACTATAAGGATGGCACACTGTCTAATAACACTTTTGGTAGAAGGTGGCCATTTTGAAAAATGGCCGCCATTTTAACGTATTTTACTATAACTCGAAAAGTAGTGGAGCGATTTTGTTCATATTTGGTATGTGAATACTAAAAGCATGACACACTATCCTATGACACTTTTAGTAGAAGGTAGCCATTTTGAAAAAATTTTGAAAAATGGCCGCCATTTTAATGTATTTTATAATAATTCGAAAAGTAGTGAAGCGATTTTGTTCATATTTGGTATGTGAATACTGTAAGCATGGCACACTGTCTAATGACACTTTTGGTAGAAGGCGGCCATTTTTCAAAATGGCTACTATAATTTGAAAAGTAGTGGAGCAATTTTGTTCATATTTGGTATGTGAATACTATAAGTATGGCAAATGGTCTAATGACACTTTTGGTATAAGGCGGCCATTTTGAAAAATGCCTGCCATTTTTGCTATATACTTTGTTTGTTAAAATGCCATCCATGGCTGTTCGATGGGATTCGCTACGCTTTGGCGTTGCCGTTGTTCTGGTTAAACTAGCCCTTTGTATATTTGCAGACATTTAAGATAGATGTAAGGACACCAGCATGCTCATACAGTTCCATCATTACCACCGTATAATTATATACATGTACAATGCATATTTTCTTCCAGAATAATGAGATAGAGAAACAGATATTACAAGCCTGAGTCGACACTCTATAAACATGGGGGCTGAGCAGAGCAACTCGAGTGCAGCTCCGTTGAAGTCACAAAGAGACGAAGACATCCCATACACTTCATACTCTATAAGTAAACCTATTAACAATGGTAAGTTTGTTTATCTGGTTTATAAAAGGTATGTACAGCACTTATTTTTTGTCAATGTTTTTTGGTCACATAGAACAGAGAAACTGCCATTTGAACAATGTTCATAATCCATTTTATGGGTTCCTTTCCCCTATTTTTCTCATTTAGGAGAAAGGAGCTTTTGTACATGTGTTTTAGCAATTAGCATTATAAAGAAACCTGTCTAAACTGAAAGGAACCAGCCAAAAGTGTTCCGATTGGCACATTTCAAGGTTTTTCAACATGCACGTCTATAGCGGATAAAAAATGGGACCAATAAAAAAGAGGTGTACCATTCCCAAATAGAGAGTTGTTTGGATGCAGGTTTTATATTTATGCTTTTGTACAGACTTAAAAAAAGTAAGTTGTAAGTCTGTGGCTTTTGATATGATCTTTCCATATTTCATCATTATGATCCATTTCAAGAATCGCATGCATATATCACTTTACAATTTTTATTTGCTTTTTGGTTGAAGAATAAGCCTATTGAGTTTTCTTTTTGGCCCATTTACATTCCTGCATGGGAGCAGATCCTACTCTGTGGTGCTCTCCCCAGATTTTGGATTTCAGAGCAACATTTTAGGGTTTTTATCTTTTAAAGTGCAAATATTTTAGATTTTTGTAACTCTGTTTAGCACTTTAGGATTTCGTAATTTAAAGTCAAATATTTATGATTTTTTTCATAAAACATTTTGCAATTTTAAGTAAAATATAAAATTCTGATTTTTATTTGTTACATTTTTATGACACATTTTTTTATGAGGCACATTGAATTATATAAGAGAAACATTTTGATGTAACAGTTATGAATTGATTGCAATTGGAGGTGCTGGGCCTCAGAGATTTCAATGTGTGGAGAGCACTTCTACTACTGACAACCAACTCCAGTCTGTATCAGTAGCAATTTGTGTAAATTTATGGCTTGATTTCATGTTCTAATTCAAATTATCATCCCTGTTTGTGTATTTAATCTCAACTTTCCCATTTTTAGGAAAACAACAAAAAGCACAAGGTACAGTATGGTAGATTATGGGTGCTTATGTATATACTCACTAATGAATGATATTTCTGAAAATCAGAGTGAACATGCAATTGATTTTGTAAAATTTCTGAGTGACTACATTTCGTCATAGCATAGAGACATGAAGCATTGTATGAAGATTTCTGAATAGGAATGAAAATACATGTACAAACATTTGTTTGATTGCATAAAATGTCTAAGATTCTATTGAGTATATACTGGTTTTGCAATGAAGGACTCTACCCAGGTGCCCTAGTTGTGCTTAAAAGGTACATGGGATAGACCCTCCTTTGCCGGGAGCTTGGTGCATAATAATATTAACCCATGACAACCCATTTTTCTCTTTTAAGTGGCCATTTAAATTACCAAGTGTCCCATAAAATTGTACCCAAACGAAGCAGGACTAATCCTTTCTTCTTCATTGAAAAAAGCTAAATATTTGACATGATAAAGAGAATTCATTTTCCAATGAACTGTTAAAATTTCATAGAAAATTGTGAATCAGCCTACTTATTTATCATACTCAATGCAGAGCATGTAATAAATTCAAAACATGGAAGAATGGGTGAATTTGGTACTTAGCTTTTCTCTAACTTAATAGATTTACATGGGGAAACTCTCAAATTAAAATTAAATTGTCTGTCAGATGACCAAATTTCAAGAATATTCCTTCATCACTCACAGAATATTCCATGTTCGTCTCGGTACAATTTTTTGGGACACCCTGTATCTTATAAGAAAGAGGGTCCATTTTATCAAAAAGTGACTAACCATTTAAACATGTTAGCTAATTTGATTCCAGTCCTTGATTAACACTTTTTACGCAAATAATGCATATGTTTCCCTTTAATACTAGAATATGTTCTTCAGTAATAAAACATTTAAATAATTTAAGTCAAAGGTCTCAGTGATCATGCTTTATAATAAAAAATATATATTATTATAAAATAGAGGGTAAAATTGAGAGGAATTCGCAAGAAATTAAATAAACAGGCATGATACTAATCTAAAACATAAAGGATGTCAGAGATTCAAAAAGTTTATGTAACTTTTAGAGAGAAATGGACAGGTGTTGAGTGAATATAAGCATGATCAAAATGACCAGTACTTATCTTCTCCCCCCTCCCTCTATCCTTTTATAACCCTGAAGCTTGAGTGGTGGGAAACGGTTTAGTTGGGTGTAGAGCTGTCAATCAGGATTTATCCTGAGTGACCCATTATCATTCTTCAATCTACAGTTAGCCGAGTAACATACAGGGTGGTCCAAACCATGGAGCATTGATTGAGCACAACATTCATAATCAGGCATGTCTGTTGATGCCATATAACTACTGGAAGACTAAGGCTAAGTGACCTATATGGCACCCACAATAACTTCCTGTAAATTATGTCAGTATATTAGCCCATGAATGCAAGTAGTAACTGAGATATAGTTTGTTGCAAATGTTCACTTTTTGGACCACCCTGTAGATTATTCTACAAGGTGCCATCTCAAATGTTTAACACTAATTCTTGCAAACCTTTTTTTATTTAGAAAATCTATTCAAAAACAATTCACTGATATGTTTGATTATCCAGCAATATAGTAATGGACTTGTGTGAACCAATAAGTTCATATAACATATAAGTTATGCGCATATTCAATGTTTGCAAATGCAGACAATGCCATGAATGCTTATAATCGTTAATATGTCACAAAATCAATTTTAAGTCTTTGTCAGTTACTGATTTACCAATGTTTTTATATAGTGCATGTATTTCCACAAAAATATACTAAATGAAAAAAAAGACACCAAATTAATTCTTTATTAAATCAATTTGCTGTATAGATACACTCTCTCCGTAGCAGATTAATTCCTGGTTTAAAGAATATTTCTATATCATTTCAGATAGCCCAAAAGCGTCACCTAGACTAAAAGATAAAGCTAAATCTAGTCACCATAGAGACAAGGAAACAAACAAAGATTCTCATTTGAAGAATAACACACTTGTGGTTGTCGCTAAGGGCAACCAAGGGAACACACAAATTGACCCGGAACTCTTAAAGCTTGATGCTATCCCTGTGTTTTTGCCTCTCATGCGGGGGTCACTGAATATTCCAAATATGAGAGACCCTGAAGTGCTTGATAAGCTTGATTATAGACAGGTATGTTAAATGCGTGGAAATGACTAAAATTAGTACTTTTTATACTCAGGTAATTTTAGTGATTTTAGTAAAAACTTAAAGCTATCGCTAGATTGGATTTTGAGCTACTTCAAGGCAGGAAAATTTGAAAATCAACTAATATTGGTTTTGTATCCAGTCCATGTGTCTCCCTTTGCTAATTTTTGGTAAAATTAAATGACTTTTGAGCAACTTCAAAGAGGGAAAAATTGGTTCATAATGATATGAAAATCAACTAATATTTGTTTCGTGTCAAGTCTGTGTTTCCCATTTGTATCTTAGGTTCAAGATATAGACGCATCGGGGTTAAGGTGACCATAAACTTGATGAAATGTGAAATGTTCATTTTTTATGTCCCCACCACATAGTGTGGGGCCATATTGTCGGCCTAGGTGCGTCCGTCCATCCATCTGTCTGTTTGTCTGTCCCTCAACTAATTGGTTGTGTCAAGTCTGTGTTTCCCATTTGTATCTCAGATTCAAGATATAGATACATCGGGGTTAAGGTGACCATAAACTTGATGGAAGAGTGAAATATTCATTTTTTAATTTGTTGTAGGTGCTTGAAATGTGTCTGAGGTATCAGGAACACTTGCGTCAGAGCTCTGAGGCTGTTGCCTTTGATCAGAATGCCCTCTGTGTCCGAATAAAAGAGGTGAGGTTTCAAAAATCTACAACTACAGAGAAACAGAACCCATAACTTCTATTTAAAGATTTGTTTTGGGGTCAACCTGTACATAAGAGAAAAGAAACTCATGTCATGTATTCTGAAATATTTTAAACTCGTGCAAAATTTCAACTATGGTATGAACATCTGAAACACAAAATATAAGATAAAGCTGTAATTTGTTATGTAAATGGAAGTGAGTATCCAAATCATGTTACAAGTAATAATTCAGATCCTTTGAATGAATCGGAAAGGATTATTAAGTTTACAAAGATAAAAAGTAAATAAAACGAGACATTTTATTTACAAGACGGAATAATACATCAGTCTGTAATGACTTATTATGAATAGATGAATCCTTAACATTCTGTTAAACATTGTAAATTACATAATGTAAACATGTTCTATTTTAATACAAAGAACGTAATTGCTTAGGAAATTCTGATGAATGTGAAAGTGAATTGAATTGCCACAGAAAATACGTTTTTTTTATCCATGATGAAAAGTTTTTTTCGATCACAATAATACTCCAGTTATCTAAAAGAAATGTTGTCAGGCATCACTGGCAGATCCAGGGGGGTGTAGGGCCACAAAATATGGGCATAATTTGGCCTTTGTAGGCAAATTATCCAAAATAGGCCTTAAATTTTCAAAATTTGGGCTCAAATTTTAGTTTTAGGGGCCCAAAATTTTTACCAGATTCAAAATTTGGGCCCCCCTTGTTAGCTTCTGGATCCGCCAGTGGGCATTAACTTTTATTTAATTAACCCTGTCAATGTAAGAGTTGATTGAATCGACTATGACGTCTTAGTGTACTTTGGTTATTGCTTTTAATGCACTGTCATAGGATTGGGAAGGAATTTTACTTGCCAAAGCCAATCCTGTTCAGTACCATATGTACAGTGCAGACTGTGTCCAATAAAGATGGCAAATGTGTAAATGTTTTAATTTGCTTTCAGATAGACTACATTACACACAGTTTAATGACATCCATAGTTGAAAGACAGAAAAAGTTTGCTAAATATGCTGAACAAATCCAGAAAATTGGAGAAATAAATATTGTACTTAACAAAGTCAAAATGAACGTTGAACAGACAACTGCCCTAATGGAGCGTTTGAACAATGTTCTTCCACCTGAAGACAAACTTGAACCTTTCTCCATGAAGCCTGCTTAAAATAGGCCTTTCTTCACAAAGCCTGCTTAAAATGGGCCTTTCTCCAGGAATCCATCTTAAAATGGGCCTCGCTCCATGAAGCTTGTTTAAAATGGGCCTTTCTCCATGAAGCCTGCTTAAAATGGGCCTTTCTCCACAACCCTGCTTAAAATGGGCATGGATGTAGCCAGGAATGGGGGAGGCTGAGAACTAACTTTTTCAGGCTAATTTGTTCAATGAAACTGAAAAAAGTCTCCAATATAGTGTCATTATAAACACACTCAAATTATGAGTGAGATACTCAGTGAATTACATGAAAATTAATTGTAGACTTGTAGTGCTTCAGTGAATTACATGAAAGTTGATCGTAGAGCTTCAGTAAATTACATGAAAGTTGATCATAGAGCTTCAGTGAATTATATGAAAGTTGATCGTAGAGCTTCAGTGAATTACATGAAAGTTGATCATAGAGCTTCAGTGAATTACATGAAAGTTGATCATAGAGCTTCAGTAAATTACATGAAAGTTGATCATAGAGCTTCAGTGAATTACATGAAACATGTGAAAGTTGATCATAGAAGTTCATTTTCCTAAACATATGATACTGATACACGTTTGTGATAAAAATGTTGTGGGGATTCTGCCTACAACGTGTGAAATAAGGAAAAAAGAAAAATCGTACCTTCGATGTTCCGACATTTTGTTACCGAAACGAACCGTAATCGAGTGGATCACCAATGCTAAAGCTGAACACACAGCAAATTATTCCTCCTTTGCTACGCATACAAATAAAAAAATAATTGTCCAGTTTGCGTTGATTAATAGTTATTTTTATTTATTCAGATTTTTTTATTGTCCATGCATCATCATGATTTACAACCCAAAAGGGTAATGCCAGATTGCTTTCATTATTGTTTTGCATTTTCAATCATAAATTTTTTTAACAATGGACACTTGTTTGAAAAGAGCTATGCTCACAAATGAACAAACAGTGAAATAATCAACATATTTTTTTCAGCATATGTAACCATATAATCCAGATTCTGTCTCGAAATCAAACTTTAACATAGTGAAAGTTTAAAAATGACTGGCATATCATATTGCAATTTTAGATTCAGATTATTGCGATTTCTTTTAGGCTTTTGCTACAATGATACCATACTCCTGTTCGGGCTTGGGCTCCTTTAAAAAATAAATTTGAATGAGAAACAATAACTCACTCCTTTTCTGCAAAAAAAGATCAATTTAGTAGCTGATTGAGCCATTGATTCACTAGCCCTAAATGCATTACATTTCCGCGTGAACTCAACCATGGACCTCCATCCTATATATCCCTATGGAGATAGAGGTCCATGATTCAGTGAAGCATGTTAATTTACATATAATAATGAGACTAGTTTCTTTCATTTGATATACTGTACCTGTATATATCAAATGCAGTAAAATTGGAATTTATAAACTGCAATATAAAATGAGCTGTTTTTATTTAAAATGCGATAAAAAGTGAAATCATAGTGGCATGTATAAGCATCCAGAAGCCATATCACAGTACATTTACAGAAATTAGTCATCAATTATAAATGTAATTCTATCAATTTTATATTATCAGATTTATATTTTTAGATACCTATTGTTCAACTCCCATTTCTGTGACAATAATTTCAATCATCATCCCTTTACCTTCAACGAATGACCTCTCTAATGGTACAAAAACCGTTAATGGAATCAATCGACTTTAATTACATACTGTCACGTAATTGCACATGTAATTATAGAAATAATCCATACATGAAGTTATCACAGAAACAACCTATGCATGAAGTAATCACAGAAACAACCCATACATGAAGTAATCACAGAAACATCCCATACATGAAGTAATCACAGAAACAACCCATACATGAAGTAATCACAGAAACACAGAAACATCCCATACATGAAGTAATCGCAGAAACAGCCCATACATGAAGTAATCACAGAAACAACCCATACATCATGAAGTTATCACGGAAACAGCCCATACATGAAGTAATCACGGAAACAGCCCATACATGAAGTAATCACAGAAACAACCCATACATCATGAAGTTATCACGGAAACAACCCATACATCATGAAGTTATCACAGAAACAACCCATACATCATGAAGTTATCACAGAAACAGCCCATACATGAAGTAATCACAGAAACAACCCATACATCATGAAGTTATCACGGAAACAGCCCATACATGAAGTAATCACAGAAACAGCCCATACATGAAGTAATCACAGAAACAACCCATACATCATGAAGTTAGCACGGAAGCAGCCCATACATGAAGTAATCACGGAAACAACCCATACATCATGAAGTTATCACAGAAACAGCCCATACATGAAGTAATCACAGAAACATGAAGTTATCACAGAAACACCCCATACATGAAGTTATCACGGAAACAACCCATACATCATGAAGTTATCACGGAAACAACCCATACATGAAGTAATCACAGAAACACCCCATACATGAAGTTATCACGGAAACAACCCATACATCATGAAGTTATCACGGAAACAGCCCATACATGAAGTAATCACAGAAACATGAAGTAATCACAGAAACACCCCATACATGAAGTTATCACGGAAACAACCCATACATCATGAAGTTATCACGGAAACAGCCCATACATGAAGTAATCACAGAAACACCCAAGACATGAAGTCATCAAGTCATAGGAATCCAGCCGGGTGGAAAATAATCTTCTTTAACAACTTGCTGAGATAATTTTGAACTAAGTCTTGGCCAGTTTTCATAGTACACAGTTATTCCATTTGATAAGAATCCAGCCCACCACCCAAAAGATCCTGTTGACATTATCATATGGCCGCATTTACTTAGTATCGCCATGTCTTCCACTGGTGAGTTCCCATTTGATATAATCACATCGGGGAATTTCTTGAAATTCTCAACTGACCATGTAATGTCATCTGAGCATAATATGAACTTCACATTGTTGAATTTGTTCCTAAAGAAGTTCATAGCATCGTCGTAGTAAGTCAAATTTGGAACTGTATATCCAAAGTTTATGAATCTTTGCATATTGGCTATATCACCCCTTCTTACGTGGATCCCAACTACAGTAACGTTGTTAGCGTTTCCAGTAACACCTGTATGAAACTTCGTTGCATTTCTATCAATTTCCTCGTTAAATACAAACTGTCGTTTGATTTCATTAGAAATGTTATACCAATATTTATAACTTTGTAAATATGTATGCAAAGTTATATTTTTCTTTGGTTCAATTTTGGTTAAGCTTTTTGTGAATCTACAGCACCCTGATTCGAACATACGAGTATCATTTTCTGGCATCCCTGTTTTTGCCCGCAATGCAGATAGTTTGAAGTAGTTATGTAACTCACTGTTATTTCTTGTGAGAACTGTTAAATTATTGGCCCTTCCGATAGCATATCTTGCTGCATACTGGAACATGAGGTTTCCTATTCTTCCGGTGTATGCCCCACCTATATAATATTTTGCAGAGCTCGAGGATTCTTTGGGGGTAGGGATTTTGACTAGGGGCCCGTCTTCACCCATGGGAATCCAATGTGGCATAAAGTAATCTTCGTGCTTTGTTTGTCTACCCAGCGCTGTATTCACCCCAGGCCAATTGTTATAATATATAGTTGTCCCATTTGCTAAGAAGGCTGCCCACCAACCAAAGGTCCCTGTTGAGATTATCATATGGTCACATTTACTCAATATCGCCATATCTTCTTCTGCTTTCGTACCTTTGGATATCACAACGTTCGTCAAATTCATGTTTTTCTCCCACCATTTTCGATCATCTGAGCAAACAATGAACTTCACATTTGAATACTTTTTTCTAAAATAATTCATCGCATGGATAAAGTATGTAGTATTTGGCGTGGTATATCCAAACTTGATTTTATCTTTGCTTAAAAGATCCCCACGTCTAACATGAATTCCTACCAGTGTTAAATTTTTCTCCATTTTGGTAACATTAGCAATGAACTCCTTTGCAGTTGCACTAATATCATCGTGGAATGTGAACTCCCGTCTTATTTTCATGGAAACGTTCTGAAAGTATTTAAAACTCTGTAGGTACAAGCCAACTGTAACATTTCTCTTTGGTTTAATATCCATTAATCGGCTTGTAAATTTACAACACCCGTTTTCACCAATCCGAACTGTTTTATTTGGTTTTCCACTTGGGGTACTAATGCCTGAAAGATTAAAATATTTATACAACTCATGTTTCTCGTTGACTAGCATGGTAAAATTGTTAGATTTTGCAATTCCTAATGTGCCGGCGTATTCAAACATGAGATTCCCGAGGCGACCAGTATATGAGCCTGAAATAAAGAACCTTGTTTGCTTCTCTTTTGGTGCAGATGTACCAGAATTGTTAGGATTAGCACCTCCAACACTGTACCCTGTATATTTTCCCGCTCCTCTAATAATCTTGTTCAGGGTATTGTTTGCTTGATTCATCTGGTTCATACTCGGCATGGTACGTTGCACAATTGTAGTGCCAAGGCTCAAGTAAAGTAAGACCATAAAAGAAAATGGCACTAGGATGAACAGGCATCTTTTGAAGCACGCCGTCATGTTCGGAATCTTCCTGGCGAAAGCTCGAATCATTTTTGATAGTTTTTTCTGAATCTTCGATAACGTCCTTCACCTAGCCCTCTTCTTCATCCCAGACTCTGTCGAATTGACACTTATTCTAAATTTCTTCCATCTTCGTATTTAATCGTTGAAATCTGTAACATATTATTGATATAGTTGCATCACTAATTTTAACAGATTTTTAGAATCAATGTACAGTTTTGAATAAGAAGGACAATAAAATAATATATTCAGTTATTATCAAGAGAGAAGTTATGACAACAGCAGGTGTCTCTTAGCAACAAGTAACATGTAAATTTCCATTATTTTGCATGTTGGTTTCATTTGTTTTATTGCCTCGTCTTATAAATTAATAAAAACAGATAGCGATTATTTGATATATTGTTGCGATACGAAGAGGTGTTAATATCCAGGGAATTCTATTTATCTAAATGCATCTCAGGATCTACCTATTGAAAATCATAAGAAATAACTATGCTCAGATTAAAAGCATTTTCTTTGTTTAGACATTTTACGCAAAATGAACACATGTCCTTTATTTTGTAGTCTGGGCTGTATATATTATTATGAAGCCTACACTTCCATGAATTATGCATAATTAAAGCCACAGATTTACTGCACATAAAATTAATTCATCTGAAATATACACAAAATTTGCATTTAAAGAAGGAATGTATTCAGGGGAGATCAGATTTAAGAAGATGGTCGAGCGAAAGATCTTAGGGTTTGGTTTAGGGAAATGATTTGGGTTAGGGTTGTATAATATTCGGGGTTCTTTGGTTGCAGCCTAAAATCGCTACCTGAATATTCATCCATATAATATTGCATTTGGAGATAATATTGCACTTGAAGATAATATTGCACTTGGAGATAATATTGCACTTGGAGTAGATAACTAGTTTAAAATGTCATCAAATCTGTTATTACTCTACCTCTTTAGATATGAATGCTGTAAGGAAAAACATTGCCATATTGTGACCTTCAAATTATGCCTGTCCTTTGTTGCATCTTTAAGAGTAAGATTTTCCATTAGAAAATTATAGAATACGATTTTGTCAAGATAATTCAGGATGGACTTATCTGTCATTTGCTGCTCCTTTAAGTGTAAGATTTTCCATTCCTTTGTCGAAAATTAAAATTAGAATACAACTTTGTTAAGAGAATTCAGGATGAATACGTGAAGAGCATTGAATTTCCCAAGGCATGTTTTAATTATGGTAATATACCATTAGTAAAATACCCAAGTGATCGACATTTAAAATTAAATGGAAATGTATGGAATTAGCAAGAAATAAAAAGTATGGAAATGCAAGGAAATTTATACTCAAAAGGTGTAGCCAATACAATATATTATAGGCCTATAAAATGTCCGAAAATCTTTGGAATAACCATGGCTATCCATAACAGAAACCTTGAACATAATTGATACATTCGCAAACATATTTCCCACGTGGTTTTTCTGGCATAATATCAATGTGTTAATTTCCTTAGAGGTCGATGTGGCATTTACTAAGAATATTTAGTGTATAATTTGGATAAAATAGGCCACGAAAATAATTTCCTGGTCACTGGATTTTTTAGACCAGCTTATTTTTTGAATATATATATTTTTAAGAACTGCACTCCAAAATATCGTAAATATGGTGATTCATCATGTTTTCGATTTTTGTTATTTGTATCTATTTTACCATAGGCTTTCAAGAGATGCGAAGCTATAGGATGGATTGATATTGGAGAGAGACAAAAAGGCATATGATGTTAGATATCCAAATAGGTATAGGCCTATTCAGAGACATACATTCATATGTCTCTGGCCTATTTGAATAGGCAGTTTTACAATCAGCATTTTGAGCGCCTTTCAAGTGATTTTGGGCCAACATTGTGAAAAACCGCCCTTCCTGGAAATTTTTAAAACCAGAACCTTGGAAAAAACTGGCCATAGTCTTGGGAAGGACCAAGTCAATCAGATTTCCCCTTAAAATCATCTATCGCCCAAACGAGAAACATTAAATATCTTCCTGGCCATTCGCACAGAATTATGTATTTGAATTCCCGATATATATATTTTCTACCTGACTATAGATGACAATTTCTCTGTATGACATGAAAAGTGTCCGATTGCCTTGAATTTTATATAAGTTGAGGTGTTGCCCGGGGGTGTTGCCTACATTACGTTACATTAACTTTACTCTTAGCTTTAGTGATCCATTGCCCATTTAAATATTAAATTAATATCCAAATTAACACGGAAACTGCGACATTAAATTCGCTGGTTAATATCAAATCAGAATAAATACCTTGCTAGTTATGTACAGATTAAGCCTTTGTTAATGATGTAATTGTTTCTTTTGTGGTATCCCTCACATGTAAATGGTGTTGTTCAGTTTAATTTTGATCTTTCTTATTTCTTTTCCACCAAATACTTTTTTGTCTTCATTCTTCATTCTTATTTTCTGTCTGTTGTATCATATTAAAGCTCCAAAAGTACTAGATATTTCCACGTCGTAGCTCCAATAGAGTAACTTGTCCAATAAATACCAGATTTAATATATATACCCACATATGCAGGCATGGGCCTTTTATATGAATCGTTCGATATATTCGATATTCTCTTTCACTTGTAATGTTCTGTCTCGGGGATCGTCATGCAGGTATATTGACTGACAACTTGCAAATTAAACGCACAATCCATATAACAGTACCTATTCATATCCTTTTCATTAGACGAAATGACTGTAAAGCGTGACATCATTTTCAAATGTTTTTCTTCAACGCGGAAGCCTCAAGAATGATTGCATATATTTTCCATGGATTATGATACAATACGATTAGCAAGTGTCCATTTAATGAATAGTACGTTAAATTAATGATATATCATTATTCCTTCGTACCCATCCACTGAGATGAGAAGACCTACATGCAGAGTCTTATCGTTTGTCGCTGTTGTAATTAGAAAACCTATTCAAACGTGACCAAAATGGTTCCTGTTGACCAAGTTTGTCTTATTGGTAGCTTATTAATTCATCACAATTTTCGTCATTTCTTTCCTATTTGGGAATCAGTAGTTATGTTGATCCATTTCTTAGCTCTCCCCACCATGTTTGTCAAACGGGAATCGTATACTATATCCAAATATAGGATTGTTCTCCTTTAAATCGTTCATAGGGCTTTTAAACACAATTGCAAATACAATTCCGTTCGGATTTTAGAAATGTCTGATGCAGCTTAAATGGTAGCTGCCAAATTTTCATTCAATTCGGCTTAACAGTCCTAATGTTGATTTTGTATTTCCGAGACTTTCTATAGGTGACTGTATTCGGTATTGGAAAGTCCATGGTCACATGATTAAAATGGCACTATATTGAATAAATCGCATAGCGCATGTTTAAAATTCTTAGGCTGATGGACCATAGGGTTTAGCAGGTATTTTGTTACTCCATAATCTGGTTAAAATTGCGATCAGAACTTAATTTCTTCGCATGACAAAATATTTGTAATCCAGATATTACTTGGTTTAGCTGAAACCGAAGCTTTATCATGGTGGGATCCACGGTCTTAATTATCCCATCAAACGAAGTTCGGGGGATATATAGAACGGCTCCGTACGTGCGTACGTCCGTCCGTCTGTCCGGACAATAACTCAAATACCGTTTGAGAAAAACATTTCATGTTTCGTGTTTTAAAATATCAAAAACATTTATACAATTTTGGACCCTTATATTTCTTTTATACGTATTCTGTGAATATTCTTTACCGAGTCTGCTAAAATATAGATAGGTAAAATGGGCATTGAAATTGAAAAAAGTTCATACTTTCTTGAAGCCCACATCATGGATAACTATAGTACTTGCAGCTATGATTCTGTCTAACTGCTTGTACAAACCTAACTATAATATGTTATTAATATTTCCCAACTAAATACCCTTACATAACAGGCCCGTAGCCAGGATTTCTGAAAAATTCCAGGGGTGGTCACTTGTGACAATTTTGGTAAAAAAAATGGCCAAAATCACTTAAAAAGTGCACAGAATGGTGAAAAATTGCATGATTTTGAAAGATTCTTTGGCCAGGGGGAAGACGCTCGAACACATCGACCCCCCTGGCTACGGGCCTGCATAATCATAACTATTATTAACTTAACCTTATATCCTAGATTAGATCACTGCCTGTCTTTATTTATGAAGGAATGTGTTAATTGCTCTTAATTATCTGGTTTCATATATTTTATCACATTATGCCGAAAAATGATTGCAATAGTCCAAAAACACGAAATTAAAAACCTAAAAACATTTTTTATATTAAATATCTTAATTGCATTTGTAGTCTATTGCACAAATAATCCCATATTAAAAATAAAAAGGAGTAGGATATGAAATGTATTGATTGATGTGTCTCGAATTGTTTCACTCTGTAATCCATTTTTTATTCATGTTTACCATTCTTTCCAATATCTCATTCATTGAACATCGATAGCTTACAGTACAAGGCAACAATGATGTGAGATATGTTTTGTATGACAATGCTATACCAATGCCTGCCTATATCCCACTAAAATTAATATTATATTTTTGTGTGTCATAAATCGTATATAAACGTACACGTGTTCTTTGGATATAAACCATACCCTCGCTTCTGAAATCAATATGCATGGACGCCAGTACAAGACCGAATGGATCCGTTAGCGTCTTCTGCTATTAATACCCGCCCACTATGGAACCCATAATGAGACACCATTATGAAAAGCTTAGGGGTGATGGCAATGAAGTGAAAGACTAATGGGGCACGCCAAGCATCCAGCACTGCTTCGCAACCATATCCATCTGGAGCATCACAACGCCACTGCTCGCTTCATCAAATATGTACACTTGCTCGCTTCAACTTGAAGACTGTTATCAAGTACTCTGGGTGGCAGAGCCTGGTATTTAGGCTTTAGAATGGAGAATTCAATCATAACATAAACAAATGTTACAAATCTGATCAGATCTAAACGATTCCAAATATAACTGGCTTGATGGGAAAAACAAAATGATACGAGGTAGTTCTAAACACGACTATACTTTCAAAAGAATGGATGGCAAACGATTTCTATGTAAATTCAGATACCTCGCAATCGCCTCCCAACAGAAGCCAAAGTATCCTTTAATTCATTTTCTTGATTTCGGGGTTTTAAAAACCCAGGACTGCAAATGGAACGGACTTTGAAGAATCGTAGCCTATGTAACAGTGTAACGTATAGGTATATTTTTGCATACGGGAACATGAAGTAGCAATCCTCTTTTTAATGTTTATAGACCTTACTAAACTTGGAAACAAAAGGTTCTCTCAGGCGGCCAAATCGGACCTATAAAGTTATTTTGCGCGGCAAGTTTAAAAGTTTACAAACTTTTAAGTCCAAAAAGTCAAAAACAAATATAAACGTCCATAAACAATCTAACAATAATGTGTACTCAATGACCCAGAGCCTACTGTACTAACTGACCAAGCAAAGAAGACGTCACTAATGATATGACGTCATACGAGCAGGTGCGCGTTTGAATGCCTGGCAACGTCCAAGTACCTGCTTCACGCTTCAGTTCAAAATCAGCGGAGTTGTTCTCTTGTCTGTTCAGTTTTAAAGTTATCGAGTAAAAATATGCCTCGGTCATTCTTGCAAACAATACGAGATTACAAAGAAGGAAGCCATCATTGCGAAGGTAAGCTGGCAAATGGTTTTAGAAAATGAATGAAAAGAGAATTGCATTCAAACGATTCTGCCAATGTTTTGCCGGTGTTGTCCTAATCTAGAAAAATAGAAAAAATACGATCCTATGAGGTGACTAAAAAATAAATATGTGTGAAAGAAATTTGTATATAAGCTAATGTAACTCGTTACATTGTCACATTATGTTCAATGATGCGTATACTTGACATTTAGGTCAACATGCATAACCGTGACACCCTACGATATCATCAGTCATGAAAGTGGCGATTGGTGGCCGAAAAGGCGATTGGTGGCCGAAAATGTATTGACTTTACCTCAATAAAGTTTATACTATAAAAAATGAAAGTGACTTGAATGTCAATATGTTTCAAAGCATTTCTGAAGATCTATGCTGGAATACCAGACTGTCTTTTTCTCCTTGTCTGCTTGTAGGCCCCCTCTGATGTGTTATATGACTGTTTGGAATGCATAGACAATGGTTTTTAAGGCTCCTTGTAATTGAGGCAACCAAAGTTCAATATAAATTCAATTCTTTGGAGGTCAAAGTCCCTGAAAGGTCAACAATAGGTCAATAATGGGTGTTGTTAATTAACTTTTATATATAGTGTAAAATTAAACCTTTGAGCTGGACTATGTCATTTATTTTATTCTCCTTTTCAGGAAGTGGTCACTATGTCATGACAACAAGGTCAGGCCTAAGCATCCGCAAAACTCCAATACCACAAAGCAATCTGCCCACAAGCACTAAAGTAACACCTCCAGGGGACTCTTACAAAGTCAAGAGGGTGATGAAAGACAAACCACTTAGTCTACTTCCAATTGTTACCCGGCACAAACTGAATGAAAAGCGACACCTTCTTCTTGAAGCTGGAGAGCGACTCGACATGAAATGGACTGAAGATCCAAACTTTTATAGAGCGCGCCAGAGGCAACCCACAAGTTATTTGGACTATGGTTCAGACTCGGATGACAGTACACTGACAACAGACAGCGGGATATCATCTGAAACAGGCTCTTTCCAGAATGTTACCTACCCACATTCAATGATATCCCAAGGTGGCTCCAAGGGCTATACTCACCCATATTCTCCCCTGATTGATGTAGTGAGTGTTGATGAAGGTGACAATATGATGACACAAACATTGAACCCTGCCTCCCCTAGCAGTAGTAGACGAAAGCAAATCTTGGGGGATCGCACTCGACCAAGTAATCACGCCCAAGTACAAGACTATTGCAGTCCGATAGCAGGTGGCTCAAGAGCTCTGACAGGGTGTTGCCAGACAGGGCTGTGTGGCCGCCCAGGATGTATTAAACCCACCAGGGGTGGAGGTCCTGAGATGTTCACTGCCTCAGAAAACCTCGAGTTCCTCAAACTTCAAGTTCAGGCCCATATGTATGTCACAGATACAAACGGACGTCGTATACACAAGTGCCTCGTCTGTGATAAGGTCTTTAGCATATTCCTAGCATATAGTATGCACGTACGCACACATTTCAAGACGAAAAACCGATGTCCGGTTTGTGGGAAAATCTTCACAAGATCTTGGCTTTTGAAAGGACATATGCGAGTTCATACTGGAGAACGTCCCTTTAAATGCCCTTATCCTAACTGCCCAAAAGCTTTTGCTGATAAATCAAATCTCAGGTCACATCAAATGATTCACACAACAAAACAGAAGATCCACATGTGTACAGGATGTAATCGGGCCTTCGCTCAGAAGAGATACTTACATAAGCATATGTTGGAAGTTTGTAAGCAACAGTTACCTCCTGATACACAAAACGACAACTAGAAAAATAGTGATATCCTAACATAACACATGAAGTTTTATAAGCAAAAGTTATATCCTGATACATAGTTGGATTTTAAGCAAAAGTGATATCCAAACATGACCACATGTTGGAGTTTCGAAATCAACATGTCACCTACTACTGTCCCAATAGACAAATTGGTTAAAACAGCTAAGTACGTGTAGCTCAACATTTTATTAAACAATGAACACACTAGTGAAAATTAAGAAAATTCTTGAATGATATTAGTATAGAACACTTGGTAAGCTTTCTCGCAGTGAACTTTTAGGCACAGTGATAGAAGTGAGTCCATATAAATGTAGAGTGCTGTTAAGTCAGATATGAACATGCCCTTACATCTGCTGACAGCAACATAAAATTGTTATCAGAAAATCCAGTCTGATGTTTCAAAATCAATTGAAAATATAAAAATAAATAACAGAAAGATATTAGACAGCAGATATAGAACATAAGTTACGTCTATATAAATTGAATTAGTCATGGACATGGCCAGGATCTAAAGAGAGGCGAGGGAAAAAATAGGGTAGGCAAATCTAGATAAGGCAAATTTAAATAGGTGAGGCAAATTTAAATAAGTGAGGCAAATTTAAAGAGATGAGGCAAATTTAACCTCTTGACTACCTTGAGTGACGAGATTTCTCGTCACCTCAGGATTGACCTTTTAACCCAAAGTGACGAGAAAATCTGTCATAAAAATTTTCACCTAAATTGCTCTTATTTGAAAAATTTTCATCCAATTTACACGAAAATTGTTTTAAAATGTGTAGAAATGATCTCTGCCGTCTAATTTTACTAAATTGAGCATCTCAAGTTGTATAGGTAAGTAGTAAAATGTCAAAAGATGGCAAAAATGAAAAATTCTCTGGTTTCAACCGATTTTAGAGCCCGGGATTCAAGAGGTTAAATAAGTAATCTGAATGAACATTTTTGGTGGAATTTTGGTGAGGCAGTTGTCTACCTGATGCCTGGCTATGCCCATGTCATTATATTATCATTTTTACTGAACTTTGCTATATGTTACTAAACTATTGTATATATTCATATTGCACATGTTTATTTAAACTGTATATATTAATGTACCCTCTTCAAAATATACAAAATGGCTGGCCCATATTTTTGCTCTATGTACATAATGTAAGTAAATATAAATTATTTAAAGAAAATCTACTTTATTTCTGGTTATTATATAACATCTGATCTGCATAATAACAATAATACAAACAACAAGAATCTTCAACATAACTAATAAATAGACATAACATATAATTTTCTATGAACATTTCTAGTAAAAAGACAAGGCATTAACATGCAAAATATCACCACCTGCCATTTGTTACATATGCCAAACGGTGAACACCAACTGTCAAACACCAACTGCTGAATGTCGTCCACAAAAAAGTTGGAGACTATAACAATATGTCACTTCTTATGGTGACAGAGTAAATCCAATTCAAGAGGTGGGATCGAAAAATTTATCATCTATGGTGATCTTGCTACTTTTTTCAAAAAATGCTAAAAAAACTCATAATTTATTTTTCAACCGAACTTTTTCAAGTGATTAATGTTTAGCATAAAAAGACAAGACTTCAACACTGCACTAGCCCCAAACCAGTATGACATTGTGCAAAAGATGGAATTAGTAAATAAAATTAAATTGTGAACATATACATGTATGGAGTATAAATAAGTAAAAATAATCAGATATAGTGTCATCTGGAATAATATGAACTGAAAGATTTCTATGAATCCAGTACTTTGCAAAACATCACTTCCAAACAAATCCTGCTTTTTGTAGACCCCAAAAAAGAAATGTGATACATTCAATATTAGTTTCTTAGTTTCCATACAAAATCTCATACTTCAAATGTTCAAATCTGACATCATGCCTACCCAGTAGATTTTGCAGTTTTTCACAATTTGAATTTCACTGCCATGATTGCACTTGAATTACAAAAAGAAATAGAATTTATAGGCTAGAGAGTGCGTGAAAATATTTAATGTATAAAGATGCATTGTCTTGTAGGTTTCTCTCCCGATACGTCCCATTATAATTGCTAAGTCAATATCTTACAAACCTTAGATATATCTTGAGACCAACTTATGGCCACAATATTGCACTGAAAGTTGAGGATTTGGGATTTCTTCTTTGGTAATAGATAGACAAATATGAAGTATGACTCAACATGTAAAAGGTCCAGGTTGGTCTTGATTTGCCCCTATTAACCTTTATGGTATAATGCATTTTAAAATCAAAAATTGGCATCGATTTAGTTTGGCAAATCCTGACCAAAACCCCAAATTAAAATGGGAGACATTTACATTTTCTCTTCAAAAGAAGAATAATATACAATGTAATGTAATGCACTGCTCTTTGAGCCATCTATGACAGTGTTTGTGACTTTGTATTTAGTAAGCTGAAAATATATGCGTATAATCCCAGAGATGCATCAGATCTTACAATGTTCTCCATTTAATTCCAAATACTGCAAATACTGACATACTCCCAAATCGCAACTAATATGGTGCGCTTCAAAATTTTTCAGTACCTCTAGAAGTACAGGGGTCCAGAACCAGTCCAATGAACTTCCCATTTCAAATATGAAGATCTGTGTTATGAACCCCTGAACCTGAAGAATATTTTTCCCACACCTCTCTCGAGACTTCCTTTTCATTGCACTTTGGTTCTTGGATAAAATAATTCCCAAGAGATTGTCAAGTTTATGTCCACCATATCCCTAATTTTGGTGTTTATGTAGACATGAAGTTCTCCTTTGAGCAGACCTTAATTCACGATCCTATGGTTTAGAAATCTGAGAGTGATAGATCAGTCAAGGTGCTAAGGCCTCAAATAGGTGGTAACAATTCAATGTCATTCAACCATTCTTCCATTATATCATGGCTTACTATAAGGCTTATATATCAAAACATTAACAGCTTTATAAAGGTTGAAATTGTTGTGACTCTGGGTGTCTGCCTCTCTGCAGTGAGCCCACAATCACAGGACTTAAAGGGGTTATAAGGCGCAATATATCCACAATCAAATCTTCAAGGGATTGCATCGGAGGTATGTGGTTATCTTCATCCAAGCCTTTATTCATATCACTACTATATACCACTGTTTAAAGCTCGTGAATCACGGCTCAAAGAAGCCCTCACTGACATGGCCACAGTTAATACAGTCATACATATTCCCAATTGAGGCTGTATTAGTAGATCACATAGGTGGCAACTGATGTTGTTCAGGGGTGTCTGCAGTTCTATCCCCTTCCCTCAGTCCATCACTCACTGGGCCACGGTTTATCAAGCTCAGCATTGCCTTGGCCTCTGGGTCTTTGTCCAATATGCTGACATGAGCATCCTGAAATTAAATGGAGATTTACTTGTTTAAACAAAGTCAAGCATAAAGGAATAAGAGAAGAATTAACGCACATGTATAAACGTTAAAATACACAGTCACAGGAAAACCTGTATATAATGAACACCTGTGGAGCCACAAAAAGTGTTCACTGTAGGTAGGTGTTCACTACAGAGAGGGGGTCTTGTATAGGAGTCAATGTGAAATGTGTCTTGAAGTGGTGTTCACTACAGAGAGGGGGTCTTGTATAGGAGTCAATGTGAAATGTGTCTTGAAGTGGTGTTCACTACAGAGAGGGCGTCTTGTATAGGAGTCAATGTGAAATGTGTCTTAAAGTGGTGTTCGCTACAGAGTCTTGTATAGGAGTCAATGGGAAATGTATCTTGAAGTGATGTTCACTAAATACAGTCAGGCTTCACTAAGGCAGGGTTTCTGTACTTTATGTATATGAATTAAAGTTCAGAAGTACCAAGCATAAGGCCCCTAAGTACCCTCTCCAAGACCCATCTGCCAGATTTTCACAGCTGTCAACATTTAGAACATTGTCTTGGTGATACAGAAATGTATTTTTATGTAAAACTTACTGTCAGATCTAATCCTGATGCAGATATCACATGCTTCTGGAAATAAACAGGAAAAAATTATAATTACATATAAGTGTTGCATTTGAAAAGTGAGTGTTTTCGCTTTTACAATTAATTATGAATAAAATAACTGTCAAATCATCTTCATTAGCCCCAATGTTTTTCAGAAGGCCATATATGGAAATTGCTATTTGTTTACTATGCAATGCTCAAAATGCTAATCTATCATAACTTCCACAGAGATTTTAGTACTACACCCAAAGCTGAGATAATTTCACAAAATTATAGCAGTACACTACTGATTTGTTACTGTAAAAACCAGCACACCTATGATATGATTCATAACATTTAAAAAAAAATCACAATAAATTCAAAAATTATAGCGGGTTTAGCAAGATTGTACTATGAAGCTCAATGAATGTCAAAGATCACTGTATTAAAAACATTTCAACAGGGTAGGGGTAAGTTATTATTTGATTCTGATTCTTGCCTTTTTAAAATTGATGATCACATGTGAACCAGGGGGTTATTAACAGAGACTTCATAAAATTACGAATTCGTAAATCAATTGTTGTAACCATGGATATAATGACATCACAGTTCGAGAATAATTGACTTTACAAATGCTTAACTTCACGATTTTTCTGTTAATGGTCCCCAGACAAATAACTTATCCCATAACCTATATTAGAAACCTGATCATTTTTATTCTTACCATGGAGCCCCCTTCCTTCTCAATGTCAGGTCCTACTGCCCAAAATTCTATTGCATCTATTTGGAATTCTGGCTGCTTAGAGAGCTGGGGACTGTTGTATGTTGTACACTTTGGTTCTGCTCTAGATTCTCCTATACCATATTCCCCATCTAGCCATAGGCCCCAGTAATCAAACTGCCCACCCATTCCCTGAAATAAAAAGTACTATACTATTTAGAGACTAGATTATTAGAGACTAAAGGCCATTTATTGCATCTGAAGTGCCCTAGAGAGCTGGGGACTGTTGTATGTTGTACACTTTGGTTCTGCTCTGGATTCTCCTATACCATATTCCCCATCTAGCCATAGGCCCCAGTAATCAAACTGCCCACCCATTCCCTGAAATAAAAATTACTATACTATATAGAGACTAGATTATTAGAGACTAAAGGCCGTTTATTGCATTTGAAGTGCCCTAGAGAGCAGGGAACTGTTTTAACTGTTTTTACACGAGTCATGATGAATTGAGTTGGTTTTCAAAAAATATGTCACAATTTTGAGATATGTCCTCCCCTCAATATTTCCTGTCACACCTATTTTCTTAAAAGTCAAAACATAAGATATGACTTTATTTAAGGGTAATCCTTTGATATTTACTTATTGGCAAAAATAAGAAATAGGATATACCCTTTTGCATATTTTTCAAATCTTCAATAACTTCTTTATATAATCAGAAATCTCAATACCTAGTAATACCAAAGAATTGTGGGAGCTACTCACTTCTGGACTTTTCCAACAAATCCTGACCCATTTTGGAGAACCAATGAAACTAAGGTAAACTTGCTAAATTATGATGTCATATCGTACACTGCAGGGAGTGATGTTTGTAAATAAAATTGTTTGTCAACAAAAGTGACATTTTTGAAAATTAATAATAAGTTTATATAATCTAATATAATGACATCATAACCAATAGTTGACATGATTTACTGCATTGTCATTCTGTATATTACAAAACTGACATTTTTGAAAATTAATAGTAAGTTTATATAATCTAATATAATGACATCATTACCAATAGTTGACTTGATTTACTGCATTGTCATTCTGTATATTACAAAGCTGACATTTTTGAAAATTAATAGTAAGTTTATATAATCTAATATAATGACATCATTACCAATAGTTGACATGATTTACTGCATTGTCATTCTGTATATTACAAAGCTGACATTTTTGAAAATTAATAGTAAGTTTATATAATCTAATATAATGACATCATTACCAATAGTTGACATGATTTACTGCATTGTCATTCTGTATATTACAAAGCTGACATTTTTGAAAATTAATAATAAGTTTATATAATTTAATATAATGACATTATTACCAATAGTTGACATGATTTACTGCATTGTTATTCTGTATATTACAAAGCTGACATTTTTGAAAATTAATAATAAGTTTATATAATTTAATATAATGACATTATTACCAATAGTTGACATGATTTACTGCATTGTTATTCTGTATATTACAAAACTGACATTTTTGAAAATTAATAATAAGTTTATATAATCTAATATAATGACATCATTACCAATAGTTAACATGATTTACTGCATTGTCATTCTGTATATTACAAAGCTGACATTTTTGAAAATTAATAGTAAGTTTATATAATCTAATATAATGACATCATTACCAATAGTTGACATGATTTACTGCATTGTCATTCTGTATATTACAAAGCTGACATTTTTGAAAATTAATAGTAAGTTTATATAATCTAATATAATGACATCATTACCAATAGTTGACATGATTTACTGCATTGTCATTCTGTATATTACAAAACTGACATTTTTGAAATTAATAATAAGTTTATATAATCTAATATAATGACATCATTACCAATAGTTGACATGATTTACTGCATTGTCATTCTGTATATTACAAAACTGACATTTTTGAAAATTAATAGTAAGTTTATATAATCTAATATAATGACATCTTTACCAATAGTTGACATGATTTACTGCATTGTCATTCTGTATATTACAAAACTGACATTTTTGAAAATTAATAGTAAGTTTATATAATCTAATATAATGACATCTTTACCAATAGTTGACATGATTTACTGCATTGTCATTCTGTATATTACAAAACTGACATTTTCGAAAATTAATAATAAGTTTATATAAACTAATATAATGACATCTTTACCAATAGTTGACATGATTTACTGCATTGTCATTCTGTATATTACAAAACTGACATTTTTGAAAATTAATAGTAAGTTTATATAATCTAATATAATGACATCATTACCAATAGTTGACATGATTTACTGCATTGTCATTCTGTATATTACAAAACTGACATTTTTGAAAATTAATAGTAAGTTTATATAATCTAATATAATGACATCTTTACCAATAGTTGACATGATTTACAGCATTGTCATTCTGTACACTACAAAATTGACATTTTTGAAAATTTGCATTAGGTTTGTCCTGAAATTGCAGGAATGTCATCATCGCCAAGATGGCAAGATTTACTAGGTTGTCATTCTGTAATTTACCCATTAAATTGAATGCGTTTTCTTACCAAGCCATAAGGCATCGTGGACTGCCCTGAGTTGAGGTACATGTAGTGATCGTTGTACCCTGTGGATGTGTAGATGCCAAGCTTTGGTTGCATGGTAAACAGGAAGCATGAAGGGTCACCTGGAAAAAGAGTATGGAATAAAAAGATTAGAACATGTAGTGTAGTGAACTAATTGGCCTCATGCAAAATTTTACAAGGCATTATCATGCAAAATGTCACCACCTATCATTTGTTACAGATGCTGACGGTTGGAGACAATGACAATATGTCACCATTCCTGGTGCTGACATAAAATGTCTGTCTGTCTCCTCGCTGAGTTGTTGAGGTTCATTGCAGAATTAGGGTGTATTTTCTCTCTCATGGCTACACACTTAATAACTAAAAGACCCCTAGTTATCTGCACCTCCATTACTGCATTTGTTTCATTTTTGATTTCTATTTCAATGTGCTGGATTACTCCCATTACAAGGGTTATATTTCTATATTTATTTCATATTTCTGAAGAAAATTTCATTGGAGTATACATGTACTATCTTTGAAGAAGCTACTTCTATTCAATAAGATCAGCTGATTATCATATTCCCTCTATTCAAACAAGATATGTCTTTATATTGTATACTATACACCCACAAAGGTGTCAAGTAAAATCATTTAAATAATACTACATAAACATGTATAAGAAAATAAAGCTGAATTGAATTAAAAAAGGTTGAATTTTTTTTATTCATCAAATACTCCACCTTATACAGTGCAAAAATAAAATATCATATTAGAATTTTGACATTGATAAGATACAATAAAGAATATATGAGTCTTAAGTGATGTCTTTGTTTAGTGCTCAATCATCTAATGCTAGCATACTTTTCTCATACCTTTCTTTGAAGTATTTAAGAAAGTCACAAGCACATCAAAAGGAAGTATGAAATTAGGCAACTAGAAATTGGCAACTTGAAATTGGGAAAGTTAAAAAATTATGTTTTTATAATTGACTCCTCCCTTATAAAAAATTCAACCTTGAAAGTCCGAATTTAAACCGTTTCTATCAATCATTGAATACTGATTGTTTCAACTACTAAGATCAAAGGAAAAACCATTGCACAATGATAAGCAATCATTGTGCAACCATTGCGTTCAACCAAACAAAGTCAACTCTTTTTCAATGACTGCGCAACCGTTTCTATACAATCATTGTAATCTGCAACCATTGTAAACTGCAACCATTTCACATTGAAATGTAAATGGTTGCAATATGTTTTGTTCAATGATTACATAGTTCAACCCCTGCAACCATCCTGAATTAGTATCGTTCCAAAAAATTATCATTTTACCTGAATTAAAATTATATTTTAGTAATGATTTGAATCTACCTCTATTCAACAACAGTATATTAGGATATTTTTTCTGCAAACATACATGCATGTTTATTATAGTAAATTACTAAATTTAGTTTCCTATGATATGTTTCTTTCTCCAGTGCGGATTTAGGAATGCAATACCAGGCTAGTTTGCCACTCAATGGCATATGATAATGATGTATCTTTAATGTTAATTATGAAAAGAATTGAGCAAAATTCCAATTTGGTTTAGAAATTGACCAAGTAAAATCTTAAGATTTCCTTTAAACTTAACAAAATCACAAGATGAGACAATGGTTTTTTTGTTCATGATTAGACTGATGATCAAAAGAAGCAGGATATGTTGTACAAAATAATACAATTATATGTAATCACAAGTTGATTGCTTTATTTAGTGAGAATGTTTTATAGTAATAATGTATTCAGGCAGCAAAGACTTAATTTTCACAGTTTCAATTGGAAAACATCTGAATTAATAATTTCAGTAAAATTTTGTCAAGGTAGATGAATTATTGATATATGATAGATTGGTATGGGAACATATTGATATCGAAGGGTTTAGCTTAGGACCCCCGCAAAAGTTTATGTACAATGAACAGGCCAGTAGCCAGCAACCCCCCTCCCAGCAAAAATTCTAAGCCATTTGGGGTTTTCAAATGTATCCATATATGTTAAGTTAACACCTAATATCAAGAGTATGACCCACTCAAATTTAATAAAAAATACAAACAATGTAACTATTTTGATATTGACTATATTATGTGTGAGATTTAATTACCATGTTCTTCTTGGCAAATATGTTTTATAATAATGCTCAACACAACAATACCTACTACACATTAATATTCTCATAGCTAGGTTTAGGCAAATCAAAATGCTTGAACAGCCAATTAAAACGGTTGAACAGCTAATTAAAACGCTTGAACAGCTAATTAAAACGGTTGAATGGCTTATTAAAATGCTTGACCAGAAATAGGGTTCATAGTCCTAGTTTCTGTTATATTTATTTTCAGCTTATGTTATACTATATATTTATTTATATTCTCAATTTCAAAAAATAAAGGAGATTTTTGTTTTTTGTTTATGGATTAAAAATTATTTATCAAGTTCTGTGTATGGAATAATTAAATTACATAGGATGCTTCCTTTATAGCAGACTCTAATCAATTTGAGAGTCTCTGTGTAATAAGGTTTGATTTGCCTTGCCAATTTATTTTTGTTTTGTTTATGGATTAATGGATTAATAAAGTTTCTTCAGACACATCCTTCAAAGTAGACTATAATCGAACTAGAGAGACTGAGTCTTACTGTAATCAGAGTTTTTTAAGTTATCAGGGCCATCAGATGGGGGGGGGAGTGCGATAGGTGCGATCGCACCCCCCTTTGACATCCCCCCAAAAAAAAATTCAAAAAAAAATTTCAAAAAAATTTTTTTTAAAAATATTTTTTCAATTTTTTTTCATTTTCTCATACACTTTGATAGTGCCCAGAAAGCACCAAATAGCATCTTAAATTGTAAATTTTTTTAGGGGGAGTGGGCCACCCCTCACACCCCCCACAAAACTATGGAGAAGTTCTATATTTATTTTATGTATTGTCCAGACATCATCAAATAGCACCTTGATATGGTCAATGTTTCTGAGGGACAGATATGGGGGACAAACACTTGCTCCCCCTCTGGCACCCCAACCCCACCTCCCCCTCTGGCACCCCCTTTTGACACCCCAAAAAAAATGAAAAAAATCAATTGACTCATGCTCTTTAAAGTGCCAAGAAGCACCAAATATCATCTTAAATTGTAAAATTTTCTAGAAGAGTCGGCCACCCCTCACACCCCCCACAAAACAATTGAAAAAATTCTGAATTTCATATATTGTCTCAGACATTTTTTAAGTGCCCAGATATCATCAAATAGCACCTTAATATGGTCAATGTTTCTTGGGGACAACCCCTTGCTCCCTCTCTGGCACTCCACCCCACTTCACTCCCTCATCCTCTTTGACACCCCAAAAGAATTTGAAAAAATTTATTGACTCATTCACTTTTAAAGTGCCCAGAAAGCACCAAATAGCATCTCAAAAGTGTAAAAATTTTAGGGGGAACTACTGGGTCACTCTTCACACCCCACACAAAACAATTGAAAAGTTTGGAAGTTGCATTTGTTAATTTTAAACACTTTAAAAGTGCTTAGAAATCACCAAGTGACATAATGAAATCATAAAAGCATAAAAATTTCTGGCACCCCATCCCAAAAACTAAAGAATTTATTTATTCAAAAACATTAAAAGTGCTCAGAATTAACCAGACAGCATCTTAAATTAGAAAATTTTCCTTGCTGCCCCCTCGCTCCCCTAAGAAAAAATGATTGAAAAAATCTGAATTTCTTATAAATTGATTCTATTGATTAAAACACCTTGAAAGTATCCAGAAATCACTGAATGTGATCTTGAACTGGAAAAAGTTCTCGGGTAAGCATTTATGCCATTCTAGTACACCCTCCCCCTATTCCAGTGTTTCTCCAAATTGCTCATACAATATTTAGTCTAAAAACAATACAAAAACAATAAAATACTACAAAATGGACTGAGTGGCCCCAATATAGGGAGTAACCCCCCCCCCCCCTGACTTACGCGATTTGATTTTCGCGGCAAAACATTGACAATTTTATATTCTCTTTAGTTAAAACCGCACCCCCCTTGGAGAAAAGTGTCTTACGGGCCTGGTTATGCTTATCGACTTAATTATTTAAAACACATCATGTAATGTCTGATTGCATTTTCTCTATCAAATCAAAAAATATCAAATCAATAAACAGATTATTTTCTAATTGAAGGATTTCTTCCTTCCAAACATATCTTTCATCCTTTATAATTGTGATGATTACAAGGTTAAGTACGTATAAGTGTCTGAATTTGTAAAATTCAAGACTTGACCCAATCAAAATTATTTCAAATGTTTTTGCAATAACTGAAAAAGTAGAGGGATTTTGTAAAAATGATAGTCATAGCAGCGACGGGATTTGCTATGCCTAAGCATTGCTGTAATCTAGATACTATGTTGTACATGTGAGTGAGACAATCACCATCCTTCAAGGTTAGATGGAAATTGGTTCAATATATTTTCATTCACAAGACAAGTTTACCAAACTATTTCAATACTTTAAATATCTGTTTGATAAAACCATTTAAATTCTGACATGTATGCATGAAATACATACATGTGAAATATATATTTTAAAGAGCAATATAATTATTTCATGTCGTATTGAGATAATATTAGTCCATTTGTCATTTTCTGAACGTATGAATAGTTAAAAGTATGATGTTTTTCTGCGTAAATACTATCATTAGGGATTATTGGAGTGATTTAGCTGGGTTGCCAAAAAAATAACTTTGGGGAAAAATTTGGTATCTATTCCCATGGTAACATACCAGGTACATGGTGGTATCCCGACGCTAAGTCAATAGTCAACGCAATGTTAAGCGAATGCACCCCTCCCTAATCAGCCTATATATTTTTTTCCCCAAACAAACTTTTTTGGCAACCCAGTTAAATCACTTCAGAAAACTCTTATTATCATAAATCGACCATAAATCATCGTACTTTTAACAATTTCTAGGTTCACTATTGGATGTATAGGGGTGACAAATGGACTATATTGCCATAGTTTTAAAGGGTTGCATTTGATTGAAACGGTTGCAAGAAATGCAATCAAAATTGTCAAGCATTTACAATGGTTACATATGATTGAAACATTTTCAATGAGTTTACAACCAAAATTGTAATAGTTGCATCATAACGGTTGGCATGGTTGCATAAATGATCGGATCAATGATTGTGCAATGATTTAAATTCGGACTTTCAAGGTTGAATTTTTTATAAGGGCAATTATTATCAAGCAGAGGAGTTAACTACACGTAAATAATTAGACTATTAAAATAAAATTCTCAACTGTGAGTTCACTGAAGTAAGAGCCCTCAGTAAGTTACAATGAACAAGACACAGTCAATATGAAATATATTTTTATAACTCAAACATAACTCATATGTTGTCTTTCATTCAATATATGAGAAGACCAACACTACAGCATTTTAAGCTTTTGAAGACTTTAATCTGCATTTTAAATTTTAGCAAGGAAGACTTCACAGAGATGACTAATAACGCTTATGATGTGGCTGATACTGACTGGGGAAAATGTCTGTTTATCTTTAAAATATTTCTACCTACTGCCATTGCAAATATGGAACCAGCCGTAGCTAAAATTGTTGATAGTTTGAGCCAAACATTCACCCGAGATATAAATGAAGCGTTGGTTGTTGTATCATTGATGCTCAGCATTGCAAGCATTCTTCGAGCATACTTATCACCAAGCCAGGCAAGCCAAGGATTTATTATACTGGTCAACTCAAAGGCAGACCTAAAGAAAGGACTGATCTTTGTGATTTGCAGTAGCACCATCACAGCAGGGATATTTCTTGTGATTGGTCTTACACCAGTGGGATACGTCATCCAAGTGCTGTTTCGTATTACTGATCAACAACTTGAAGAAATTCAGTTTGGCTTAGCGTCCTACTGTTTGCTGTCCATGATCCTAAATATGGGGTCTGCAATCCATGGATTATTATTAATGAAAAAACACACCACTTTCTGTCTCCTCGCTGAGTTGTTGAGGTTCATTGCAAAATTAGGGTGTATTTTCTCTCTCATGGCTACACCCTTAATAACTAGAAGACCAATCTTAATACCTATAATATCAGGATATGTGTCAGCATTGGTTTACCTTCTCTTTAGCTATATAGGATATAAAATATTCTTGATCAATGAGCTACCAGATGAAAGCACAAAGAAACTGACATACCTCAAAATGATTAAAGTAACACTACCCCTAGGACTACAAGAATTGATCGAAAGATGTGAAACTATTATTCTCAGCTTTACAGTTGCACAACTAACTCCATCTGAATCTATGCGAAGTATGGCACTGGCGAACATTCATGTCCTCCACGCAGCATTTTATTCATTGCGAAGGACATTGGTCAGTATCGCAACAATGATATCTGCATATCTTGCATCTGGGAGTAACTCATCATCACATTTTGACCATGAACTAGTTATCTGCACCTCCATTATTGCAATTGTTTCATTTTTCATTTCAATTTCAATATGTTGGATAACTCCCATTACAAGGGTTATATTCTTATATTTATTTCATATTTCTGAAGAAAATTTCATTGGAGTATACTATCCCTTTAAGTTGTTCACATTCTGGCCGATTGTTCAAACATTTGCATTGTTTTCCCTTGGAATTTTACTGCATAAGAAAGACACGAAGATGTCAATAGTGAGTTCTGCTTGTCAAGTCATTATAATGGGTTGCCTACCATTTGCTTTAGACCATCTTGGATTTAATGTTTTACTGTCTTCAGTGATGGCTTTGTTTACTGCTCAATCATCTACTGCTAGCATACTTTTCTCATACCTTTATTTGAAGTATTTAAGAAAGTCTCAATCGTATCAAAAGGATTGCTATTTGTAACCATGACAACTAGAAATTGGCAATGTTTTCAAATATGCTTTTATCATTTATTTACTATTTTTTATGACTTTAAAAGTTTATTTTAGAGATTCTTTGAAGAAGCTACTTCTATTCAATAAGATCAGCTGATTATCATATACCCTCTATTCAAACAAGATATGTCTTTATATTGTATACTATACACCCACAAAGGTGTCAAGTAAAATCATTTAAATAATACTGCATAAACATGTATAAGAAAATAAAGCTGAATTGAATTGAAAAAGGTTGAATTTTTTTTATTCATCAAATACCTTATACAGTGCAAAAATAAAATATCATATTAGAATTTTGACATTGATAAGATACAATAAACAATATATGAGTCTTAAGTGATGTCTTTGTTTAGTGCTCAATCATCTAATGCTAGCATACTTTTCTCATACCTTTCTTTGAAGTATTTAAGAAAGTCAAAAGCACATCAAAAGGAAGTATGATATTAGGCAACTAGAAATTGGCAACTAGATTGGAAAGTTAAAAAATTATGTTTTTATAATTGACTCCTAATTATTATCAAGCAGAGGAGTTCACTTCAGGCAAGCCAAGGATTTATTACACTGGTCAACTCAAAGGCAGATTTAAAGAAAGGACTGATCTTTGTGATTTGCAGTAGCATCATCACAGCAGGGATTTTTCTTGTGATTGGTCTTACACGAGTGGGATACATCATCCGAGTGCTATTTCTTATTACTAATCAAGAACTTGAAGAAATTCTGATTGGCATAGCATCCCTCTGTTTGCTGTCTGTGATTCTAAATACTGGGTCTGCAATCCATGGATAATTATTAATGAAAAAATACACCACTTTCTGTCTCCTCGCTGAGTTGTTGAGGTTCATTGCAAAATTAGGGTGTATTTTCTCTCTCATGGCTACACCCTTAATAACTAGAAGACCAATCTTGATACCTATAATATCAGCATATGTGTCAGCATTGGTTTACCTTCTCTTTAGCTATATAGGATATAAAATTTTCTTGATCAATGAGCTACCAGATGAAAGCACAAAGAAACTGACATACCACAACATGATTAAAGTAACACTACCCCTAGGACTACAAGAATTGATCGAAAGATGTGAAACTATTATTCTCAGCTTTACAGTTGCACAACTAACTCCATCTGAATCTATGCGAAGTATGGCACTGGCGAACATTCATGTCCTCCACGCAGCATTTTATTCATTGCGAAGGACATTAGTCAGTATTGCAACAATGGTATCTGCATATCTTGCATCTGGGAGTAACTCATCATTACATTTTGACCATGAACTAGTTATCTGCACCTCCATTATTGCAATTGTTTCATTTTTGATTTCAATTTCAATATGTTGGATAACTCCCATTACAAGGGTTATATTCTTATATTTATTTCATATTTCTGAAGAAAATTTCATTGGAGTATACTATCCCTTTAAGTTGTTTACATTCTGGCCGATTGTTCAAACATTTGCTTTGTTTTCCCTTGGAATTTTACTGCATAAGAAAGACACGAAGATGTCAATAGTGAGTTCTGCTTGTCAAGTCATTATAATGGGTTGCCTACCATTTGCTTTAGATCATCTTGGATTTAATGTTTTACTGTCTTCAGTGATGGCTTTGTTTACTGCTCAATCATCTACTGCTAGCATACTTTTCTCATACCTTTACTTGAAGTATTTAAGAAAGTCTCAATCGCATCAAAAGGATTGCTATTTGTAACCATAACAACTAGAAATTGGCAACGTTTTTAAATATGCTTTTATCATTTGTTTACTACTTTTAATGACTTTAAAAGTTATTTTAGAGATTCTTTGATAAGCTTTTTTAGACTTATTAGTCTTAGTAAGTGCTTATCATAGATCAGCTGATTATCATATACCTTCTATTCAAACAACATATGTCTTTAGATTGTATACTATACACCCACAAAGGTGTCATGTAAAATCTTGTAAATAATACTACATATACATGTATAAGAAAATAAAGCTGGTAAAAGGTTGAATTGTTTTATTCATCAAATATTCCACCTTGTACAGTGCAAAAGAAAATCTCAACACCATTGCAAATGTTATTTTGTGACTGGGTAAAATGTATGGAATAATGTAAGATCAAGAACCTAACAGTAAAAGCTAGTACCCTGCCCTGCGTGCAGGGTCTAGTTATAAACTACCCTCTGCCTAGTATAGACTATATTACAGTTTAGTGGCCCCGCCCTCATGACCTATGCCCGTGATAGCCCAGGTCATACAACACTGATCTTTTCTCAACCAATCAGCGAGCTGGAAGGAACCAATGCTAAATGCATGCTCATTAACTATGGGATGCTATTTGAGGAAATGACCATATCTAGAAAGCGGTCAGTATTTCAAAAAAATGAACTCCGAATGGCTCAGTAATTTTCATGTATAAACTGTAAGAGTGAAGACGAAGCTCTCTTTTAAGAAGTTGAACGAATGCAAAGGGTAAATCTAGCCTGAATTTTTATGCTTATAAGATCTAAACAATCCCAAAAGTAGCTGCCATGTCAATACATGGGAGTTTAAACATGAAACAAAGATATGCTACTTATTAAGGTATAACAGTTACATTCTGTGACTGCAATTCTGAATAACCCTTAAATGGTTAGGGGGGGGGGGGGGGGTCAGTCCCCCAAGGTATTTCTAAAACTTTTTCCATAATTTATCTTTTGATTATCCTTTCCAATGATACCTAATACACTCTCCTGTGGATCAAAAGGTGGAGGGGGCAGATCTATACCCTAACTGTATAAGGGTTAAGTAGATGATTGAATGAGTGAATGAATGAGTGAATGAGTGTATGAATGAGGGATGTATGAATGAGGTTATTCCATAGATGCATACAACTACATATGAAATACAACCACAACATCCATAAATAATACTTGATCAAAAAAAAAGAAGTAAACTTGGTAGATAAAAAAGATCATAAGAACTTGTTTTGTAGATAAAGCATCATAAGAATAAGCTTTTTGTATCACTTCTTGAGAAAAAGAAATATATAACTAATGTTGGCGACAACCTTTAACCAGTCAATTGTAAACACAATTTTTTTTATAGAATGCTGTAGTATGTATATATGAAATAAATGAGTGAAAAAAAAGGGTTAAGTAGATGGTTCTGATTGGGTAAGGCTAGATCAAGAACTAGTTCTACTTCAAAGAGTGTATTTGAAGCTCTCTTTTAAAGGAAAACAATCAAAAAATCGGTGAACAGAAAACAAGACAGATATTCTAGATTATATAATCACCTGAGTATTGAGGTTTCATGGTCCAGCTCTCCGAGGCAAAGCCCCCAAATATGTTGCCATCAGTGTCCCTTATGACTAAGATTGGGCCCTGATCCTTTACACGCTTAATCATTGTACTGAAACTCTCTCCAATTCTGATTCAGACAGTGCATCTGAGGAGCATGACACACATGAGTATTTGTATAAGAGCACAGGGTTCATCCCAAAGGAAATATGTGAAATATGTTCAAATTTTGGAGAAAATAATTGGGCCCTTGAATCAAAATTTTTGGCCCATTTTTTGAAAAGGAGCATGTAGGTTATCGCAAACAATTTCAAACGATTGTAACTTGAATTATGAATATTTTCTGATCATGAACATGGGTGTATCTTTTAGATCCATTCATTATCTTCAAGAAAAGTATATATAATGATAATTTAGTTAATCAGACCTAAGTGATATTGAAGGGGCAATGGACCAATCAACATGCTTTTTCAAAAATGTTGACATAATGTTCACCAAAAATGCAACCTATTATTATATTGTTGAATGCATAATTAGAATGTGATTTGAGACATGTTCGATTTCCTAAGAGGGAAATTTGATTGCTCCAGGGACTTTAAAGATATTCAATTTGGATGACCAAAATGAACTGAAACCAATGGCTAGCAGAGATTTTTCAATGGAGAAATAACATGGCGAACACTTATCTTAATGCAATTAAGTTTTTCTTTCAAGAACTATTTGATACATCAAAATAAAAAATAGTAATGCATTAAACATTGTAAAAAATGATTGCATTTTTGGTGAAAATGGGGTCAACATCTTTGAAAAAAAGTGTGTTGATGGTTTAATTGATAGTTAAATATCTCCGAGTTTGTTTGAATTTATTATTACTGTGCATAATTTTCTTTGAGATAATGAATTGATCTAAAAGATAAACTTGTCTTCATTGTCAGAAAATAGTCATAATCCAAGATATAACCTTCTGAAATTGTTTGCGATAACCCACGTGCTCCCATTTATTATAATTTGGTAATATCCAAAAAGGCTCACTGATTGAGGCCCTACAAAATATTTGGGCCCAAATTTTTTTTCTGGGCGAGGGACGGGGGGGGGGGGGAGCATTCACTAGCTAGTGCATATGCTCATTTATAAATATCAATGTATATCATTTAGGAGTGCACGAGTGAAAGAAGTAAGTGCTGGTCAAGATGATTTTTTTTAATTCAGTATGTTCAAAGTTACAAACAAGAGCAAATCACAAGTTGCATACATTTGGTGGGCTGCGAGTGAATATAGGTATGATCAGTGTTATAAATGAAGGCTTCGACTCAGAAAAAACAGTAGATGATAACTCATAAAATAGATCCAGGGACGCATCTAAGCAAAGTGGAGTGTGTTATGCTTTAAAGTTTTGGATTCGGGGTCGGGGATTATATCACTGCTTCCATACAGACACTAATGAAGGACCCACGGTCCTATGCTCACACAGTTTGGAACCTTCAGAGGAATTTATATCCTGACTTTCAAACAAAAATATTGATTTGGATATGTAGTCTCGAACTTTGACAAACTTAGATAGCATAGTTGTGTGACCTATTTGATGACATTTGACCTTGAAAATTTTACTTATTCAGAGCTCAGTAAGGTCTTTTGTGATTAAGCTGACCAAAATATACATCCAAAAATCAATTTGAAAAATCAAGTTTTTTGACCTTTCGAAGGTCACTGAAGGTCAAGTAAAGGTCAAATCCTAAAACTAATGTCAGATTTGAACTCCTGGTAACTTGTAGATGATTTTCAAAAAAAAATTTGGTCAAATTGAAGCAAGTTGAAAAATAACTTATTTTTACTGCTTTTTGGCGTCAAATATCTCAAAAACGGTAAAAATTTGATGCTGACATATATTGAGAAATATGTAGGGAATGCTTAAATCTATTAATGATGTAATTTATTGCAGGAAATGATCAAGTATAAGGCAAACTTTAAGAATCTTGTCAATCACAAAAGCTGCCATTGACTTTACATATGAGAAAGTTTCCTGAAAATAACTAAGTCCTACTTTTTTCAAATTTTATAGAGTAAACACCAAAAACCGTAATTCCAAGAGCTTTGAAATCTTCAGAGGACATAAGTTGCATATACACAAACTACTAAAAGGTATTTGAAAGTTCTACTTCAACAAAGTGTCTAGTATTTACAGAAAATTTGACTTTTTGACGTCAAAATCCGCAATTTCTCGGAAACCGGGCGAACTTGGGAAATGGCGATGATAGGTCAAATAGGCATTATGGATATGCATAAAATGAATGTGGATAGGACTCAATCCGAATAGCAGTTTTCATTTGTGCGGCCAATGTTGACGGACGGACCAACGGACGGGCGGACAGACGGACGGACGGACCACTGGTCAATCCCATAGGCTCACTGTGTGAGCCAAAAATCATGTTATCCAGAGACATATATATTTATATTTATATATTATATACATACACTGTATATAGAGGATATCCTATGATTTATGAGTGATATGATTTTTATCCACGAATGGATATGATATCTGCACGAGCGAGCGTTTATCTCACGCATATCCGTGTGATATCACATTTGCATTTCGCGCCACAATATTGTTGGAAATTACGTCAGATAATTTATTCATTTTTGAGAAAATAGGTCCATTAACTTATTCTCTTTAAGTTTCATTGGTGTATTGAATTACGATTGTGTATATAATTTGATTAGGAGGCTGCTAACTAACGATTAAAAATGGTATTTATGACGAACTATATCATGGTATTTACTTTTAATCGTTAAAATAAAGTGTTTAATTGATATTCTAATTTCTAGTTTATATTGTCTGCCAATGTCCTGGAAATTCGATCAGAACATCACAAGGTGATTGTAATCATGGGATAAACCCAATATCACATAATTTCTCGTGATATCAATTTATCGCCTCGTAGATATCAAATATCAACACTCATTCGCTTCGCTCACTCGTGTTGATATTTGCTATCAACTCGGCGATAAAAATGATATCACTCAAAATGATGTGATATTCTGTATTTATTACATTTATATGTCTTTGTGTTTTCATATTGCAAAAATGATTACTGACAGATGTTACATGTGTATACCTTATCTATAGTGGCTTTGTGTTGTTTCACTTGGCTTTTCAAACGAAACATCTTGTGACATATATCACATTCCTCAGTTTTGGCTGAATGTGCCTCACACTAATTAATATTTTATTTACATAACATAAAAAATACAAAAGTGTGTTATTTCATTCATTGAGTATTTATCTCACAATACGATCCATTCCGTGGTAATACATGTTCTTGGATTGAATGTCTTCAATGTGGGAAATCTCTAATTTGAAGACATTACAAACACCACTGACAAGCTCAGTTTGTGTACAACTAAAATACCCAATACCTAAAATGACAAGTAAAATCGGTTCCGATTATTGAGGTTTTAAAAAGTTATGACAAATTTTCTAATTTTTTATGTTTTGGCAAATGTAAACAAAGGAGGTTACTTTGCTAAGGCTTAAGAACAACTTTATTCCCAGGTATAGTATTGCTACCTGTAGAAAGTAAAATCAATTCCCTAGAGACTCGGGCGCTCCATTTGGGCAGGGTAAGGTCACCATTTTTACTGAAATGATCAGTTATATTCCCTGGTAATGTCAACAAGCTCATTACCGCGGATTAGGTCATAAATGGACGGTGTGTCTCCCGAATTGTCCTTTTGCATAGTAAAACTATACTCCATGGAGCAGCTCCAAAGGAAGTTTCAGATTACAAGCTGAATTAGATGCACCTTTATGAGCATTACAAGATGTGTCATCCTTTGCAGGCACACTTGTCCTGGATTCTACACAAATTATGCCACCCACCTTTTGTTTCATAATTTTGTAAAAATGTTAAAATGATACATCATGTGATCTGGATAGATAAAAGGTTCCCCTTCGGAATATTGTGGCTTGCTTCTTTAAATATAGCTTCATCTAATTGAGTAATATTTTGATCAAGAATAATTCCTCTTGGCTATAAAGATTTTTATCAACTTTTTATTTTTGTTATTTTACAAAGTTGCAAAGAACCCCAATGTTTGTTCTCTGTTTTCTCAAATATGGTACAAGTGGACATAGAACCTTTCAATAGTAAAATCTATGTTGATTTTGCTTAAATACAAAATTGACACAATTTATAAAGACATAAAAAAACTGAACAGAAGGTCTTTAGAATTTTTGGGTAACTTATTGATAAGATGCATAAGATCAACAATCTATGGTCAATAATTCAAATGAATATTTATAACTCAAACAGAACTCATTTATTGCTTCTCATTCGACAAAAAAAGTTGGGCAGTTGACTGACGCTACAAAATTTAATCTACATTTTAATTTTAGTAAGGAAAACTTCACAGAGATGACTAATAGCGCTTATGATGTGGCTGATACTGACTGGAGAAAATGTCTGTTTATCTTTCAAATTTTTTTACCTACTGCCATTGCAAATATGGAACCAGCCATCGCTAAAATCGTTGATAGTTTGAGCCAAACATTCACCCGAGATATAAATGAAGCATTGGTTGTTGTATCATTGACACTCAGCATTGCAAGCATTCTTCGGGCATACGTATCACCAAGCCAGGCAAGCCAAGGATTTATTATACTGGTTAACTCAAAGGTGGACTTAAAGAAAGGACTGATCTTTATGATTTGCAGTAGCACCATCACAGCAGGGATCTTTCTTGTGATTGGTCTTACACGAGTGGGATACATCATCCAAGTGCTATTTCTTATTACTAATCAAGAACTTGAAGAAATTCAGATTGGCATAGCATCCCTCTGTTTGCTGTCCGTGATCCTAAATACTGGATCTGCAATCCATGGATTATTATTAATGAAAAAACACACCACTTTCTGTCTCCTCGCTGAGTTGTTGAGGTTCATTGCAAAATTAGGGTGTATTTTCTCTCTCATGGCTACACCCTTAATAACTAGAAGACCAATCTTGATACCTGTAATATCAGCATATGTGTCAGCATTGGTTTACCTTCTCTTTAGCTATATAGGATATAAAATATTCTTGATCAATGAGCTACCAGATGAAAGCACAAAGAAACTGACATACCACAACATGATTAAAGTAACACTACCCCTAGGACTACAAGAATTGATCGAAAGATGTGAAACTATTATTCTCAGCTTTACAGTTGCACAACTAACTCCATCTATATCTATGCGAAGTATGGCACTGGCGAACATTCATGTCCTCCACGCAGCATTTTATTCATTGCGAAGGACATTAGTCAGTATCGCAACAATGGTATCCGCATACCTTGCATCTGGGAGTAACTCATCATTACATTTTGACCATGAACTAGTTATCTGCACCTCTATTATTGCAATTGTTTCATTTTTGATTTCAATTTCAATATGTTGGATAACTCCCATTACAAGGGTTATATTCTTATATTTATTTCACATTTCCGAAGAAAATTTCATTGCAGTATACTATCCCTTTAAGTTGTATACATTCTGGCCAATTATACAAACATTTGCTTTGTTTTCCCTTGGAATTTTACTGCATAAGAAAGACACTAAGATGTCAATAGTGAGTTCCGCTTGCCAAGTCATTATAATGGGTTGCCTACCATTTGCTTTAGATCATCTTGGATTTAATGTTTTACTGTCTTCAGTGATGGCTTTGTTTACTGCTCAATCATCTACTGCTAGCATACTTTTCTCATACCTTTACTTGAAGTATTTAAGAAAGTCTCAATCGCATCAAAAGGATTGCTATTTGTAACCATAACAACTAGAAATTGGCAACGTTTTTAAATATGCTTTTATCATTTGTTTACGACTTTTAATGACTTTAAAAGTTATTTTAGAGATTCTTTGATAAGCTTTTTTAGACTAGTTAGTCTTAGTAAGTGCTTATCATAGATCAGCTGATTATCATATACCTTCTATTCAAACAACATATGTCTTTAGATTGTATACTATACACCCACAAAGGTGTCATGTAAAATCTTGTAAATAATACTACATATACATGTATAACAAAATAAAGCTGATAAAAGGTTGAATTGTTTTATTCATCAAATATTCCACCTTGTACAGTGCAAAAGAAAATCTCAACACCATTGCAAATGTTATTTTGTGACTGGGTAAAATGTATGGTATAATGTAATGTAATATAATAACCTAACAGTAAAAGCTAGTACCCTGCCCTGCGTGCAGGGTCTAGTTATAAACTACCCTCTGCCTAGTATAGACTATATTACAGTTTAGTGGCCCACCCTCATGACCTATGCCCGTGATAGCCCAGGTCATACAACACTGATCTTTTCTCAACCAATCAGCGAGCTGGAAGGAACCCATGCTAAATGCATGCTCATTAACTATGGGATGCTATTTGAGGAAATGACCATATCTAGAAAGCGGTCAGTATTTCAAAAAAATTAACTCCGAATGGCTCGGTAATTTTCATGTAAACTGTAAGAGTGAAGACGAAGCTCTCTTTTAAGAAGTCCAACGAATGCAAAGGGTAAATCTAGCCTGAATTGTGATGCTTATAAGATCTAAACAATCCCAAAAGTAGCTGCCATGTCAATACATGGGAGTTTAAACATGAAACAAAGATATGCTAGTTATTAAGGTATAACAGTTAAATTCTGTGACTGCAATTCTGAATAACCCTTAAATGGTTAGGGGGGGGGGGGGGGGGTCAGTCCCCCAAGGTATTTCTAAAACTTTTTCCATAATTTGTCTTTTGATTATCCTTTCCAATGATACCTAATACACTCTCCTGTGGATCAAAAGGTGGAGGGGGCAGATCTATACCCTAACTGTATAAGGGTTAAGTAGATGGTTCTGATTGGGTAAGGCTAGATCAAGAACTAGTTCTACTTCAAAGAGTGTATTTGAAGCTCTCTTTTAAAGGAAAACAATAAAAAAATCGGTGAACAGAAAACAAGACAGATATTCTAGATTATATAATCACCTGAGTATTGAGGTTTCATGGTCCAGCTCTCCGAGGCAAAGCCCCCAAATATGTGGCCATCCGTGTCCCTTATAACTAAGATTGTTGGGCCCTGATCCTTTACACGCTTAATCATTGTACTGAAACTCTCTCCAATTCTGATTCAGACAGTGCATCTGAGGAGCATGACACACATGAGTATTTATATAAGAGCACAGGGTTCATCCCAAAGGAAATACGTGAAATATGTTCAAATTTTGGAGAAAATAATTGGGCCCTTGAATCAAAATGTTTGGCCCATTTTTTGAAAAGGAGCATGTAAGTTATCGCAAACAATTTCAAACGATTGTAACTTGAATTATGAATATTTTCTGATCATGAACATGGGTGTATCTTTTAGATCCATTCATTATCTTCAAGAAAAGTATATGTAATGATAATTTAGTTAATCAGACCTAAGTGATATTGAAGGGGCAATGGACCAATCAACATGCTTTTTCAAAAATGTTGACATAATGTTCACCAAAAATGCAACCTATTATTATATTGTTGAATGCATAATTAGAATGTGATTTGAGACATGTTCGATTTCCTAAAAGGGAAATTTGATTGCTCCGGGGACTTTAAAGATATTCAATTTGGATGACCAAAATGAACTGAAACCAATGGCTAGCATGAGATTTTTCAATGGAGAAATAACATGGCGAACACTTATCTTAATGCAATTAAGTTTTTCTTTCAAGAACTATTTGATACATCAAAATAAAGAATAGTAATGCATTAAACATTGTAAAAAATGATTGCATTTTTGGTGAAAATGGGGTCAACATCTTTGAAAGAAAGTGTGTTGATGGGTTAATTGATAGTTAAATATCTCCGAGTTTGTTTGAATTTATTATTACTGTGCATAATTTTCTTTGAGATAATGAATTGATCTAAAAGATAAACTTGTCTTCATTGTCAGAAAATAGTCATAATCCAAGATATAACCTTCTGAAATTGTTTGCGATAACCCACGTGCTCCTTTAAGGCCCATTTATTATAATTTGGTAATATCCAAAAAGGCTCACTGATTGAGGCCCTACAAAATATTTGGGCCCAAATTTTTTTTCTGGGCGAGGGACGGGGGGGGGGGGAGCATTCACTAGCTAGTGCATATGCTCATTTATAAATATCAATGTATATCATTTAGGAGTGCACGAGTGAAAGAAGTAAGTGCTCGGTCAAGATGATTTTTTTTAAAACAGTATGTTCAAAGTTACAAACAAGAGCAAATCACAAGTTGCATACATTTGGTGGGCTGCGAGTGAATATGTATGATCAGTATCATAAATGAAGTCTTCGACTCAGAAAAAACAGTAGATGATAACTCATAAAATAGATCCAGGGACGCATCTAAGCAAAGTGGAGTGTGTTATGCTTTAAAGTTTTGGATTCGGGGTCGGGGATTATATCACTGCTTCCATACAGACACTTAAAAATCATGTTATCCAGAGACATATATATTTTTATTATGCACCTCATTAAAATACTCAAATCTGATTGGTTCTTAGTTGCTTGTAATTTGGCAATACTCTGCTCTTTTCTGAAAACTGCCGGATATTTTTTTAATATCTGACCCTTTCGAGAAAAAGGGTCGGATATTTTTTTCAATGTTTTTGCAACATTCCCACTTCAGAGTTTTATTTCTTAATAACTGGAGTACTACTTAAAGCTTACATCTGAAACTGGCGGAAAATATAAGAAAAAAATGCACTTAATCAATCACAATTACCCTTATCATTCAAAAGTTACATATAATTCTGCAAGAACGTCTCGAATAAATAGAAATTAAATTCCCGGGGCAAATATTTTCGTCCAGTGTAGCGAATAAACTGGCCGGAAGTCGTCTGAGTTTTGAAAGAAAAAATAAATAAATGTCAAAATAATGTCAACTAAACGACAGTTTAAGCCTGTACTCCTCGAAAAAATATTGGGCTCGGCTGCCGCCTCGCCCAATATTTTTTCTCGAATAGGTATTCTGCCATATCCAGCTCCTGATCATCCAGTATTTGTTTAATATTAATATATTATATACATACACTGTATATATATTTATTACATTTATATGTCTTTGTGTTTTCATATTGCAAAAATGATTACTGACAGATGTTACATGTGTATACCTTATATATAGTGGCTTTGTGTTGTTTCACTTGGCTTTTCAAACGAAACATCTTGTGACATATATCACATTCCTCAGTTTTGGCTGAATGTGTGCCTCACACTAATTAATATTTTATTTACATAACATAAAAAATACAAAAGTGTGTTATTTCATTCATTGAGTATTTATCTCACAATATGATCCATTCTGTGGTAATACATGGTCTTGGATTGAATGTCTTCAATGTGGGAAATCTCTAATTTGAAAACATTACAAACACCACTGACAAGCTCAGTTTGTGTACAACTAAAATACCCAATAAGTAAAATCGGTTCCGACTATCGAGGTTTTAAAAAGTTATGACAAATTTTCAAATTTTTTATGTTTTGGCAAATGTAAACAAAGGAGGTTACTTTGCTAAGGCTTAAGAACAACTTTATTCCCAGGTATAGTATTGCTACCTGTAGAAAGTAAAATCAATTCCCTAGAGACTCGGGCGCTCCATTTGGGCAGGGTAAGGTCACCATTTTGTCCTTTTGCATAGTAACACTATACTCCATGGAGCAGCTCCAAAGGAAGTTTCAGATTACAAGCTGAATTAGATGCACCTTTATGAGCATTACAAGATGTGTCATCCTTTGCAGGCACACTTGTCCTGGATTCTACACAAATTATGCCACCAACCTTTGGTTTCATAATTTTGTAAAAATGTTAAAATGATACATCAAGTGATCTGGATAGATAAAAGGTTCCCCTTCGGAATATTGTGGCTTGCTTCTTTAAATATAGCTTCATCTAATTGAGTAATATTCTGATCAAGAATAATTCCTCTTGGCTATAACGATTTTTATCAACTTTTTATTTTTGTTATTTTACAAAGTTGCAAAGAACCCCAATGTTTGTTCTCCGTTTTCTCATATATGGTACAAGTGGACATAGAACCTTTCAATAGTAAAATCTATGTTGATTTTGCTTAAATACAAAATTGACACAATTTATAAAGACATAAAAAAACTGAACAGAAGGTCTTTAGAATTTTTTGGTGACTTATTGATAAGATGCATAAGATCAACAATCTATGGTCAATAATTCAAATGAATATTTATAACTCAAACAGAACTCATTTATTGCTTCTCATTCGACAAAAAAAGTTGGGCAGTTGACTGACGCTACAAAATTTAATCTACATTTTAATTTTAGTAAGAAAAACTTCACAGAGATGACTAATAACGCTTATGATGTGGCTGATACTGACTGGAGAAAATGTCTGTTTATCTTTCAAATTTTTTTACCTACTGCCATTGCAAATATGGAACCAGCCATCGCTAAAATCGTTGATAGTTTGAGCCAAACATTCACCCGAGATATAAATGAAGCATTGGTTGTTGTATCATTGACACTCAGCATTGCAAGCATTCTTCGGGCATACGTATCACCAAGCCAGGCAAGCCAAGGATTTATTATACTGGTTAACTCAAAGGTGGACTTAAAGAAAGGACTGATCTTTATGATTTGCAGTAGCACCATAACAGCAGGGATCTTTCTTGTGATTGGTCTTACACGAGTGGGATACATCATCCAAGTGCTATTTCTTATTACTAATCAAGAACTTGAAGAAATTCAGATTGGCATAGCATCCCTCTGTTTGCTGTCCGTGATCCTAAATACTGGATCTGCAATCCATGGATTATTATTAATGAAAAAACACACCACTTTCTGTCTCCTCGCTGAGTTGTTGAGGTTCATTGCAAAATTAGGGTGTATTTTCTCTCTCATGGCTACACCCTTAATAACGAGAAGACCAATCTTGATACCTGTAATATCAGCATATGTGTCAGCATTGGTTTACCTTCTCTTTAGCTATATAGGATATAAAAGATTCTTGATCAATGAGCTACCAGATGAAAGCACAAAGAAACTGACATACCACAACATGATTAAAGTAACACTACCCCTAGGACTACAAGAATTGATCGAAAGATGTGAAACTATAATTCTCAGCTTTACAGTTGCACAACTAACTCCATCTATATCTATGCGAAGTATGGCACTGGCGAACATTCATGTCCTCCACGCAGCATTTTATTCATTGCGAAGGACATTGGTCAGTATCGCAACAATGGTATCTGCATATCTTGCATCTGGGAGTAACTCATCATTACATTTTGACCATGAACTAGTTATCTGCACCTCCATTATTGCAATTGTTTCATTTTTGATTTCAATTTCAATATGTTGGATAACTCCCATTACAAGGGTTATATTCTTATATTTATTTCATATTTCTGAAGAAAATTTCATTGGAGTATACTATCCCTTTAAGTTGTTTACATTCTGGCCGATTGTTCAAACATTTGCTTTGTTTTCCCTTGGAATTTTACTGCATAAGAAAGACACGAAGATGTCAATAGTGAGTTCTGCTTGTCAAGTCATTATAATGGGTTGCCTACCATTTGCTTTAGATCATCTTGGATTTAATGTTTTACTGTCTTCAGTGATGGCTTTGTTTACTGCTCAATCATCTACTGCTAGCATACTTTTCTCATACCTTTACTTGAAGTATTTAAGAAAGTCTCAATCGCATCAAAAGGATTGCTATTTGTAACCATAACAACTAGAAATTGGCAACGTTTTTAAATATGCTTTTATCATTTGTTTACTACTTTTAATGACTTTAAAAGTTATTTTAGAGATTCTTTGAAGAAGCTTTTTCAGACTAGTTAGTCTTAGTAAGTGCTTATCATAGATCAGCTGATTATCATATACCTTCTATTCAAACAACATATGTCTTTAGATTGTATACTATACACCCACAAAGGTGTCATGTAAAATCTTGTAAATAATACTACATATACATGTATAAGAAAATAAAGCTGATAAAAGGTTGAATTGTTTTATTCATCAAATATTCCACCTTGTACAGTGCAAAAGAAAATCTCAACACCATTGCAAATGTTATTTTGTGACTGGGTAAAATGTATGGTATAATGTAAGATCAAGAACCTAACAGTAAAAGCTAGTACCCTGCGTGCAGAGTCTAGTTATAAACTACCCTCTGCCTAGTATAGACTATATTACAGTTTAGTGGCCCCGCCCTCATGACCTATGCCCGTGATAGCCCAGGTCATACAACACTGATCTTTTCTCAACCAATCAGCGAGCTGGAAGGAACCCATGCTAAATTCATGCTCATTAACTATGGGATGCTATCTGAGGAAATGACCATATCTAGAAAGCGGTCAGTATTTCAAAAAAAAATGAACTCCGAATGGCTCGGTAATTTTCATGTAAACTGTAAGAGTGAAGACGAAGCTCTCTTTTAAGAAGTCGAACGAATGCAAAGGGTAAATCTAGCCTCTGTGAAGGAAAAATAAATACACAATTTTGATGCTTATAAGATCTAAACAATCCCAAAAGTAGCTGCCATGTCAATACATGGGAGTTTAAACATGAAACAAAGATATGCTACTTATTAAGGTATAACAGTTACATTCTGTGACTGCAATTCTGAATAACCCTTAAATGGTTAAGGGGGGGGGGGGGGGTCAGTCCCCCCAAGGTATTTCTAAAACTTTTTCCATAATTTGTCTTTTGATTATCCTTTCCAATGACACCTTATACACTCTCCTGTGGATCAAAAGGGGGAGGGGCAGATCTATAGCCTAACTGTTTAAGGGTTAAGTAGATGGATTCTGGTAAGGCTAGATCAAAAACTAGTTCTACAGTACTTCAAAGAGTGTATTCGAAGCTCTCTTTTAAATGAGAAAAATCAAACAATCAGTGAAGAGAAAACAAGATGGATATTCTAGATTATATAATCACCTGAGTATTGAGGTTTCATGGTCCAGCTCTCCGAGGCAAAGCCCCCAAATATGTGGCCATCAGTGTCCCTTATAACTAAGATTGTTGGGCCCTGATCCTTTACACGCTTAATCATTGTACTGAAACTCTCTCCATGTAACTGACCTGAAACATGAATGACTTTTAGATATATAGAAAAACCTATTAAGTGAAACTCCTCCACAAGTAGACATTAGGCATTCAAATGCAAAATGTTATCACCTGCCATTTGTTACTGATGCTGATTGCAGAATGCTAACCACAGAACACAAACTGCCAAACACCATTCACAAAAGAGAGACTATAGCCTACTTAACAATATGTCACCACTTGTGGTGGTAACATTACAAGTAGAACACCTATGTAAGTGGAACACCTTCATAAGTGGAGCATTTTTCAAAGTCCTGTTTTCAATTATTTAATGAAAAATGATCATTTGTAAGAAGATTTAACTATCCCGCCTGAATTTTGAGGTTTCATGCCAGCTCTAATCAAAAGCCTTAGATTCTCTCTTATAGAAAGAGTGTACTGAAATTACACATCTTGAAAAGGGTAATTTTTGACTCACTAGTATACAGGAGACTCCATTGATTCTGCAGCTGATGAGGAAGGCTATTGTTTATGCCTAAGACTGATGGAATATCTAAAATGGTTGTAGTTTTCTCCCAATTGATATCCTTGCATAGAGGGAGAAGATTGTTTTGGGAGAACATGGCATCAACCTATAACAAGGACCACACATTGAACATTGTATTGGTTTGAAGCCTTTATTAAAATATTGATGGTTCTGATGGACCATTCATTTTACAGGGTGACCCAAAAATACAATCATTTATTTTGCGGATAATTTCATGACAATAAATTGCTTTTTGGGTCAACCTGTACCCAGAGATTTTCTAACATCTGTAACTAACTTTTAACTCTGAGCATTCTGTTTATGTTAGGACAGATTTCGACACCTAAGATCAAAGAGATCAGATTGAAGGATCAAAAATTGATCTTAAACTATTCCCCAATCTTTTTTAGCTCTAGTAGCCTTACCATTTTGACAGGAAAGCAGGAATGAAATATTGTGTCAATGATGTGTAGAAACAGTGCAGATTGTGAGAGCCACGTTTCCAGTTCGTCGTCTCTGTATGTCACACCAAATGGCACATCAGACGTATGCATAGGGCTGCTGTTGTATTTGAGATCTAAATCAAAATAAAAAACAATATTTCTTCATGAATATATAAAAAAACTTTATTTCTAATCAATTGTAATTTTTTTAAAAGTTTTAAACCAATAATGATCTGTTAAAGGGTGGCATTACCTTTATTGAACAAGTCTTCAAGTATAAATATTGCAAATCTGCGTAAATCTTCCTCTTCTGTTTCTGTTTGCCAACTCACAGTATGAGCATCTTCTGCCTTGACCTCCAAGTAAGCTTGAACAATGTTTGTCACAAACTGTAAATAAACACCCTTGAGTCTATCATGGTACTATAACTTCCATACCAGTGATAGCCCCAGGATTTTTTCTTGGGTGGGTGCAAAATTCTCATTTCCACAATTCAGACCAAAATTGGTCAAAATATGCCAATTCTTCATGATTTTTCTCATTTTCAAGTGGGTGCAAATAGATTTTCAGATGGGTGCAAGCCTATTTTCAAAATCTCAGATGGGTGTTGCGCCCACTTGCGTTAATGCTGGGGAGATCACTACATACAATACAAATTACATTATATAGGAAGCTTCGGCAGACCCCAGAGGGTAAGCTCTTTAAATGTTAGTCATTAACAATCAGCATATCAGGATTAAATTATAAAATAATTGGACATCTACACTGAAGTAAATCTACAGCCAAGTGAGTAATCAATTTAGGTTTAAGCCATTCTTACATGTACCACGACTTCAGTTATTGGTCGAAGATACATACTTGATAAGCTCATAGATTTATGCTAATGCTCACTATACTTACATTCAGAATTATTAAGGCAATTTTAGCTTTTAGAAGAGCTCAATGGATGAGACAATCAAGTTCTATGAGCCAGCCATTAATATAAGCACTCATTTACACAAATTTGTAGGAGCAATTCTTCTAAAGCAGGGATTTCACTAGCAGCAGGCAACAGGCAATTTTCATCGTTTGTTTTCACAAAATTGCCTGTTGTTTTTAGGGGCTTTTCAACTTTTCCATGTTAAATTCATGATTTCCATTAATTTTGTCTGTTCATTTATTTAGCCTGTTGTGAGAAATTCTAGTGAAACCACTGTAAGGCATCCGAAATTTAACAGTTCTTACCCATATCATATCAGATGGCGAAGCATAATCAGTTTCTGTGGCAAGACAGTTAATGAAGTGGCTCTTCTCATGCATGTCTCCTTTTATAAGATGAGCAAGGGAGATGACAAATGTGTCGTATGTTACTGTGGTAAGGGTGGTCACATCCTCGCTATTGTCTGGCATGTCATGTATGTCTGCTTCAAGCTCTGGTTGTGTCTGTATGTTAGCCATGGTGTAATGTAGACGGGTAATGATGGTTTCACATAAGATGCCATTTAAATGTATCTAAAAAGAAAAACACAACAGATGTTTTTATATTGTACATATAGAGGAGATAGGTGCATTCTCGGCCATGGGGCATTCCCGGACAAACCCTTGGTATCAGGTGAAAATCTGGGACAAAGCTAGAATTTTTACAATATATAGCACCACATCTATAATATGATGTGTCTAATACAAAGTTTCAATAAAGAAACGATATAAAACAAAGAATTATTGAAGATCGTCCGACAATGCCCCGTGTCCGAGATTACACCTATGTCCTCTAAAACAGAGATGAGTGACTCATGACTCTGCTGCCTTGGTGAGATTTCGTCTTCAATGACAACTTGTGACATGTTTTTATATGTCTCTGTCTGTACTGTAGTTGTACATTTGGCACGTGCCTTTCAGTAGGTAATAAGAGTACAAGGGGTCTACCTAAATAAAGCACAGGCCCTCTAGTGGGGAATAAGAGTAGTTTATATCCAATAGACTGAATTTCCTGAGAATATTTTCATTCCAAATTTCAAAAAAATTTCAGACTAGAGGATATAGTCTAGGAATAAGAGTGCAGGGAGGTTTACATTCATGAATCACAGGCAGTTCAGATGGGAATAGGTGTGCAGAAGGGCCTTTGAAATCAGGTGCAGGTAGGTGATTCATCATTTTCAGATTCAATTTGAAAATGGTGAAAATAAAAACAAGAACGCAAATGCCAAACCTGGAGCTGTTCTAAGCTAAATGCCTTTGAATTTGGTCCCGATAGCTTCTTGAATAACCTTTCCATTTCAACCTGCTCTGATTTACTGAATACGGCCAGTGCATTCTCTACCTCGGGGTCTTTACTTTGTGAGGTTCCCATTTTCAGATATTTTGTTTTTGTATATGTAGGTCACTGCTCATGCGCAGATCCCACTTCCGGAGCGCCGTTTTTCAAAACATTGTAAAAAGACGCCGATTACTTTCGGATTATTGACACCTAAAGCCACTCAAGGTGGACCTATCGATGTTCCACCAATAGGTGGTATATACATTTCCATTATGGCATTGCCAGCAGAGAAGATTTCTGAGCTGAAGCAGATCATTCACAACCATCTTTCTCAGGTACAAAATTTTCACATATTATCGCCCATTTGTGCCCCAAAAATTTGGTTGAAAATGCATATTGAATTTTAGATTGGTACTTACTATTTGTTAAGATAGTGTGTTATTTCTAAAAAAATATATGCATTATTAAATATTTTTGAATTAATTTGAGCCTTGTTATGTGACATTACCAACTATAAAGACCCTATTTTTGAATGACCTTTGAAAAATTTTAAAGTTCAGGCTTGCCCAAAATTCCTCAATGTAAACAAACACTTTTCTGACACAATGTGTATTTTATTTTAAGATGGATATCCAGAAAAGCATCCAGCAAGTTTTGTCAGATAGTCTGCAAGGAGAAGCAGCTTTTAACCAACAATCACAGTTCAACGAACAAGATGTCTTAGAAATGTTGAGACAACAAGGTGTTATTGACAATGTTATGCAAAAATTACATATTGAACAAGGACAACATATACCAGGAGGAAAACAAGCAGCTAGATTTATAGATAAGGATGACCATCTCACTACAAGTACTCCACTTAAAAAGAGTAAGTTCTTTGACCTAATGTTCATTACCCTTGGAATGTGATTTTGACACATGTCAAACAATTATACAAAAATGCAGTTAAGAGGTTTGACATTGTTCAACACATATATTCAGGCTCAATAAAGTCAAGATCTACTCGTTATACATGTATTACTATTAACCTGTGTACAGATAAATAATGCATTTTAAACATGTTGGTTTTCATTCCAGCCAATATAGACCCATCAAGGCGCTACCTCTACCTACAAGTTCTTGGGGGTAAAGCATTCTTAGAGCATCTCCAAGAACCTCAGCCTCTACCCGGTCAGGTGTCATCAACATTTACTGTACATATAAACTTCAGAAGCCAGCGATTTAAGTCAAAACCAACACCATGTGCCTGTGACCCAAACATTCAAGAAGGTTTCTTGTTAGAGATTCATAAAGATTCTTCAGGTAATATTTACTGCTCCTTAATGGTATTTTACACGGCTGTAGTTTGCAAAGTACATGACAAAACTCCAATGAATTAGTAAGGGGTCATTGCATAGCCAGAAGCTTTTGTTAACTTGGAATTTCTGAATGATTTGTAGCAACTGTTGAATTTATCAAGATGTCATAATGCAATAGATTTAGGAATTTACAAAAAGCATCTGGTAATGACCACTAGGGATTTTATTTCCAAAATTTTTCTTCACAAAGAAATTCCAGTGTTGGATCCCATTGCAGTAACCAGAAAAATCATAGGACCATAAAAGAACAATATCAACTAAGAAAGTCTCAATAGCCACATTTTTCATTTTGAAGAATTTACCCATTTCCTGCATTAAGACAATTGCATTCTAATGATGTCTCACATTTCCAGGGGATGCTGGGAGAATGCTAGATAGCACAGGTATGCTGTCTGTATGTGATCCTGTACATATCGTGCTCATTAAGACAGACTTTAATGGCGATACTCACCTTGTATCATCACATTTCTTAGAATGGCGAGTAGTACTATCTCAACCTCAAGGCAGACTAGGGACATCTATTGAATTACTTGGAGTGGGTAAGTATAATACTGTATAAAATTTGTTGTTTTTAACTCCAAATCAAGTGAAATTAATAAATTTTCAGAAGTTTAGGTTTCATATTGGATTGATATGAAACTCAAAAAACTCAAATGAGTATTAATATTGTATAGGTTTGTTTTCTTTTTAACTATTGGTATGTCAATTGTCCTTTATTTAAAATGTCCTAGGTATTTCAAAATGGAGTAGAATGTGATCTCAAATATCATACTAATCATTAGATCTTTTTGGATCCATTGATCTCATTCTGCATATTGAAACACAATGTTGTATTGTTTTATCTACAGGTACAGAATGTAAAGTTCCTGTTGGACTACTAGATATTAAACTAGAGCTACTTCCCAAGACCATAGAGGCCATCTCAGGCCAGGTAGGCAATATTTAACAGGGGTTTAATTAGCAGCAGGCAAAGTACAGGCGATTTTCACCTTTTGTTTTCACAAAATCGCCTGTTGTTTTTTGGGACTTTTTAACTTTTCCAAGTTAGATTTATGATTTCCATTTATTTTGCCTATTATTTTCATTTATTTAGCCTGTTGTGAGAAATTCTAGTGAAACCCCTGATTTAATGTGCGCATATCTTTAAATGATATTGAGCATGCAGTATATAGTGTTGAGGAGAGTGAAAAATCATGTCCTACCCCCTCCTTATTAAAATTATTCCCAACACTGTTACTGTTTGAAAAAAGTGAATATTTGTCAGTTGGTCCAAGTTATCATATTTTGAATTGGTAAGTGTCTTTATTCTTTGTACATGTATCAAGACATATTGAACGTTGACTGGTTATTGAGATAATAACACACACGATGGTGAATAAGTGTTATCATAATCTATTCCTTTATGATACATGTTCTCATGTCTAATTCTCTGAGTGGTCTGACCACTTGAGTGACTCCCTACCCTATATAGCACATTACCTGATCATCCTAAAGTCATCCAGTAACTAATATAAAACTATATATTTAAACTACTGTAAATGCTTCAATATAATGTATTTTACTCTTTTGACCAGGTGCTAACAGCCCAGTTTAGTATGGAGAAGAACAAGCAGTCAGAACGTGAGCGTCTGTTTCTTGTTTATGCCAAGCAATGGTGGAGAGAGTTTCTACAGATTCGACCAACTCACAGTGAACGTCTCGTTAAAATATTTGCTCAGGTAAACAACCAGTTTCACAATTTCTTCTAGATTTTCTGGTTTTTGTCAGGTCAACTTGATTTTTGCTGAAGACAAAACTTATTTAAATTCAATACGATTTTGAAATTGAATTTATTCCAAGGCGGTGTATTCCAAATTGAAATTAGTCTTTTTGAACAATGCACTATTATCTGTATTGATTGTAACAATAACTTTATGATTTACATTTGATTGAATTATTTTGAAATGTTTTTGCTGTTTATGAACATTGCAGGATGAAAATGGAATAAATCGCCCTGTGTGTTCATACATAAAGCCTTTAAGGGCTGGAAGACTGCTCGATACGCCTAGAGAAGCAGCTAGATTTGTCAGTCTTATAGGATATGAAAGGGTACCCATGTTGGGAGGTGGTGATAGAGCCGAACAGTGGTCCACTACGCATGCATTTTTTTGCAGGAACAAGGGGGTGTGTAAAAAGATTTTTCTAAAAGTTATTTGAAAAAATGTATTACCTCAGTGACTCCAGTGTTTACCATGTCTTCTCAAGGCTTTATATTTCAAATCTATCTAAGAATGTTTGGATTTAATGTCTGTCAGTTTAAATGAAAAAATATTTTTTTAAAAATAGGATTGGACACTCTCTTTGGTCAACCTTACTCTAATAATTTCTGTTATACTATAACACACTTTGCCCGGAAAGCGAGGGGTCGTGGGTTCGATCCCCACTGGGGTGGACTGACTTTTTCACATCAGCCCTTAGCACAGGATTTCATTCTGTGTTTTCATTAACTAATACAACTTCTCCTTAGGGGGAATGGCCCGTGGGAAAGTCCACGTGACATCATGAATAGAGTGATTGACAACCTGGAAAGACAGGTAACTTATATGGGGTCCAGGAAACTGGGCATGTAAGACATGGCTGCAATGCTGTATATGCAATGTTGATGTGGAAAAGCCAGTCGGTCCTGTAGCTCAGTGGTAGAGCACTTGCCCGGAAAGCGAGGGGTCGTGGGTTCGATCCCCACTGGGGTGGACTGACTTTTTACATCAGCCCTTAGCACAGGATTTCATTCTGTGTTTTCATTAACTAATAATTTCTGTTATACTATAACACATTCACATTTCAATTTTTTTAAGTTTACCATCCTTCCTCTCATTCCTTATTCTCTTTTAACCCCCCCCCCCTCCACAAAAACAGAGGAGCAAGTATGGATTATAATAGCTTTCTACTTTTGTATTGTATTGTTTAGGACTGTGAAGACCATGCTATTCTGCTGTGTAGTCTACTGCTGGGATTTGGTTTAGATGCCTATGTGTGCGTTGGCACCAAGTCTAAGGCCGCTCCTCATGCTTGGGTCACAACAATAGGAGCAGATGGCCTGGTCACCTTCTGGGAAACACTCACTGGAAACAGGTAATACTTCCTCTACCAAATTAAACATCTGGTTTTGAAGATTTTAAATGTTTTGTTCTTCAGATGTTGACTTAACTTTGATTTCATATGTGTATTATGTTAAACAACACCAGCGTTTTAAAAAAATTTTTTTGTCCATTTATAACATAATAGCTAGATACATATATTAAATGTGATGCTCACTAAAAGTTGTGAGCTTTGATCCTTTCTACACAATGTAAATCATGATTTGTGTACAGCTTTGGTCAAAGTTGGAGCAATTTTGGTGAAAAGAGCTGCGGCAGATTGTCATTATAATGTAGGTCTCAGTGTCACTTCTATTGTGACGAGAAGTCCTGTCACCATAGGTAGTCGAGAAGTTAAATATATGACCTATGGCTCAATATTGATCATATTGAATCTTTTTTATATGTTATTTACCATATTATTTATGAGCTTTATTTCTAGGTACATCCACAAGGCAGTAAATCCTGATGATCCTCCCCTAGATAAGCAACACAGACCCCGCTACCCATACCAGACTCTGGGATGTGTATTTAACCATACATCATTCTATGCTAACACACAGGTAAAAATAAATATTCATATACATGGTGTCAAATAAATATATTCTCCCCCTTAATTTAAAAAGTATGAACTTTTGTGCATAAAAGTGCATCTATTTGAGCTAGTCCTCTGAAACTTCTTGTGGAGTTGCTCCATGAGACCTAGTTTTAATGTGCTAAAGAATAGATAGATATCATGCAGACAAAAAAGTGTACACCATTATGTTGATGTAAAAGCTAAGGGGGAGAACATATTTATTTGACACCTTGTACATTATTATAAAAAAAGAAGTTTGAAAGAGATTGAATACATGATTCAGCCAATTGTATATTGTATATTCCTGTCATTCAAGTAAGAAACATAATGATAGCTTATTCAGATCACAGGAAGTAGACTATTGGGGCAATAACTCAAATACCAGCAGTCTGATTTTATTCATATTTGGTGGGAAAATGTATTATGGTAAGTAGATGGAATCCAAAATGTTTTATTTGTTGTTTACATTTGAGATAACATTTTTGTAACATTCGGAATCCATAATTTATGAAAGTAATATTCGTTTGGGACCCAGTTTAAATTCTGGATTGATCTTTCATTTCAAAGACATCAAAAAATCTTGTTTTTTAGTTGAATTCCAGTCCATTTCTCCATAAACTCTAGCTTTTCCTGCACCTTGCACCACCAGTGTTAATTACATGCCTGTTTGTTTTTCCCCTTGCTTATTCCACTCTCTCTCTCTTACTTATTTTATCTAACATGAAATTTATTTCTTCCAGGGGACAGATACTATAGGTGCTTGTCAGCTAGATCTCCACAACCAATCACATTGGAAGGCTATGTCAGCTGATGCAATACGGAGTGTTTGCGGAATGGGGAATATTCCAACATGGCCGACATTGCCCCCCTTATGTGCCAGTAACCTTGATTCAGCACTACTAAGCAATGACTTGGAAGTGGAGCTACGTGCCTTAGTGGATCAACATAGAGCAGTGAGAAATTGAACTTTTTGGAAATTATTTTAGTATAAGTCATATTTACTCCTTACTTTGACATATTAGATTCATAGCAACTGTACTTGTTTCCTTCATTTTATGAAAGTTCAACACCTTTCCTTCCTATTTCATAATTTTTAAAGGTATGAGAATTTGTGCTCAAGGTTAAGTTGAATTTCTAGTTTTGCATTTCATGTCAACCAGATTTCAACTGATGTTAACACATGTACTTGGTAGCATCATTTCATGAAAATGCCATTATCAATTCACAATTCAGTGACCTTCCCAAAGCAATCAGGCACTGCACCCTGTCAAAAATATGTTTGCGCCCTGTCAGAATGATGAAAATTTATTAACACATGTACTTGGTAGCATCATTTCATGAAAATGCCAATTCCAATTCACAATTCAGTGACCTTCCCAAAGCAATCAGGCACTGCACCCTGTCAAAAATATGTTTGCGCCCTGTCAGAATGATGAAAATTTATTAACACATGTACTTGGTAGCATCATTTCATGAAAATGCCAATTTCAATTCACAATTCAGTGACCTTCCCAAAGCAATCAGGCACTGCACCCTGTCAAAAATATGTTTGCGCCCTGTCAAAATGATGAAAATTTATTAACACATGTACTTGGTAGCATCATTTCATGAAAATGCCAATTTCAATTCACAATTCAGTGACCTTCCCAAAGCAATCAGGCACTGCACCCTGTCAAAAATATGTTTGCGCCCTGTCAAAATGATGAAAATTTATTAACACATGTACTTGGTAGCATCATTTCATGAAAATGCCAATTTCAATTCACAATTCAGTGACCTTCCCAAAGCAATCAGGCACTGCACCCTGTCAAAAATCTGTTTGCACCCTGTCAAAATGGTGAAAATTTATTGACATATGAAGAAGGAAATGTCAACAATAAGGTATTGTACCCTGCTGAGAGGAACATGTAGACATCACTGCATGTAATTTAAGAGCTGAGCATAATGACATTCTGTTTATTGCTTTATAGGATCAGGGATTGAACACTACATGGGACGATCAACTCAGCTACCTTCTTACACCAGCCCTAGCCTCATATGAGACTGAGAGAATAACAGGTATGCCAAATTGCCAATGTATCAATATTTAAAAGGGAATGAAGTATAGAAGCCACTATTTTGAAAAATAGGCCCCACGTTTGTATTTAAAGAAATTGAATTTCAAATTGAATCAATACAGAACCAATAATGAGAAGATTGCCATGGTATCGATTTTTATCATGCACTTCTGTATCTTTGTTATAATTTATTCAATTCATTTCATTTCATAATTTCTACAAACACATTATGAATAATTATCAACTAAACACTGAGGTTGTGGTGTAATAGTAACGAATCAATACATGATTGTTTTTAATATGGGTCTGCTGCAATATATTATTTTATTGATTCAATCCAGAAATTCTTAAAAGTAAAAATATGCCAACTGTTTTTAAGAATTAATTAGAATGGAGTTCTTACACTATCATTGCTCTTGCTCTGTATGTATGTATAATTATGTGATAATAAAAACTTTTAAACCTAAACACTATCCTTTACTTTGTTTGCTTCATATTGCTAGTATTGATATATCATATGATGAATTCAAGGAATACATTACATTTATCATCCAACTGTCAAGTTACTCATTCTGTGATTGGTTAAATCATAAATGACAAATATGGTGTGATACCATGTATCCCCTCTCTGCTGGCAGGCACTAGAACTTTGCTTGAAGAGTGGATATTTCTAATATTCAGACTTAAAATGAGAACCATTCATAGATGGCGTCATATGCAATTTATGATGTAACATAATGAAAAACACCAAATATTTTTAATAATTGAACTAACATATTTTTGGGGTCACCCTGTGATGTCATTTCTGCCTTTCCAGGTATATCTGCTGGAAATGAAGAGTTCCAGCAAGCCATCCGAATAGCAGTTCCAGAAGGTCATACATTTAAGGGATACCCTGTACAGTTCGTTCACAGAAATGCAAGGAAGGCATTTGCAGCATGTTTAAAGTAAGGATATTGTGTATTATTTTCCAAATTGCATGCTTTTTAAAGTGATTCTTCATAAAAGGCGGAATCTGGTAGTTGCACATTTAATCTTGGAGTCTCTTTGGTCCTCTATGGGATGTAAAACAGAAATGCTGGATAAATAAGTCATTTGAAGCATGCCATTTGAAGATACACTTCGTAAAGAGCACATCACTGAAAATAATTTCAATTTCCATGTTTGTTTTTTATTTCTGAAGTGGGTAAGCCAAAATGGCAATGTAGTTCTTTTTCAAAGTGCAATTGAAACCAACTGCCTGCATGACTAAAGTATAAAAAAAAATTCCAATTACTAAGTGCACTTCATAATGTCATTGACCTCTGAGGATTATTTTAATGATTAAAATTGACAATTATCTTTAGATTAATTTTAATTCATTAAAGGCAAGGCCAGTTATTTTCAGAACTTTGAATATATAGTATACTGATATCACATGCTAAATGATAGACTTTCACCTACTATTGATAAAGTTCTTTTTACTCATGTACTTAACCCTCAGATCAAACTTCATTTATTTATGAGAACAGTTGCATATTGAAATACGACTACATACTGGAAAAAGACATTGTAATTTTAATATAGCAAATATTGGAAAGGACATACAATTTTACGTTTGGAATCCAATACTTTCAGTATCTGGAGCAATCTGGTTTAGTTTCAGCACTTCTTGCAAATGATTGTACTTGTGCTAATGCTCAGTTTTAGACAATAACTAGAGTGTTGCTTATTCATTAAAAAGCTGGCTCTGTCTTGGAGTGTTTATGATCCTTGCCAGGTAAAAGAGACCAGTCTGTGATTTGGGAAAAGGGAACAACTACTCTACACTTGATTGTAGTCGTGGATACATATGAGTCAATACAACAGTTAAATACAGAATATTAACCCTTGATGTATATCCACCTTCATAGGTGAAATACAATACACAGGATAAAATACAATACAATACAATAAAATACAATACAGTGATAACAATATGCTACTATTACTAGTACTAATATTCCTACTTCAATTTATTTGGAAAAAAATCTGCTGTCATCGTCGTCATCATCACCGTCCTCGTATTCTTCACCATCTTCATCAAAGCTCCAATGGCATACGGCCAGTTGTACCTGTGGCTTTTGTTCTACGATTATTTTGTTTGATTTTGTTCTACTATTATTGCACTAAATACCTCTTGTATATTTTTGTTGCTTGGATTTTATGCGCGCTAATCTTAAAAGTTCTACCGGTGATTCCTCATATTGCGAAGCTATGGCTGGATTTCAAAAATGGTTACAAGCCTGTGTCATTCTCATTGTCTTTAGACGAGGATTATAGACTTTCTGAATGGATAAAGGATTTTTTCAATAAATCAAACTTTAAGGAAAGGTACTCTGAAAATGAGTTAGAAGAGCACGAAGCTTTTGTAATGGGTTTTGTGAAAAGGCTTTGTGATAAGCTAGGAAAACTATATCCTGCATTCAAAGTTAAGATTGTGCCGAGTGGAAGCTATTATGACAGAACGAAAGTCATAGAACCAGATGAATTTGACTATAAATTAGTATTTACCAATGTTCAAGGATTCAAAACTCATCGCACTGTCTTTTCATCCAACATGAAAAAACTATTCATGAATGATGAACAATTTCTAAGAACTATCAACGATTCTAAGCATCCACTATTCAAGAAGAGTAGGATGGACACATTACATTCCTTCCTTACATTCCTGCAGCATATTTTGATAGATTTTCCTCTTTTTATAGTTGCAATACCTGTTGAAGTTTTTGTATTGACATTCATTTGTGTATGTATTTGGAGAGTGTTTATTAAGAAATTCTTCAACCATATGGAAACTATAGATGTTCTCTGCGCAGTCCTCGATGCTGTTAATGTTTGCATACGTAGATCTAAGGAACTTTCTTGTGACCTAATTTATGTTGCAAGAAAAGCAGTCATACATGGACCTTGCGTGTCATTAGCCATCAAAGCTCCACTCTGTGATACCTTAATTGATTTAGGCTTCTGTTTTAAACAGCCACACTCTCAAACTGTTGATGCTTCATATTTAGTCTTACCAACACCCTATGAGGACTGGACACTGACCCGCCTGTCATTGAATTCTATAGATACAATGTCATTAAATCATAAAATGATTTTCATGGTTTTAAAATGTATTGCAAAACGAACACCAACTCTCATGATCTGAAAATGCTGGTATTAGACCATGAGAAAAACTGCAAGGACGATATAAAAGCAGCAAGGTGTTTTATTAATATGGCTCAAAATATGTTTAATAGATTAGGAGTGAGAGAAAATGCTGAAGAAGTTGTCATTCTTCCCATCATGAACAAACCATTTCCAGATAAAGATTTTCCGAAGAAAAATGTAATTTCAAAATTTGTCAAGCTCTTTTTTGATCGGAATAGTGAAAAACATGTGACAGAGGAGATATATTTTTTCCCAATTTGTATGTATTTAATAATTCATTTGATAAAATCAGATTCTAACAATCTAAACTATTTGTATAATTTCATTTTGAACGATGCCGGTTGGCTTCTGGGTCAGATGAAAGATATTATGTCAGTAGAAGGTTTATTTCATAGTTATAATGTATATGTATTTCCAAAGCAAAAAATTGAAAAATTGGTAAGGAAGATGCAAGAACTAGAATGGTTTGAATCTGATTATCACTGGCCAGAAACAGCTAGAGCATGCTTCTCTAGAATGAAGGATAAATCCGCATCCTTGATAAATTTGGAAACATAGAAAGAAGTTGTAATCACCATCATATCACCCATAGGTTCTGATATCACCTTAACATGGTTTCATATTAGTAAAATCATGTTCAAGATTTGAAAATGACTTCATGCAGTTTTCATGTGTAGAATTACAGTTGTTTTTCCGAAACTATTATGCATTTTTTGAAAATGATTCCATGATAATGGAAATAAAGTTGAAGAATTTGATGGAACTAAAATATCAGGTTTTGTTATATTTCAATGGTTAATAGGGCTTTGTATATTGTTGATGATATCTTAACATCACCCACGTTCCTGCCTGACTGCCTGTCAACGATATGTGGTACATTTAAAAATCTGTTGATATACTTTTTCGCCAAAATATTGCTTGGATTTAATATCAAATTGATGCAGGTATCTCTATTTTATCTGAAAAACCAACCTTTTCTAAACATTTTGACAAAATATTGTGTTTTCTCATTATGAATATACATGTACATGTACCATGAAAGTACTTTTGATAAAATACTTTCTTGGTTTCAAAATTGCCAATTCAAGCCTAACCAACTTGCATAGTAAAATAGTTATGTGTAGTCTATATCATATATTTACAGGTCACCAGTATGTGAAGAGATAATAGACTGTAGAGGAGACTTGATACGTTTAGCAGTGCGTGTGAGAGTCTTCACATACCCAGAATCAGCTTGTGCCACTTGGATTATGTTTGCATGTAAATACAAGTCTATACTATAATAACATTCTACTTAAAAAGAAATGTAGATGCGAGAGACTATAGATCATCTGTGCCACGTGGATTATGTTTGCATGTAAATACAAGTCTATATTATAACAACGGTCTACTTAGAAAGAAATGTAGATGCGAGATACTATAGATTATCTGTGCCACGTGGATTATGTTTGCATGTAAATACAAGTCTATACTATAATAACATTCTACTTAAAAAGAAATGTAGATGCGAGAGACTATAGATCATCTGTGCCACGTGGATTATGTTTGCATGTAAATACAAGTCTATATTATAACAACGGTCTACTTAGAAAGAAATGTAGATGCGAGATACTATAGATTATCTGTGCCACATGGATTATGTTTGCATGTCTATATTATAACAACAGTCTTCTTAGAAAAGAAATCAGAACGATATCTCTATTGTAGAGACCACCAGGAACCATAGGAATGGTGTTCTGGTGTAAAAACACTCAAACTACAACAAAAAAGTCCACTCATTACAAGGTGCCTTCAATGTGCCAGTTTAAAGTATTGGACAAAGTGTATGAGTTTGTACAATACTATTTACACATGTACTATAAGTATAGGTTATGTTGGCTTACTATATGCAAATGGTTTTGGATTTATTATATACAATTTGTAACCACGGCGCATTCCTATGTTTGACATTGATCCACCCTTACAACATATAATATGTATCTGAAAACGGTACAGTATGGTACCATGTTCACACAGTACCATACAAGACTGTTAACAGGATTTTGTATGGTGCCATAGGGGATTACTGCCCCGCTCTAAATTCACTTTGGAGATCTACTGTATTATACTAACATGTAGTACATATATTTCTGCATGTAATCAGAGATGTCATGACTAGACTGTGGCATTCACAAATGTTCATTGTACTAATTAGTAACTCTACTGGTATATTATAACCTCCACCAAATACAGTGTTCTGTTATGCGATGTTCCTCAACTAAATACTCCATTCGTTTAATGCTTGGGAGATCGACTGTATTAAAGTAGTACATTTACATTTATTATATCATTGAAATGTGTCTCGCTTTCTCATTGGATAAGAACTGATCACATGATTAAAAATTATAGGGTGAATTTCATTGTTTCCTGCAGTGTGAGCTGCAGCCTCGTTTTCAACTGTATATACCACGGTGCATATACCACGGAGTATATACCACGGTAGAAAGTCCCGGATGTTATGTTTTCACATCAATATTATAGAAAATACTTGGATACGCATGGCAACCAAGCATCATTGTTATGACGTCAAAGCTTATATTTTTAGAATGAGCATGGGTGCCCATAGTAACGGTGTATCTGTTGCTATTTTGTTGATGTTTATAAACCAGTAATGTCACAAGTCATCGTGCACCTGTGAATTTTGAGGATGAGAGATGGTAATATCTTGCATCGGACTAAGAGTGGCTGTATCTTGGTTATTCATGTGACACATGTATCGTATCTAATAATGTATTAAATGGTTTGAAGACGCCTAATTTGAAGAAGATTCAAATGATATAATAAATCAAATATTCCATTCTATTTTCGGTGAATACATGTTCATCTTTCCCTCAGGTATATTTCCCTTGCCCTTCGGGCTGCGGGTATATATTTCTGCATGTAACCAGAGATGTGATGACTAGACTATGGTGTAGTAATAGTGAAAGTAATACATTTAATAATAATATATATGCATAATAATTTACATTACAATAACTACATAAAGTATAATGATTGGACACAATTTATTACATTGCCTTTTTACTGGTGCTAAAATATATACACACATGTCATGTTCACAAGTGTTATGGGTGGTGGAGGGGAATGTCTTTTTGCCAGTGAGTAGCACTGGTTGTATTATATGTCATATACTGTATGTTATATATTGTTATATCACGCCTAACCATCGACAATGTACAGTGACAAAATATATGGGTGTATTTCATGTTTAATTTCATGTGCATGCTCTTTGCAAGACTTTTAACTTTTTAATTACATTTACAAATTCTCAAAACAGCATGATTTTTATGTGGTAATTCCACCCATGTCCATGTGAACATTTTCCAACTGGTCAATTATGTGGGTGAAATTGCCAAGAAAAAATCCGAGCACTGTTCAAGAATCTGTTTACGTAATTATAAAGTTAAAAGTCTTACCAAGAGCATGCACATGAAATTAAACATGAAATACTACTTTATTTCCCTAAGATAAATGTTTTAAAACCTACATCACGATTTTCGCTTCAGACATGACAATGTACCGCTAAAATGTACAACAGTATATTTTGTCACTGTACATTGTTGATGGTGAGGCGTGTATATGTACCTATTGCCATATTAACTACAAATATATTCATAAATAGACAATGTCAACACAGATTAGTTCAAATTATCAAATATCACTTGGAAAAAGCTCAACCCTTTTAGGTAGAACTGCATTCTTTGCCCGATTCTTTGTCTGATATTCATTTTCAATTTACTACCAACATTCATATCTATTTCTAAGAGGCAGTTAATAAATCAAGAACATGTATTTGAATTAAAGAATGAGTGTTCGAAATATATACATCTCCTCATGTAGTAAAGCACTAAGAGCGATTTGAGAGATTGTAGGTTCGATTTTCACCAAGCTGAAGTGACTTTTTCACATCACATCAGCTAACCTAGTGGAGCTGTCACATCAAGTTGTGTTGGCTCACCATTCACAACTGTTTAAATATTTGGGGCAGATGGCAGCACATGGCATGGACACATGGCAGGAAAAACAAGTAGTTTCAAATCCTTTACAACAAATACAAAAATTAGTGCCCAAAAATTATTCACATGGTGGTGAATGGTGAGCCTGCATGGCCTAAAATGACAGTTACTTTAGCAAAGAATTGATCCTATGTTTCAACTTGGTACGTCTGGCACTATCTGTGTCGGCATCATTTTGTTCATGTAATTTGTATTTCATAGCTTTATACTATAAGTTTATGTGTATTACGGTATTACTGTTAGTGTTTGTATTTTACTACGCAAACCTTTACTACTTACACTAATATTGCCACTATGTGCTAACATCCACCATTGAATCTATCTATGGCCAACTTCCCGGGAATTTCTTGAGCATATTACACTGTGCACCCCCGCACACATGCCCGGATATTCCTCAATTATTCCGCCATTTTCCTTCTGTAAAGTCGGAAATTTTAGAATCGCAATAAATTTACAAATAACTTGTGACTATGGACACGGAACTAGGAAGTTAGTTGTTCTACAGGTTCATCAGTTACAAATGAAAGTAAGAGGACGAGGAAAATAGATCATATGGAACTATAAGACAAGTTTTCAAGGTTTTTTCTTTGGGTTGTTAGTCCACAAAGAAAACATCTGATATAAAAATGTCGAAGATCTTACCTCGTTCGTTTTTTCTTTGCTTGCTCCATATACGGTCTTCAGTCCCGACATGAGATTATAGTAAGCATATGGAAAAGGTCTCTAGTGTCAATTGACCTTTTTCCAGACAATTTGTCATATATAAATGACAATTTCACAGGGGTCATTAGACCATCAGAAGACATCATGTACAGAGAACGTAATATTACATGTTCTTCTCTGTGTTATGTTACATGAGAGGTTTTCAATCCAGATAAGAAAGTAAGGAAGCCCGAAGAAGGTAGATACTGTGTTTATGCCTACAGTACCCTGCCTTACATTGAGGTCTTTCTTTTGGTTGTCAGTCCATAAAGAAAACATTAACTGTTCAAGTTTACATAGCTCTCAATTCTTCGTCTCTGTATTTATCACATAAACGTGTTCAGTTCCAGATGAATATGAGAAATTTGAAAAATATCTACATCTACATCTGAAGATGGCTTCTTTACTGCTGAGGTGTTTTTGGTTGTTAGTCCACAATAAAAACACATATGTGTTCAGGAGAACGCAGACGAAATGGCTTCTTTACTGCTCATGTGTTTTTTGGTTGTTAGTCCACAATGAAAACACATACGTGTTCATTAGAACGCAGTTATCATCTCTTTTCTTTATGCATAGTTTATAAAAGGACTCCAGTCCCGATATGAATTATGTAAACATGAAGAAATAAATACACCAGTAAATTTGTCTTTCGGGATTTGACATGTGTCGAGCATAGACTGTATGATCCTAAGATGAAGAAGATATTTCTTCATCTTACAGTAGCGTGATCACGATGATGTTCAGATGAAGACACTTGGTTCACATACATTTAAATGTATTTAGAAAATAACATTGTATGTTGTAAAACCTGGTGTAGTATGCATACATAGAACACGTATGCTGACCACAGAATAATTAGTTTATTTAGTCCATTTAGTTTTTATACTAGTTATGCGCAGCAGGATAAGTTTGTCACTTATGCATTTGGTACAGTTATTTCTGGACTGAGTTGTTTGTCTACTGTTCAGAAAAAGGATAGGCTAAAGATTAACAAAAGTAACTGTAAGGTTTACAGTAGGCCTACTGTGAAGTCGTCATCTTCTTCACAGAAAAGACCAATATAGCTTTTTAGCCTACTCATCTTCCAAGTAGATCTTTTCGAATCAGAGACCTATAAGTTATTGTCTCTGATTGAGCGTTCCTGTTTTCTCCAAGTAATTGTAGATGTTGCTATTACTATATGCTGAAGAAAACGATTCATGGATGATCACAATCATCCTGTTATTGGTTGATTCCGTCTCTTCAACAGAGAAGTAGAAGGTGACTTAGATTGTTTTAGTTTTGAGTCACTAGACTATCCTTCTAGCTATATTAGCCAACAACTGAACAACACAAGTAATTATTCATATAAGAAGTGTTGTATGCGTTGACAAATGACAATGTCATGAACTTGTCATTTCTGAGTTTCAGACTGAAATCTTTATATTCTCAAGAATCATTTCTGAATACTCCTATTTAGACTCTATTCCTGGAATATTAACGTTCAGAGTTGAGTTGGCGGAAGTATCTTTGACATAGGTTACTTT